TACTGAGTTTCTCAAAGCGAACCATTCATAGTTTGCCCATGTTACTGTTTGAACTAAGTCAGAGTTAGAATATATCTTATATCCCATGAAAACTTCTGGAGCATATTGGTATCCGACATAGAAAATTCCATTGCAACCTTTCTTGTCAGACAACTTGGCAGAAGGTTTTATTTCAATGTCTTGTTCCACGTATAAGAATGAGTTGTCAATAGAAATAATATGAAACCTGTCGCAAGCAATATCTACTGTTGTTGAAGAACCTTCTCCAAACTCACCTACGTTTCCATAAGAAACAGCAGTTGTATATTCGTAAGTTCCAGGAACTATTTCTGACCTTCTAATGGCATTGTCGCATTCGTTATACCATTCGGAAACATTTCCATTCATAGCATCCAAAACTGTTGGCGTTATATTCTGAGCGGCGTACATTTCATATGAGTAAAAATATAGAATAGTTGGATTTATATGTCATAATAGAACCCACTCCGACCAAGCTTTACTTTCTTCCTGACTGAGTTTTTTAACTCTTCTTTTTGCTTCATTGCCTCTGCTTGAAGTTGTTGCATCTTTGCATTATGTTCATCTAGTATGTTGCAAATTTCCCATGTCCTTTTTGCCTTTTGGCTCTGGTCGCCCATCTCAGGTAACCTATATCCTAGAAAGAGTTTGTCATAGTCTGTATTTGAGTCTTCGCGTATTGTTTGCATGACTCTTTCCTGAGTTTCCGGTTCAAGCTCTTCAAACAGTGCCTGTCCATATGGAATATGCTCGTTTCCAAATATATGTTTTTGTAGCCATTCTGGTTTTCTTTCCATGTTACCAACTATATCTTTTGTGAATGGGAAAGCTTTTACCCAATCTTTCAGTCTTGCGTCGTTTATTTCTGTAGTTGGTTTTATTTTGTCAAGGAACATGTTTTTCAATACTAACATTTCATTTGGTACTGTCCATTTGAGTTTTCTTAAATATTCATCCCTTCTCGGTTCATTGTCTGCAAAGTAAGTTTTTATGACATTTTGTAAACTTTCGTTTGCAAGGTCATGTACAATAGGTTCTCTTCCTTCGCTCTCCCTAACTTTCTTTCTAAACTCTTCACCAAATATACCATCTCTATGGTTCTGTGTAGTTCTTTGAGATAAATGTTCTAGAACGTCAGGTGTTATATTTCCATCAGCCATGTTCATTTCATACTGGTTCAAAATATCTGCATCTTTCATATCTTTCAATGGCATTAAAGCCGCGCTGAAAATACCAGCTATATCTGGTTCACCATTGACTTCCATTGCGTCTACAACTTCTTGGAATTGAGGTTGTAAGTTTATGAACCACCTATCCGGGTTAGCTTTATGACCCCATCTCATTGTAGTTCCATCGTCTGCAGAAACAAAAGTAGGTTTGTTTCCATCTTGGTTAGGTTCTGAATGAACTTTAAACAATGTTTCATTTCTATATGTTTTCTTGAAATTTAACCTTTTATTTTCACCGAGTTCATCCGAAGATTGAACGTTAAATGCTCGTAAGTAAAAAGGGTTGTTGTATTTGTGTACATTTTCTTTCAGTGCTTCCATTCTATGCTGAATATTTTCATCTGGTGCTGGAGTCTTTTGTATGTCGGCAAACATTTTTCGATATTCTTCTACTATGTCAGCCGAATTTTTTTTAGACTCTTGGAAATATTCCATATTCTTCGCATACTCTTGTTGAGGGTCAAGATTTTTCGGCTGTTCCAAATCTTCATCTAGTTCTGTGAAGTTAGTTTCCAAAGGAGTGACTTGTTCGTTTCCTTCAGGCTCTTCTAGCTGTTGTTGCTGAACTATTTCTTCCATGTCTGGTTGTATCTGAACTTCTTCCTGTGGAGTTTCTTGTACCTCATCTGCTGGCATTTCATATATTCCGAGACCGTTTTCAACAATTTCCCTATCTACGTCATCCGCATTCATAAGCTTTTGTTCTTTCGTTCCGTCTCTATTTTTTACGCGTTTCATGACGAAAGTTGAATTGTCATTTAGCTCTGACATCAAATATCTCGGAGTAAATTCATCCATGTCATTTGGATGATATGCTATTAAATCATATCCCTTAGCGAGCTTGTATTTTCCAGGTTTGAGATTATATCCGTTTTGGTGCTGAGCCATAAAGCTAAATAGGTTCGGGTCAGTATTTCCATCCTTGAACTTTCCAATAGCTTCTTTATATCTGTCACTAAAGTCAACAGTATCTGGGAAACCACACTCTTCTTTAAGCATTTTTAAGAATTCTTGGTTTCCTTGTTCTCTACTTCTTTTATGTCCTTGCTCTGTTTGTGGTTGTTGTTGTGCTGGGTTTTGAACTGTTGGTTGCTGTGCTGGTTGTTGTGCTGGTTGTGGAGGTGGTTGTTGTGCTGGTTGTGGAGGTGGTTGTTGTGCTGGTTGTTGTGTTGGTTGTTGTGTTGGTTTTGGTGCATGCCTGTGTCTATGTCCATGTGACGATGTAAATGTTTTAGGTAGTCCTGGTGCAGGTGCTTCTCTTGGAGGGTTTGGTGGTATATAAGTTCCACCAGCTGGCACATATGTTCCATCTGCAGCGTAATGTCCTACCTGACTTTTCGTTCTTAAGAAAGCATTTACTAGGTCTGTTTTGGTCTGTTGTAACTCTTTTTCTTGACTTTCCACAACAGTTGCTCTAACGGCGTCATAGGCACTTTGAACTGCCTGTCTCGTTGCTGCATCTGTTATTTTCGTCATATTTTGTGCTACTTCTCTTAACTCTTTGTCGAAACCTTCAGACTTCAGTTTCTTTCCAGATGAGAAGTCGTTCACTTGTTTCACCTTACTATGAAGAGCTTCGAAGGCGTTCTTAAAGTCAGCATTTGTTAAAGCTTCATTTGAACTATCTTCATCCGCTTGTATTTTTGTCCTTATTGACCCTATGAGTTGGGCTGCTTTAGCGTTGGCTTGGGCATCTAACCAGTCATTGTTAGCTTTTATATATTCTGCGCTTTTCATTGCCTTTTGCATGGCTGCGTCGTTATTTTTACTTTCTTGTGCTAAGTTTTCATACTGTACGGTTTGGTTTTGCAACTGTAAAAGTTTTTCTGCCTTTACATTTGCTTCAACTTCCTTTTTATACTCATCGCTATCCATATATGTCTTCAGGGCTTTTTGTTTTATTTCTTCATCTTTCAGTACTTTATATTGAGTAGTATGGTTTTTCAAATTTATGACATCTTGTTCCATTTTTGCTACTTCTGCTGCTTTTTCTGACACTTTTTTCGCATATTCCTCTGTACTTAGTTCTTTCAGTTGTTCTTCTTTCTTCTTTTTCTCTACGTTTAACTCATTGAGTTTCTTTGTGTGTCTGTCATATTCTAGTTTCTTTTCGTTTTCACCTATTTGCTTCTGTATGTCTATGTTTGACTTTTTGACATCTGCTATTTGATTTTTGAGTGAACTCAAATTCATTTGACTTTGAGGGTTATAGGCTGTTCCGTCTGCAGCTCCACCATAGCCTGCCATTTTCGCTAAAAGTGCCGCTCTTAAACCTCCACTCTGTGCACCAACAACTCGGTTTAAAAGCATAGGGTTGCTTGACATTTGTTGCAACATAGTGGGGTCATTCAGCATTTGTTGTTGCAACTGTTGTTGTGGTGTCAGTCTTACTATTGGATGTTTCAATGCTCTCTTCCTCTTACGTATATTCTTACGTAGCTTACGTGGCATTTAAGTGAAGTTAAAAAGAGGCTTTTGACAGATGTTTATATGAGACTTTCTCCAGTTTATAGGACCTCTCTCATATTCTATCTTGTCATGATTTCATCGTAAATGTTTTGTCAAGACTTCATCGTAATGAGTGTAAAGGACCCAAAAATATATTTTATGTTAGAATGTTAGATCTAACACCTTTTCTAACATGTTTTCTAACATGGTCTAAAACTCTTGAATTTTCATGATTTCATCGTATATGTTTTGTCAAGACTTCTTCGTATATGTTTTTGTCAAGGTTTCATCGTACATGTTTTGTCAAAACTTTCTTGTCTATGTTTTGTCAAACTTCATCGTAAAGACTTTGTTGAGACTTTGTCAAACTTCATCGTAAATGTTTTGTCAAGACTTTCTTGTCTATGTTTTGTCAAAACTTTCTTGTCTATGTTTTGTCGAAACATTTACGATGAAATCATGAAAATTCATGAAAATTCAAGAGTTTTAGACCATGTTAGAAAACATGTTAGAAAACATGTTAGATCTAACATTCTAACATAAATTATATTTTTGGGTCCTTTACGCTCATTACGAAGAAGTTTGACAAAAACATTTACGAAGAAGTTTCGACAAAACATTTACGATGAAATCATGACAAAACATTTACGAAGAAGTTTCGACAAAACATTTACGAAGAAGTCTTGACAAAACATTTACGAAGAAGTCTTGACAAAACATTTACGAAGAAGTCTTGACAAAACATTTACGAAGAAGTCTTGACAAAACATTTACGATGAAATCATGACAAAAAAGTCAACGGCTGGTCGGCTGGGGTTCGGTCCTCCTCTTGGGTCTTGGGAAAAATTCTTAGGGCTAGAAGGCACGAAGTGCCTGGAAGCCCCACTACCTTTTTTTTTTTTTTTTTTTTTTATCTGTTTATTTTCATATACTTTAGCATTTTTACGCAATATTTTATACATAGAAAGCTTATATACTATCTCAGAACATATAATTCGAGTTTTTTTAAACCACTGAAGTATTCTCTTTTGCTTGTGCAACATGATTTCTATGAATTGAATTCAATTAATTTATTTTTCGAAGAGTTTATGTTTCTTTTACAGCAATTTATGATTGTTTTGACATATTATGCTCTATGATTAAATGGAAAAGATAATCGACTTGGTGGATTTTTGCCAGAATTTGTCCTTGAATGGTAAAATTTTTACATATCATAGTTCTCCTACAAATAAAAAATTCGAAAAATGTGATTTGAAGTGTTTTTCTCCATCGAGGTCCCTAAAATCTTTGTCACTTTTATTAATTATGAGGGTCGACTTATCTAATCTTGTCGTGAACCAAACCGGGCAAGTTGAAATCAACATTGATAATTTAGAAGATTTTTGGACACTTGCCAATGTTATTAGAGTTGGTGATCGTCTTCGAAGCCAAATTCGTAGAAAAGTTACAAAATTAACATCAACAGGAAACGCTGACAAGACACAGAAACTTGCAATTGCAACAATTGAAGTTACGGAAGTTGATTATCAACCAGGCGTTGACGAAATGAATATTCGTGGTCGGCTAGTTCACGACCTCTTCGATGCAAAGGAAGGATCATTCCAGCGTGTCCTCCTTGACGCATCGAGACCGTTCACTCTTATTAAAGATTGCTGGGATCAGTTCACACTTGATGAACTCAAAGAAGCTTCTGATCCAACATTAACAGCCAGCATTGCTGCTGTTATCATGAAATCTGGCGTCGCCAGCATTTGCGTCGTTGGAAGAAGTACATCAGTTGTATTTTCAACCGTTACAAAGGCTATTCCTAAAATCAGAACTCATGGTGCTAGCGATAAGCATTCTACAGCTAAGCAGACATTCTTCGGCCTTACAGCTGATGCATTAGTTAAAGTTCCAAATATTTACGACATGCCATCCATTATTGTAGCATCTCCTGGTTTCCTTCAGCATGAATTCGTCACGTATCTCAGAAATAACCAAGTAAATTACAAGTTCCAAAATATTTTCGCTACAAATAGAATTATCGAGGCAACAATTAGCAATGGCGATGCTGGAGAGCTCGACGAAGTCTTACTGAAACCAGAAGTACAGTCTCGTGTCTCCGTTCTTAAGGCTGTAACTGCTGCTAAAGCTTATGACGAATTTATGTCTACAATGGGCAATAATCAGAACATGGTTTGCCTCGGAGATGCAGATGTTATCAGATTGGCTAAGGAAGGAGCAGTTAAAACCTTTCTTGTTACAGATATTTACATCAGAACATTAGATTTAGCTCCAAGACTCGAATTCCTTAACTTGAAGACAGACCTTGAGAATAGCGGAACAGAGGTTGTTGTTTTCTCATCAAAACATTCATCTGGTCTTCAACTTCAAGAACTTGGCGGAATTGCAGCGATTCTTAAGTACGCTGTTGAGAAACAGGAGGAAGAATTCGATGATGATTCTGATGTCGGATAATTTTATTAATTTTTGTCTTATTTTTTTATATTTTTTTGTCTAATTTTAGAATTATAATAAAAATTTCATAAAACTTTCTTGATTTTTAATTAAACAAAAACGCGTTTACTAAATACTAATAATTTATTATGTTATTTGGAATTGAAAATACAAATTACACCTCCAAATAGATTTATCCATGGTAATTGCATTAGTATAGAAATAGAACTTCCTATACTTCCTTATTACATCATTCAAGAAGCGTTTAATTGTCTTCAAGAGTTAGATATCTTGGATAAAAAATAATAATGCTGTTTTCGAAAGATAATACTATTAACCATGATTCGATTTCATTAGAATGATAAACCTACACTCATACTCATACCTCAAAAATTAATATTCTGCATCTCATGAAATTACTCTCAGAATCCGATGCTGCTATAATAAAATGCTTCATCAGTGTATACTATTATACTCCTTGAAATATCAAGTCCCATTTATTGGGCCGTTTTCGAGAAAAAGTCATTTTAGATTTATTACTTCTGCTTTTCACTAACTCAGCTTTCCCGTATTTACAAAATAAAGTGAAGACTCATAAATTTAGGCTGATTTAAATCGAATCATCACATCGGATAGGTTTAAGATCCAAATTAATTGCGATAAATAAATATATTAGTAAAGAATTCAATTTTCTTCGATATATCAAGAAAAATCTTAGAGAACCATTAGTCAAATATTACAATCAAATGATTATACAAAAAGATTTCCCGTATTTCTAATGGATTTTGACTCAAATGTTTAATTACTTGCTTGTCAATGCCTACCAGTCCCAACTTTTTATACCTTTTTTACGTAAAGCCTTTCGTATATCTACAAAAAATATTAATTTTTTTAATACTTTGAATTTACACTAAATTCATTATACTTTGTTAATACTAAGAAAAAAGCTTAATAATAAAACCCTTAAAACAAGTTAAATTTTTTCATCATAAAATCTTTACTAATATTGCAATATTTATGAAGAAATTATGATTCAATTCGTTTCATTATCCATTATAATGTGCATCTATTTTTCCAAAATTTTTTCATTTTTCATTTTCCCTTATCAAATTTGTATTTTTCACATTGATAAAGATTTTTTGAATTTTTTTTGAAAAAATTATTTTCTTCTCGAGCTCGATGAATATAATCATTACTATCTACTATATAATTTAAACATTATTCTTATCTCAAAAACATCATAAATCATAAAATCATCTCTAATTACGTTTCTATCTCAACAACCAAGAGATTACAAAAATAGTCTGCCAAATAAACTTCACAAACAGAATAAAATATATAGATTTACGTATAGTTGCCCACATTAGACTCATTTTTGATCTAAATCTTTTCTCAATTATCTTGACACGCTCAATTATTTCATAATATGTTAGAGTAAGAGAATGTAGCATACATGTAAAGAATATATTTGTGATAACAATCCTTTCATATTAGGAATTGAAGTACTTTAGATTTTAACTTGACGTTTATTTTTAACCTTAAAACAATATGTAATAGAATCTTCTATATTTTATGTCAATTGATCATTTGTAATGTTTGTATTGTCATTACGATGTGTTTAATTTTATTTTCGAGTAAATTTGGATAAGATTTTGAAGAAATATTAGAGATAAGTGAGATTTGTTGAAGTATTTTTGATTTTTATAGATAAATACGGCTATTTGCTATTCCTGAAAACTATTTTGTCCTGGTTGAATTTGTAAAATCTTTTAGTGAAATGTCGAATGAGAATGTATCAGTAAATGATCTGCTTTCAGATCTTAATGATGTCAACAACTTTGGTGACCTCAAGAAGATGGCGCAGAATCCTGTTGCACCTCTCCAAGAGACTTCTCTCGTCGCCCAGAATAAAGCAAATCGTAAGGCTGCTTTTGAGCAAGTCAAATCAGATGTCGATGCATGGGGTATAGTCGCCTCTGAAGTTGATAAACAAAGAACTATCACATTTGGCGAATCAGAGAAAAAGAAAGTTCAAGAATTTCAACCAGTCAAGTCAGAACTTGCAAGTACAGTCAACAACATCCTTACAGAACAGAAATTAACACGTGAAAGCCAACTCGCACTTGAAGACGAAGCAATGTCCAAATTATCAGACAAAGAAATCCGCGAGCGTGTTGAACAACTAGCACATCTTAGAAGACTCCAGTTTTACAACGAAATGAAAGCCCGTCGCTGGAAGAAAATCAAATCAAAAGCTTTCAGAAGATTACATAAGCGTGAAATGGCCGATATTCCTCTTGAAGAACTTGCAGAAGTTGATCCAGAGGCATTCCAGGCCAAAATAGCCAAAATTGAAGCAGATCGTGCCAAAGAAAGAGTTACATTACGTCATAAGAACACATCTCAATGGGTTCGTCGTGTTTTAGCACGTGGTCTTAAGGCAGCATCAGCAGATGTCCGTCAAAGCTACGAAGACCAGCTGAAACTCGGAGAAGAATTAACCCGCAAAATTGCCCTCAAAGCAGAAGCCGCCGGAGACGAAGAAGAGGAAGATGAAGAGGTTATACAGCAAGCCGCCAAGGATTCCAACCTCAAACCACTCCTTGACATGTCATTTATGAAAGAAGCCGCCCAAAAGAAAGAAAACGCGATGGAAGACCTCGAAAAAGCCATCAAAGACTTCGATACAACACCTTCATCAGGTATCATCAACGTCGCTTCGAAACCTGTCCAACAATTACGTAAAAAAGGTGACAAGAAAGATAACGAACAAAAAGTGACAGAAGAAAAATCACAACCAGCAGAAAAACAAGAAAAAACAGAAGAAAAACAAGTTCAGAAGGAAGAAGTCACAGAAGAACCAAAGAAAGATGAAGAAAAAGAAGAAGAAAAACCACAAACAAAAGTTCCAAAAGCAAATCCATGGTCGAGACACAACAAGAAACAGAAGAAGACAATAAACGCCAATTTCCAACAGCCAACGAAAGAAGAACTCGAATCAATGAACACATCAGTTGATTTCGCAAAGGAAGGACAAGAAGAAGAACTTGCGAAAATGCTCGGATACGAAGATGAGTTCAAACGCGAGAAAGAAGAACAAGCAGCGAAAGAAGCATCGAAAGATGTTGCTTCAATGGACGAATTACACATCGCTGGCTGGGGAAGCTGGACAGGATTAGGAGCTGTTGAATCAGAGAAGGCGAAGAAGAGAAGAGAGAACTTGGAGAAAGAAAGAAAATCAATCATCGAAAAAGCCATCAAAGAAAGAAAAGACGCGAATTTGGACGGTGTCATTTTGAATGAAGAAAATGATACAGCGTCTAACAAATACGCAATCACAGAAGTACCAAGAGGATACACAAATGCAAAGCAGTTGGCTGCACAGTTGTCTTATCCAATTGGTCCTGAATTCAACTCTGTAACAGGTTTCCAGAAATTGATTCAACCTGACATGAAAACAGTCGCTGGTCAGGCAATTGAACCAATCTTCATGACAAAGATGAATAAGAGAAAACAGAGAATTGATAAGATGAAAGCAAATAGAAAAGCTCTTGAAGCAAAGAAATCTTTACAATAATGTTTTTTATATATATTTATATATTTTTTTATAGAGAAAAACTAAAGTTGATTTTTATTTTAATTATTTTAATAATATCAACCAAGCAATAAAACATGGTATCTTCTGTATCAATAAATTTTTAGTTATCTACTTCTATTGTTCTTTGAGATTTCTTATAGCTCTATCCTTATTTCGTATGAGGATACGAACGTCATATTAAGATCAAAATATCATCACAATATATACTATCAAGACTAGCATCGTTGTTGACATTATCAAGAAACGAATGAAGAGCGAAATGAAAACACTTACATTTCTTCTTTTCATTTGGTAATTTTGCCTTGGTTTGTTGGAATCTTTTCTAACATTTATCATATTTTATATGCTAGTAAACACATATAAATTAACTAACATTAAATAACGTAAACGTTTTCTCGCGACATCGAATATTTGAAGTGTTATCAACGAGATGTTGTGTGATATCAAGAAACGGATAAAGATTAAATTTAAATTAAATTCTTCAATATAATTCTTACGAAGCATTAGATTGTTGTGTACAAATATTTTTCTTCTTATTACATATATCTTTTCTAATATTTATCTTAGATTTTTATCATTATTAAAAATTAATCCTATTGGCATTTATACTTGATAATTTAAAAAATGATTTGGCAATATTATCAATTTAGTGAAACTACAAATGTAGATATGATCATGATAATTACGCTAATATCGACATACAACTCAATATAAATCCTTATTGCATCATTCACTAAATATTAAATAATCAATATTATTTCATTATCTTATATAAAAAAATAACCATAATGCTGATTTCGAAAGACAATTCTATAATTTATAATATAGTTCCATTATAACTATGAGCTCATACTAATGTTTATCGTAAAAATCAATGAAGTTATCGGAAAAAAGTTATCGTTAGCGATAACTGGAAATTGAAAGCAATTGAGGGAAACCGCCCCGAAACTAACAAATTTGTGAGAACATGAAATATCGGATGATATTTTTTGAGGAGACATTATAAAAGCTTTAAAATTATGCATATTATAGGACATTAATGCTAATATTTATTAATAAAATTATATGTTAATTTACGCAGCGTTATTCCTCATGTTCTATTAATATGGAATAAGAATTAGCTTTAAGCTCTGAATTCTCTGAGATTTGAAATCCAAATTATAATGATATCAGAAGAGAGTCTAATATTTCAGGATTTGGTTCATGCTTCAATAACAACGTCTAGTTTTGTCTGTTGAGAAAATATTTTTTTTTTCAAAACGATCATATATAGCGATGTACAATTTCCACAAAAAATCAGAAATACTTTCATGAAACAATAGGATCGCAACGCAAAGATCATAAGCAATTCCTGCAACCATGATTTTGATTTTGAATTTTTCCGTAAAAACATCAATTTGCTTCACAATAATGTTTCGTATATATATTCCCTATCTTTATACACTAATAGTTCATTCATTTATCTTGAAATGTAATACGATACCCGGATTCTGAATCTTGTTTGAATTTAAATTTGAGAGGGCGGTTGAATTTGAATTACTTATTGTTCTGAAAAAATTGAGAGGACAGGTCGATGTTCATTTTGTTAAATGTTCAGTTTCTTATTGACTTCTCATGCTATGTCCAAAGTGATAGGAGCTCCTGGATCTTTCTCAGATCAGGTTGAGTCAAAACTCGAGTTAACATTCACTCCTGTTGAAAACTACGATTCAATTGTTATTTTCCCAACACCAGAAAAGTTTTCTATCAACAATCAGGCTCTCAAGCGTGTTTACTACAATCCAGAAACATTAGTTATTGAATCCGAGAACAATGTCTTAGATTATTCCGTAATTCTCCTTAAAAAGGGTTATTGCACCACATTAGATTTTATTCTCAACAAGTATGAGAATGATACTGTATCTTTATCTATCAATGCATATGATTACAAGTCAAAACACTTATGCTTTGTTTTCGCAAATGCTCATGAAACAAAGTCTGTTGTTTATGGCAACAACGATCAACTTAATGGCAAGATTTATGCATACGATAACTATATCCTCAATGGATCTTCATATCATGAATGGAATAAGAATACAAATCTTGAATTAACATACACAACCTTAATGATTGACTTCACAACAGAATCAAATGAATACAACTATTTTGGTATCAATAAAGAAAAGAATGCAACAACTTCAGATAGATATCATATTCCAAATTTCGAAACAATGTTAAAGGGAACTGTCATTCTCCCTGAAATCAAAGACTTCAAGTACGGTATGTATGATGTAAAACTTAATGACTCATATGTCTTATATGTTCCAGCAAAATCTTACATGATCATGCTTCAATATGATACATACACAATTCAAGCATTCTCCGGAAATCAAAACCACGAGGAAAAGCATTCAGACCTTGAACGAAGCGTTGCCTGGTCATTTGCCAATAATTCATACATCAGAATTAAGGGACAAACAAACTTTAAGTTCATGTTTGTTAAGCATCCAGAAGAAATGAAGTGCACAGAATATATTACAATTCTTGGCAAAATGGACTACAAGGTCAAAGGAAAGAAAGGAGAACAATTCTGTGTTTACGCTGCAACATATGATGGAAAGATCAAAGTTGAAGATAGTAAGGTCGCAACATACTTTGATGAAAATGGAAACAATTTGAAAGAGAACAAATATTCTTATGATAACATTGCTATTGTTCATATTGACAATACTAAGTCAAGTTCAAGTGTCAAGTTTGAAGTTGGTGGCTCAACAGTTACTCCTTATGTAATTCGTAATACAAAAACATATAACAAATATCATATTTTCGCGATATCAGAAACAAGTACAGGCAGCTTAAACAGTGAAGATAGAGATGAAAATGATCACAGCTTGACATATGTTGTTCTAATCTGGGTTGCTATTGGTGTCGGCATATTAATTGTTATTGCCGTTGCCATCTTCCTCGTCAAGAAATTTGTCATCGACAGAAGAAAGAATACTAATAAGACAGGTACTGGGTGAAGGTCTCATTTAAATAAATAAATTTTTATATTATTACTAACATTTTTTTTTCTTAGGATTCCTATCTTATTTTATATTCTCAAATTTTATAATTATGATTGTTCAGAGACCACGAAAAGGAAACTTTAGTCATGAAATGTGAAGGCATCTCAGAAATATTTAAACTCCTTTTCCTTCATATATAGTCTCGCATTCAAATTTTTGATAGAGATTCACTCAATATTGAGGCAGAAAAACGATAGAGAGACTTTACGTAATCTCAATGAAACAACAATATTTAATGAATATGAAACAACAATATTTAAATCACGCTGAAGTTTAGCGATTTGAGTACTATAAAACTGATTTTGATTTGATAAATTTGAAATTTTTTGATCTAATTCTTTTTCATCAATATAAGGATATTCGGTATTTGTTGATTGACATGATCTACCTGCTTTCGAATCATTTTCTTGTAAACATGGTGAATTATCTTTATTTTTTTGCAATATTATCCTTAAACGCCTTTGCAAATCGTCATTTATTGCTTCGTAATTCCTGATTTGATTTATTAACTGAATGTTTTCTCGAAATATTTTGTCAATTTGATTTGCAACAAGCAATGCTTCGTTTAGCTGAGATTTTAGCTTTTCTATCTCTTGCTTAAGAATAATGTTTTCATTTATAAGCTTTTTGTCTTAAGATTATCATTATTCTCCATAAAAAATTTGTTTGATTTCTCCCAAATAAACGGTCACATATCATACTCTCAATTTCGTTTTTGGAAGTAGTATCAGCAATAGAAATTGCAATAGAAACAAGGCTATTAAAAAAAAATCCCAGATTTCATCTAATTTGGTTTCATATTAATTTAATCAAAGTGTATTTCTAACCATATATTATTCAAATTAAAATACAAAAAATATACGTAAGCTTGATTTAAATTTGAACAATTTGCATTAAAAATACGAAATATTTTATGGTGAATGATGTTCTTTAATTGCTTGACAAACGCCACAATTGAAACATAGTATAAAATGATGTCATATATGATAATACATGGATTCCAACCGAAAAATTATGATTCAAAAAATGAAAGTTCGATTTGCACACTATAGGAACAGTTTCTAGTAACATTATACACGTGATAAAAATGTTGATATTGGACAATGACAAAATCATTAGCCAAAAATCAAGGCTTTATTTTATCTTTAGAAATCGGTTAATCTTCTCAAACTCTTTTCCTTTAAACCGCTTATATTCAAAAATATCGATGATTCTCATTCAAATGTCAAAAACCAAGATGATCCGCCAGCTATTTTTCTGAATATATTCAATTCATAAGACTTATAATTCGTTTATACTCATCCTTGTTACGATATCCACTAATTTATCTAAATTCACTTTTCTATTCAATTTTGCAAATTATCGGAATCTGTTTCTTTTAACAATCAACCAATAGGGAAACTAATTGCGTAATAACGCAAAATTGTTATTTGAATATGCGCTCTCAATCAAAAATTTGAATGAAATTGAATTCAGAGTTGGTTCATCAGTAATGCCTTGTGTTTCAGGTTTCTCGATCTCTTCTTTTTTGGAGATCCTTCTTATAGTTCCTACAGTAATTCTCTCAGTCAAACTTTTGAACACGAATGAAGTACCCTTCTTTGAAGTATATATCGGCGTCAATACATCAGCAAGTCCGAATAATGGAATATTCTTTGGTCTTGTAACAGGTAATATCATGTCAAGCGTTCACAGAAGAAAGTTCCAGTTTACAAATTGGTTACAATTCCTACATCTATATGATTTTGGATATAGCTATATCATTGAAGGTAATCCAAATATTTCATATAATCATTCAGGAATAGTAGAACAGTATATGATCAAAACAGATAAAAATAGTGAAAGAGCAGCTTAAAAACAATCAGCTGCTTATTATTTTTATTATAATACATCATATAAATGGCTGTGGATATCCAATGATGATGTTTCCGTTAGTATCACACGGCTAAGAAAACTTGTAAATTTATTAAATTCAAAATATGATACAGACAGAGATACTATTGTTTTAGGAGGCTGTGTTGGTCATCCAAACCCATTCATTCAAGGTGGAAGTGGAATGATTCTTTCCAGAAAAGCAGCATTCAAGTTTACTGAATTTGGAGTCCAATGGATAATTGAAAAGGTCATTTGGGCAGATGACGTAGAATTTAATGAGTTTATTTGGCATATAGGAGAAACTCCTGGGTCTTGCAACATTCCTCATATGGTTGGACATACATTAGATGTTCAAGTACCTATAAAAATGAATTCAATACCAGAGTGCAACAATATAGAAAACTATTCACCTTCATGCTTCAGAAAACCCCAATCTGCAGATGATATTGTTGCTATTCATCTAAATACCTTCCCACATGGCTGGGATCAGATTCAAGAACTTGAGAAACATACCGGTGAAGGTTTAATGTGGTATAATGTAAGATTAAGATCTAAGTTATGTAAAGTTACAAACAAAACAAAATAATATAGAGATTAGTAAGAAATTTCAATTGGGTCAAAAAATTTCTCCATTTTAGAGAAAATCAGAAAAATATTATATATTAAAGGATTTTAGTTTATATTTGAACATTGAAATTGAGAGAGACGATACCGATAATTTGTATTTTCTTTCAATTATTGAAAAGATTTCAGATTTTGTGATATGATCCAAAAAGTGGCTTTTAGATTGATTTTCTATTTCTTTCTAGTTTATAAACACATTATATATTCTACAATATTGCAATTGTTAAAATCTTGGACAATTATTCTCTTAATATTAAACAAAATTGTGATTGTATGCATTGTTAAGTTAATGAATCCCTTTGATAAGTTGCATGGCACTGAGTCAAACATGAGTTTTATCATCAAATCTTTATATTGGCTATGATTTGGTAAAATGACTTTTTTAAATAAGACAGTTAGAACGGTGCTCTTTCGACCATATTCTTTCAAATAAAAACATTTTTGGATGAAAAATATAATTAATGAATTTCAAAAAGAGCATTTTCAACGAACCTTCAATTAAGTATAATCGGCATTTATAATTAAGATTTATTTTATCTAAATTCTGTGAGTTATAAACATAGTATAGTTTAAGTTTGAGATCATCAGATATAAAGAGAATTGTAATATTACAGAACATTTATTTATAAAATTAACAATAAGGTAAATGAATAACATTCAGTTTCTTTGATTGATATATATATGTTTATAAGGGCAGACATTTCATTCTTTTTTGTATATTTCATAGAGTTTCCGATTTTGGCTCCTCTTCCAAGCAACTCAATTGCGGCATCGGTTCGGTTATTTTTAGCTGCAAAACAAAGTGCTGTTTGACCTTTTTTTATTCTTTCTATTAATATCTTCACAAGCTGTTATAATCATTTTAACATTCTCTGCATTTCCTGCAGCGCATGCTAACATCAAACAACTGTTTCCATTAGAGTCAATCATTGAATAATCGCTACCTTTTTCAAGAAGAATCTTTGTATAGTAACTATTATCTTGCATTTCGGCGGACATTTCGTGCGCTTTGTGGATAGATAAAAACAAAAAATTATTAAAAAATTATCCAATAAAAACGAAAAGCTGATGGAATATAGAGAATAAACAATAGTTCAGCCATCAAAAGAATCACTTGAGAGAATTCTTAAACTTAATACAATAGAATCTCAATTAATTTGTGATAAACAGGAAATGTTATAAAAAAATTCCGAATTTAACCCAATTGATGAATAAGCTATTTAAAATGTAGAGTTACTGAGAAATTTACTATATCGAAAAGCATAATCTAATGAGTTTCATGATGCAAATGAATCCTTATTCAAATTTAACTAATATTTAATTTTGGATTATGCAGGATCCGAAAAGTTATCGTAATCGATAGCACATAATTGAGAATAACTGTTTCGAAACAAATTCCTGGAGTCATATGTATTCAAAAACTTTTGAAGAATAAACAAAAATGCTTTACAATTATGTGAGATATATGATCTTCATCAAATGCGACGCATTGTAAGATTTGCTCAATAAATAATTTTTTGTCGCAAAGAAATCAAGTATATTCTATGGTTTTTAAATAAATTTTGATGGAATGACATGAAACAATATGATCCAATGAAATCGAATGTCAACGATATCCGTAACCACATTTTCAATTTGATTGTTTCAAAAAAAAAAAAATTAATTTGCCTTATAATATTGGATCAAACATTTAATTGTCATACGATACCTTCATTTTGGATCCGCAATCTAAAATTGAGAAAGCAGTTCATTTTGAGAGGGTGATCCAATTTTTTTAGATCCATAAAAAAAAAAATAAGTGATTGGATCTAAGATCATTTTAGACAATGCTCAGCTTCTTATTAGCATATCATGCTATATCCAAAGTAGTAGCAGATCCAGGATCATATTCAGATCTAGTTCAGTCAAAACTCGAGTTAACTTTCACATCTGTTGAAAATTACGATACTTTTGTTATTTTCCCAACCCCTGATAAGTTTACTATCAACAACAACATTATTAAACCTATTTACTACAATCCAGAAACATTAGTTATTGAATCAATTAATAACGTATTGCACAAACTTAAAAACCATAAGTTTAAATAGCAAGGTAACAACATTGGGCTGGGCTTGCTTCTATGGAACAACCTTTCTATCTATAACTCTTCCAGCATCAGTATCTGTAATAGCTGGAGATTCATTTTCATATGCTAAAGTTCGTAAAATTACTACTCTAGGAAATGGACCAAAAAATATTCAAGATTATTGCATGATGTATTGCGAGTTGAGAGAAATCAACTTTGGCAAAAATCTTGAAAATATAGGAGGTGTTTCTTTTTATTATAATAGCTATCTGGAAAAAGTAAGTTTTAATGCAGATTGCAATCTTGTTTCAATTGGAGGTCAAGCTTTTGCTGGATGCTCAAAATTGAAAAGTATCGTATTACCTAAAAAAGTTAAATCATTAAAAGATAGATGTTTCCAATATGCTTCAGTGTTGGCAACATTCTCTATTCCAGCCGGATCGGTTTTAAGCACTATTGAAGATTTATCCTTTGATAACACAGCATTAACTTCAATATCATTCCCGAAAACACTGACATTTCTTGGAGTAAATTCGTTCCAATATTGTAAAAGTTTGAAATCTGTTACATTTGCAGCTGGAACAAATTTACCAACACTTGGTGGTGGTGTCTTCAAATCATGCACATCATTACCAACAATTACAATTCCATCAACTGTTTCAACATTTGATCCATCTGCATTTGCATATTGTTCAAGCCTAGTCAGTATATACGTTCCTTCTGCAAACACACATTATACAAGTAGGGATGGAATTGTTTACACATATAATAAGCAGAGACTCGTTTGTTGCCCGGCAGGAAAAGTATCTGCATTTATTTATAATTACATTATTGTCATCGGATCAAATGCATTTTGGAGATGTACAAAACTTCAGAATTTGACATTCCAAAGCGGATGCAAACTAGAGACGATTGAAGATGGAACGTTCTATTCTTGCACAGCACTTGTAAGAGTTGATCTTCCAACATCATTGAAAACAGTTAAACAAAATGCTTTTGCAGGTTGTACAAAGCTTGCAATCATTACATTCCCTGACTATGCACGTGTCAATTTGGATGCTGATTCAATATTTTCAGATTGTACATCGTTGACAACATTCACATTCGGCAAGTTCTGTGCACTCAAAGTATTTGGGAAGAATATATTCTCAAATTGTAAAAAATTAACAACAGTAGTTATTCCTGCAAATTGTACAACAATCCGAGATAATGCATTTAAAGGATGCCAATCTTTGAAGTATGTAAAATATCAGGCAAAGTCTAAAATGTCATCTTTGAGTTCTACGGCCTTTTCAGGATGCACATCATTAACTAATTATTCAGTACCTGATTCTTATACCCAGATAAGTTCTGCTTGTTTTGGTGGAGCACCGTCAATTACAATAGTAAGCATTCCAACAGGAATGAAGATCAGCAAAATCGTTTCAACTGCATTTTCACCATACAAACTAAAATCTATTACGATTGCTTCAGGAACAACAATATCTTTTATAGAAAGTTCTACATTTGCAAACAAATTGATCGATAACTTTTATCTTGATTGCAAAGTATCACTTTCATCTTATGTATTTAAAAATTGCAGCAAACTCAAGAAAGTTTATATAAAGCAAATATCGAATACTCCAATTACCTCAGCAACCAACTTCAAATACTCAAAAAGATTAATGTCAGCAACGAAAGAATATTACACAATCCCGACTGGAACATTCTATGGTTGTAACAATCTAGAGTCAGTCACCATAAATAATAATATTGTTAATATCTCTGATTATGCGTTCACAGACTGCAGTAAACTCGTTTTCAAAATTCCAAGTTCTGTGAAGAGAATTGGAAACTTCGCGTTCAAGAACTGTTTCAACATTAATAAAGTTCCAGAGAATGTTATATATTTCGGAAATTCATCATTCATTGGGACAAGTGTTCCAAGTGTTCTTAGAATTTGTTCCGGTACAAAGTTCATCGGATCTTCTTCGTTCATGAGCACAAAAGTTCGAGTTGTCTATTACTGCGGTTCTCGAGATTTCTCTAAATTCTATCCTTCTTTCGAAAGAGGAACGAACGTTATTGTTGGATTGAGTTATAAGCACAACGTATTCTGTGGATCGCCAATATTCCACAAAGCATCGTACATTTGCGACGACATCATCGAGACAAACTTCGTTGGAGTCGACATCATCAAGAAACAAATGAAGAATGATTTGAAAACACATGCATCTCTTCTTCTGACTTCATCATATTACCTTGGTTTATGGTAATATGTCATCATATTTTATATGTTAGTAAAAGTGTATATATTATAACAACCTTAATAATTATATTAATCATTCATATGAATTAAATGAAATAGTATATTTTCATACATTAGTATAAGTAATTCAAAATGACTATGTAAAATGAGTAATTAAATTTTTGAATAGTTGCTTGATACTTTTTCGAGCCGTAAAAAGTTAAGAGAATTATGTTATTACAGTTTATTTATGCAACGTTAAAAATCTTATTATTGATGACTGCATAATATAAAATAAGAAATTTGACTGTTTCTTAACTGCTGTAAGGTGAAGAGCTTTTTCATTGAGATTCGTACCATATGAAATAAGAAGTTCTGTGATTTCTTTGCTTTTATATTGCAGTGCATAATGAAGAGCGGTTTTTCCATAAATGTCTTTTTCATTGATATTCGCACCATATGAAATAAGAAATTCTGCTGCTTTTTTACTATTATAATCTACTGCAAAATGGATGGCAGTTTTTCCTGCATCATCTTTGATGTTGATATTTGCACCATATAAAGTAAGAATGGTGATTATTTCTATATTATCATGTTGTGTTGCAAAATGAAGAGCGGTTTTTCCTGCATTATCTTTGATGTTGATATTTGCACCATATGAAATAAGAAGTTTGGTTATTTTTCTATTATCACGTTCTGTTGCATGATGAAGAGCAGTTTTCCCAGCATTATCTTTTTCATTGATATTTACACCATGCGAAAGAAGAAGTTTGACTGATTCTTCGGATTGAATATCTACTGCATAAAATAAAGTAGAATAATCATTTGCATCTTTTTCATTGATGTTTGCACCATGTGAAATAAGAAGTTCTGTGATTTCTTTGCTTTCCCATTCCAATGCATAATGAAGAGCAGTTTTTCCATAAATGTCTTTTTCATTGATATTCGCACCATATGAAATAAGAAATTCTGCCGCTTTTTTACTATTATTCTTTGCTGCAAAATGGATGGCAGTTTTTCCTGCATCATCTTTGATGTTGATATTTGCACCATATAAAGTAAGAATGGCGATTATTTCTTTATTATCATGCTTTGTTGCAAAATGAAGAGCAGTCTCTCCAAATTTATCTTGTTCATTGATATTTGCACCATGTGAAAGAAGAAGTTCAGCTGTTTCTTTGGTATTATATTGTGCTGTTCAATGAAGAGCAATTATTCCATTTTTATCTTTTTCATTGATGTTTGCACCATATGAAATAAAAAGTTTAGCTGTTTCTTTGCTATTATTTTCTAATGCAATATGAAGAGAGGTTTTTCCATTTTTATCTTTTTCATTGATATTTGCACCATGCAAAATAAGAATTTCGGCCGTTTCTTTGCTATTATTTTCGGCTGCAATATGAAGAGCGGTATGATTACATATATCTTTTTCATTGATATTTGCACCATGCAAAATAAGATATTCGGCTAATTCTCTACTGTTATTCCTTGCTGCAATATGAAGAGCGGTAGTTTTATTTCCAATTTTTGCATTGATATCTGCACCAAGTGAAAAGAAATACTCACAAATAGCAATATCGAACATTACCGAATTAACAAAACATTTATTAACATCATTTGTTTGATCAAAATATACTAAAAATGATTCAAGATTATTATAGAATCCACAATCAAATAAATTGATACTTATATTATACTCATTCATCAAGAATGTAACAAAATCAATGTTATGTGAAATAATGGCATATCTCATGCAATCATCATATGGTTTCTGATATTTCAAACATTCACTCATTATCTCTGGATTTCCGCTTAAAAATGAAAATTCTAGACACTTTTGAGTTATTTCTGAGTTAAATTTCGATCTTAAGAACTTGAAACAATCAACTGCACCGTGATAACAGCATAATTCAAGTAATGAATATCCTTTATTAGAATATAAATGTAATCTGTCTCGGTTTTCTGGATATAATTTGCTATCAAGTTTTTTATCTTTATCAAATCCTTCTCTTTCTGTGAATAAGATGAATGCTTTCAGGTCGTTATTCATAATTGCTCTGTAAATAGTATTTTCTGAATGGATGTCTGAATTTATAAAATTCATTTTTTCAAAATCAGCAGATTTGTCTAATTTAACACCATATTCTTTATAAAAAACGAAGTTAAAAATGATGGGAATTTTGCTTACATCATTCACATTATATTCATCAGTGATGAATTTCATAAGAGTCAAATATGACTTTATATAGCGGTTATTGAACGGAATGATGCCAACTATATCTTTTATGATATATTTTGGGAGATAATTCTTTGAATCAATCAAATTTGTTTTGATCATTTTGTAAATCGAGCTTAATTCTTCTTCATTTTCTGTTTTTAGCTGATACAATGCTGTGTATGAGTCAATATAGTATTTATAGAGACTTCTAAGCTCGCTGTATTTATTTAAAAAAATGCTTTTATCAGACATTAAATTTTATGAATTTTATTTTGATCAATGTTTATCTATATCCGATTTTGCATTGAAGTAAATAATAATAATTGACATATATTCAAATGAACAATCATTAATATTGATGACTAAGAAATCTTCACATTGTCTAACTTCAGCTCTCATATTCTGAGGTACATCTCAAACTCCTTTGGAGAACAGTAGTTCGTCATCTCCCATAGTGCTTCATCCCTTAAGAAGCAATGGCATATCAGGATCAAAAATGTTGAAATCCTCATAATCCAACAAAGCAATTCCAATCACAAATTGTCTGGAAAACATTGCAACTACTATGATCTTAATATCTAATTGCAAATTATTCTGATATTTATATGAATACGATATAAAATCAATATAGTAATTAATGTAATTACAAATACTATTTTGATTCCTGCTTGCACGCAATATGAAAATTTCAAACAATAAAATTAAATTAATTAATCTTCGAATTCTATATGGATGAGTCTGGCATAATGCATTGGTTGAGAAAATATTAGGAAATAATTCTGAAAACAAATTTTAAATTTCGAATTTCCCAAAATCAATTAGATTCTTCCCAATAATGTTCCACTTCTCTAATCTAACTCTAAAATCATCATTGGTGACTAATTTTCATGATTTGAATTGCCAAATCTTACATGGTTTTCAATACTGAAAATTGAGAGAGCGGTTGAGATTGAATGATGATCCAAATGTTCTGAAAAAATTGAAAAAGTTACTGCGAAGTTATTCCATACAATGCTTGGTTTCTTATTGACTTCTCATGCACTTTCCAAAGTAATTGAAACTCCTGGATCATTTTCAGATCAAGTTCAGGCTAAACTTGAGTTAACATTCTCTTCTGTTGAAAACTACGATTCTATTGTTATTTTCCCAACACCAGAAAAGTTCACTGTCAATAAACAGACACTTAAACGCATTTACTACAATCCAGAAACATTAGTTATTGAATCAGATAATAATGTCTTAGATTATTCTTTAATTCGCCTCAAAAAGGGTTATTGCACTACATTAGATTTTATTCTCAACAAATATGAGAATGAAAGTGTACCTATATCCTTCAATGCATATGATTACAAGTCAAAACATATATGCATTGTTTTCGCAAATTCCCATGAAACGAAATCTGTTGTTTATGGAAACAACGATAAACTTAGTGGCAAGATTTATGCATATGATAACTATATCCTCGATGGAACTTCATATCGTGAATTGAAGAAGAACACTGACCTTGAATTAACTTATACAACATTCATGATTGACTACATAACCGAGAATATTAGTTTCAATAGTTTTGGTATCAATAAGGGAAAGAAAGAAACTTATTTAGATAGATATTATATTATAGATTTTGAAACTGTACTCAGGGGATATCTCGTTTTACCTGAAATCAAAGACTTCAAGTATGGTATGTACGATATCAATGTTAATGGCTCATATGCCTTAGTTGTTTCAGCAAGATCTTACATGTTTATTCTTAAATACGAGAATTATTCTATTGATGCATTCTCCGGCACATATCAACATAAAGTTCCTTATAATGTAAATCATGATATCGTTGCATGATCATTTGTTGATGATTCTTATTTCAGAATTAAGGGAAATGACAATATAAAGTTCTTAATTGCAAAGAATTCGACTGAAATGAAGTGCAAAGAAATAATTACAATGTTCGGTTCAATAAGTTACAAGCTTGATGGAGGAAAACAAGCACAATACTGTGTTTTCGCTGTAACTAATGATGGAAATATCAAAGTTGAAGATAATAAGGTCTCAACATACTATGATGCTAATGGAAATAAATTGGCAGAGAAGAAGGATCAATATGAGAACTTTGTCTCTGTTTATGTTAACAATCAGGACAAGAAATCAAGTATCACGTTTGAAGTTGGTGGATCTACAAAATCTCCATATGTTATTCGTGATACAAGACTATATAACAAATATAACGCTTTCAGGATCTCAAACACAGGTGGCGATATCTTAAACTATGAAGAGAGAGACGAAACTACAGGTCTCACAGTAATAATGATTATTATCTATGTCGTCATCGGCATTGTCTCATTGATTATTATTGTCGTCGTCGCTTGCTTAATCAAGAAATTCGCCTGCAAGAAGAAAAATTCCTTTAAGGATGGCACTGGTGAAGCACTAATCTAAATAAACAGAAATTTTCATATAAAGTTAACTTTTTAGATTCTCATAATTCGATTTCATTATGAATATCAATTTGAAATTCGCTTTGATATTTATTCTTTCGGATTTCTCAAGAATTTCAATCATGAAATTTTGAAGTGAATTATATTCGTTAAAGTAGACATATAGCTAATTCTTTAAAATTTTGAAAAATAAAATTATTGAAGTATAATTATGGGAAACTTTGGTATAAATGAGGGAGGGAAATGCATCTATTTAATGAAGATGTACATGTACATGTTCTATGCTTTCATAATTTTAGTATTTGATTTGAAAATATACTAAATCTTAAGGTATATTTATCCAAACATGCTTTCTTCAAAGAAGATATCGCGTGCGTGAAAAAGCGAGAGATAATGAAAAAGGGGAATTGAAATCTTTCAGGTCTTATAATTCATTTCCAATTTTTGTCAGAAAAATGTAAAATATACGTTTTTCCATATTTTATTCAAAAATAGTCAACAAAATTCTCTTGTAATGTTTGATTCTCTTCATGAAACTCCGCAAGATACTCATATTTGGAAACAACCACCGCGTGATGCTATTTCAAGAATAGATAGAAAACGATTACAAAGAAAGAATGCTGTGAAGCAAAGATTTTTGACAAAATTAAGAACAAAATTTGAGGATGCAGATCTTGATAAAGTGGGTAGCATCACTCTACAACAATGGAAAAGATCAGGTATTCAATCTGTTATTCAAGATGGCCATATTTCTGCTGAAGATTTCGAACTTTTATTCAAAAAAATTGATGCAAATAAAGAAGGACGTATCACATGGAATCGACTTGTTCAATATCTCGTAAAAGATGCGTCAATTGTACAAGGATCTACAACTAACGAAGCAGCGCACTTTATTGATAAAATTAAAACTCCACAGCCAGGTAGAACGCATGTGCATCGTGATATGATATCGACAATACTTATTAGTTCCAGGACAAATAAATATATAACAATTAGTACAGATTCCGTAAGATTATGGAAAATAAATGATTTAACATTTACAAGAATGATAAACGAAGGCGTAAAATACATTACAGGCACCATTTTCGATACTTACCAAGTTCTCGCTCTAGCAACAAGTCAAAGACGTCTCATTTTTTATGATTTACAAACATTTACGAAATTACCAATCACAATTGACGCAAGTCCATCAGGAAATGCGATTAAATTGATGACAATAGAAGAAGCAAATGCTGCTTTAAACAATATCGATAACGCTTTACCTCCATTATACAATATGCCAACAACTATACATGTTTCCGACATCGAATTAGTTACAGACTGCGCCACTTTCTTTGTTGGTGATGACAGAGGTATAATTGAAGTGTTTAATCTATCAGCGCCAAAGAGAAGATCAGGAACAGATTTTAAATGCACAAAAATGGCAAAATTATCATTCCATAATGACAGTATCACACAGATAGCTACAATAAAGCACAGATCCTGCTTTGCTTCATCGAGTATTGATGGTTCCCTCCATCTTTGGAGCTACGACAATTTTAATAACAGTTTTAACATCATACAGTCACTTATTTCAGAAGAACCAATGATGAGATTTGTTTATAGCGAGCGCCAGAGAATGATCGCTACAATAGGAGTCTCAAGAGATGCTTACATTTGGAGTGCCGAATCATCAAGAAAAATTTTCAAGCTTGGAGGCCATTACAATGTACTTGCGCATTTGATTGAATATAATACGACATCTGGGGATAACTATATCCTTACAATTACGAACAAAAAAGAATTTAAATTATGGGATGCCCAAAACTATCGATTAGTAAGGGCTTTCCAGGACCAATCTTTCTTGTCACCTGAGAACAGATATAGTGCTGTCATTTTCGATGATAGAAGAAAAGTTTTATTAGTTGCAGCAAATTCTCTCAACATGTGGGGCGAAGAGGTCTCTTATTCCATCGAAAACGAGAGTATTGCAACCCATAATCGCCAGATTATTGGCTGTTTCTATTCTCCTGAGTTCAGAGACATAGTTACTGTAGATACAGCTTGTTGTATCAAAGTTCATTCAGCGGAAAAAGGAAAACTGAATGCTATACAGATAACTAATCACAAAGAAAGCAGCGATATCTCAGCCGCTTGTTTGGATTTATCTGGTCGGAGATTATTTACCTCATCTTACGAAAATACGTTAAGTTTATGGAACTATAACTCAGGTGGATTACTCGAAGAGATGAAACTCGATGGAAATTTGCTAATTTCGACAATGATCACCGGAGTTGTCGATGGAAAGGACATTTTGGCAAGAGCAGGATGGGACAGAGAAGTTTTCATGTATATAGAAGTCGAAAAAGGTAAATTTGAACTCACAAGAAGGTTCAAAGGTCATAATGATGATATTTCATGTTTGGCCATCTTCAAAAACGGTATTGTTAGTGGTACATTCTCAGGAGAACTTGTTTGCTTCCATGCGGTTCTCAATAAAGTCATGGCCAAAAAAGATCTCGATAGCGGAATTGAGACAATTTGTTTGGTCGAAGACCAATTTGTTTTTGTTGGTGACAGTGACGGTTATTTGTCAATTTTTACGATACCAAATTTGACACAAGTTGATAGTTTCTTCTGCCAAGACTTAACAGTCAGTGTTTCTTTGACTGCGATCACTTACGACAGCAAGACAAAGTTCCTTTACACAGCTGATGAATTGGGATATTTCAAGAAATGGTCAGTGATTATTGAAGGTGAAGACAAAGTCAGATTAGAAAAAGAAGGTTTCTATAGATTGCACAGAGATGAAATCAGTTCAATCACTGTCATTGAAAACAACTTTGTCGTTACATGTGGAATTGATAATTGCGCAAGATTGTGGTCACCTGATTTCGAATTTGTCGGAACTTTTGTTGATGATTCTCATTGGGACATCAACGATAAAAGTACATGGATTATACAAAAACCATTCGAAATCGAAGCGAAGCATATAAAGAGAATTAAACCAAACATGTCAATGAGATTCCAACCATTTAATCTTGTTGATCCAAACCAGCAAAAAATGATGATGGTTGAAAACAACGAAACACAAGAAGAAGAACAAAACAATGATACAAATAAACAAGAAAAAACAAAAACAGAAAATGAAGAAGAGAAACAATTGGACGCATTCGAAGCTCTTAAACAAATGGAAGAGTTCATAAACATGGAAAGATATCATCCAAAGGCTCGTTTGAACCAAGATGTGGAGAATCCACCGCCACCGCCGCCAAAGAAACTTCCAGAACTTGCACCTCTGTCAAGAGAAAGAGAGTTAACAAGCCAGATCAAGCAGTTGCAGCAGGGAATGTCTGCTACAATTTCTTATACAAAGAAAGAGAAAAAGATAACAATTCCGATGATTCCAAGCGAAACAAGTTTGAAGAGATCTGTGAAGATGCCAATTCCTATGTCAATATCACCTCTCAAAAGAAAAATACCAAGACAAACTGCATCTGCACCTCCTTTATTCTAATTTTAATTTTTTTAGATTTTAATTTTTGTTATTTAATAAATACTTTAAAATGTTTGTTTGCTTTTGATTAACTATCAATACACTGTTTCATAATAAATGCAGACTTACGACGAGCATGGTCTATTTTCAAATATTTTAGATAATTTATTAAAAGTTATGAGAAGGATCTAATTAATAGTGCATGTGCAGATTTTATGGGCTATGAGATAGTTTTTGGAATAGCTCGACCTATATTAATTCACTCAAAAATTCACATTCTCAGTTTTAGCTGCGATTCTTATGATTCTGCAAAAACAATCATTACTGCACATATTTATAAGTGCATGGAGGCTTCATTCTTATATTTATTTTTCAATAGTTTACGAGAGATTTTAGGTAATAGGCCTCGAATTATATTACGATCACGGGATTGTTACTGCAAAATATCAAGGATATTACTATTTGCGGATTTTCGAGCACAATCATAGCATTAACCGGTGTTTTTCGGACGAAAAAGATGCGCTTGATGCTGATGTTGCTGGGAAATATTCCATCCTTTCACATCTTAACGAAAGAAGGTTTATAACAGAAGATGGGTTCTACCATTTTATCCTTGAGTACCCTCAAAAAAATATATTCAACTCTTGGAAGCAGCTTGTTAATCCATACTTTGACACAGATCGAAATGTATCAAAAAATGCATACGGTTATAACTATACAGATATTCAAGCTGATGTTTCCACCGATCAGTATTCGCATTTTGGAGGTCTTGTTAAAGATCCTTACAAACATGCTTTACTTGATGGACAGCCTCAACATAAAGATTGGTGCTTTGCAATTGGAATGTATTGCAATCCTGATTTAGCTGGAACTTATTTAAATAATGGAATTCCCGGGTTTTGCGGTTATGAGCCAAGAGTTAGACTTTTTGCTAGAATCAATTCATGCGGGATAAAAAATTCACATCATATTTGTTATTTTTCCCAAATGTTTGGATTGTTTATCTCATCATTCTATGTATTTGTATTAGTATGATATATATTTTATTTCATTGTTATCTACAAACTAATAAAAATGTGATAAAAATTTTTTTTCCGAAAACCACAAAATAACGCAAAATGCTTTGTTATCATAAGCATTAATACTTATTCATTTATTTGGAATTTCATTTATATTTAGTAATTTTTTATTTGATAAAATTATAATTTTTTCATTGGAAAGAAGAAACATAATTTTCATATGAAATAAAAAAACAAACAAAAATTATTTATTCTTATTATCATGTGTTATCATTATAATCTGAATAACCGAAATATGCGACCATATCAGCCTGAACAGAAGCTTCATCAATAGTATTATCATTCTTGATGGCTTTACTTGCGACTTTCTGCCAAAGAATTTTCTTTTTCTCTTTCTTTGTTCCTTCAACCATTGTTTTCTGTTTAAATTCATTTGCACTTGCTTTGAAAGCAACTGGATCCAATTCCATCAATATATTCATTACCTGTAGAGCAATGAGCTGTACATTCTTGTGCCAATGTTCTCTAGCAACTCTAAACAATGTTGGGAATATCATTGACATCAGTTCATTTGGATTTTCTGTGATTGCGTTTTTAATTCTTTCGTTTTTCAGAAAATTCAAAGCTTTTTCAGCTAATGTCATCGAAGGACTCTCCGCAGCAAATGTTATACACTCTAGAAGACTTCCCATGACTGTCCTCAAATCAGCAGGAAGCATTTCTTCAATTACTTGGCCAACTTCGTCAATAAAAAGTTCACTTTTCTGATCTAATGTCAATGGCCAATGTGTGACCAAAAACTTAAGAAGTGTTGGACATAATCTTGCGTCTTTTCGTACCATTAACAAGACACATCTGACAAGTTGTCCGTGATACGCCTTCAGACCACTTAAAAGGTGTAAGGGTAAAATTACCCTTTCGAAAGATTGAATCTGAGCTGGAGCCAAAGGTGGCAATGTTTGGGAGTTAAAGAGGTAATAAAGTTCAAGCAAGTGTCCTGTAGCGTTGAAAGAGACTCCTTCTGGAACTCCGGAAAGAATTGATGTTGTAATGAAACGAAGTAAAGGACGCTGAGGAGGAACCTTGTTGAAAATGGCGGCTATAACAGCCTTAGCTTGGGAACTTTCGCGTTCATCTGGAAATTCAAGAACAGCGAACAATTGAGAAATAAATTTTGGAGATAACTGGTATTGGAGAATTCTTTGGTCAATATTCGCTTCTAGGAACTTCAAGAATAGTATATAGATTAAGTTAAGATGTGGCCAAGCAGAATCTTCAAATGTAATATCATCTGACATAAGAACTGCACGGGGAATGTTAGGCATCGGACGAAAGACATTAGTAGCGAACATTTCAATAACTGATGCATGACATTCTCTTGTTAAACGAGGAATTATCTTAGAATTCGAGTAAACATCGATTAATTCGTTTAATGTTACTCTTTTTGTTTCTTTACTAACAACATCTGTATTTGGATCAGAAAAGTCACAAATTCTCATACATTGTTTTACTTTTTGATACGTTAATTGAGGAATTTCGCCATTTGGAGCTGTCGAAAGTGAAGGTAATGGAATTAAATCACCAGCTTGGCCATGTCTAAAAGAAACGACTTGAAATGGTGGCATAGGAAGATCTGAAATTGGTTGTTTATCAGCATCTAAATCAATTTGACTTGGACTTTGATCAACTGGAGGAATCTGTGGTTTCTTTTGTTGTTGTGGTGCTAATATCTTACTTCGAGACGGGATTGAAAGACTTCCACTCTTTGTTCTTCCCGGTTTAGTAAGCATAGTTTTTGATGGCCCCTAGATATTTTTATTAGACCCATTTAAATATACGTTTTTTTGATTTATTATTGTTCCGTGTATAGACAGAATTATTTTCAATTATTCCTTGTTTACGGATTTATTTATGAATATTGAAAAGTTATAAATTTAGTATGTATTGTTGAATATTTGTATCACTTATGATATAAGAAAATTAATGATTATGGTAATATAAAATGTTATATTAATATTCTGCAAATTATTTAATCAATTGAGTGGAATGAAAACTGTCATGAAAAACTTTTCTACTTGCCTTCAAAATCTTAGATACCAAAACCAAGGCTATGAGAACTTGATCTGACTGTCAATTTTTAACAAAAACATAAAGAAGACAATTGTTCAGCGTCATTTATTATTTTTTGCTTATATGTGGCATGCTGGTAAACATGTCTTGTTTCATGAAACGAAATTAAATTTGAATAAAACAAAATCTTGAATTAACTTGAGGTGTTATATGTTTTTGCCCATTCTATTACCTATGCAGTATATACAAGCTATCAAATAGGCAGATTTTTGGTCATCAACTTTGATAAAAAAATTGAGAACTGAAAAGTCCAAAATTGAAAGATTGGATACGATTTCATTTTTCATATGAAAATAGATATTATTAGAAAACTTCGATTTGGAGGTCTCAATTTTTCAAATTGAAGTGAAAATTTGTTTACATCTTCTATTGTCGTAATTTATATTTTTGTAAAAAATAAAGTTTACAAAATAATGAGCGACATTGAGCAAGAATCTAACACCGACGGAGAGGAGCAAACTATTTCCCCACGCGAGGCAGAATTACAAGAGCAAATAGAAACTCTTAAACAAGAAAAGCTAGATCTTAACGCTCAAATTGAGCAGATCAAAGGCTTCATGGACAAATATAAGCAGTTATCGACCGAAAACCACAATATATTGACAGAAAATGGTAAACTTAAACGCGACATCGATGATCTACAGCACAGACTCCAACTTAGTTCCGAAACGAACAAAGATCTCGAGAACCAATTGAAGCTTGAAAAAGAGCACCACGACCAAATACGCAGTGCAGAATATGCAACCATGACAGAGCATGTTCAAACCACAAAACAGAATTTTCAGAATAAAATTGATCAACTCCAGAAAGAACTTGAAGCCGCCAAACAGCAGTTATCAAGTAAAGATGTCGAAACCAAGTTACTTAAATCCAAAAATGATCGTCTTATTCAATCAAGTTCGAGATATTTTGCCGAAAAATTTACTAACGTTGACAATCTCATTGAGAAATTCGAGAACGGCCCAGACATGAGATCAATGCAACGCCAGGCTCAGCAGACTCCTTCATCACCTTCAGGCCTCAAATCTCCAGCAGCTTCATTAAATAATGACAACCAAGTCCAGGCATTAAAGCAGAAAAACGCAATGCTCAAGGACAAAATCTACGATCTCCAGGACCAGATTGCAAATCTAAAGGATCAACTGAAAAAATCCAACCAAGAAAACAAACGTGAAGTCAATAAATTACAAGCTGAGTTAGATGCAGCGAATCAGGAGAACGCAATGACCAAGGAAAACCATGAACACGAGGTAAACGATTTGATTAATCAGCTCAAAAACCTCAAAGCTGAAATGAAAGAGAAAGAGAAGGAGCAAAAGAAGGAAAATGATGAAGATGATATAGTTGTCGTTGGAACTCGTGACGTAAACCCAGAAGAAGAGAAAAATAGCGAAGATGAATTGAAGGAACAGCACGAAAAGATCCAAGAAATACAAGAAAGACATCTCCAAGAAATTACTTACCTTCAAAAGGAGGTCAGAGAAAAGCTTAACGCTGCTGAAGAAAAAATCCAAGAATTAGAAGCCGAAAAAGCAGCTTTAATGCAAGAATTAAAGGAAGCAACAGATAATTTAGAGGATTCTAAGTCAATAATCAACGCTTTACAGGCAAAAATTGACTCATTAAACTTATTAAACGAAAATTACTCACAACAAATCGGAAAACTTAGGGAAATCCTTCTTAAGAAGCAAGAAATGCAGAACCAGGAAGAAGAAGAGAAGCCAGAGAACCAAGCAGAACAAGAAATGAACAAATTAATCGAACAACTCGAGCAAAAAGTCAATGAACTAAGCCAAGAATTATCAGAAGCGCAGTTAAAGAACTCAGAACTCGTTAATGAAGGCAACGAACTTAAAGGAGAAAACTTAGATTTGAAACATAAACTTGAAGATGCCGAAGACAAGGTCAAAGAGCTTGAAGCGGAAGCCAAGTACAGAGACATGAAGCAACAAACAGTCCAAGAGACCCAAATTCCTCCTTCCGGATGGCAATTCTCTTCATTCCCAGATGAATTACAAATTGTCATCGACAAAATTGCTCACAATGATGCTCTTCAAGATGCTTCCAAAGTCCAGGCCATTTACAGGCAAATCAATGACTACTTTACCAAGGAAATCGAAAAACGTGACGAAAAAGCATCGAAAGCCAACAAAGATCTCAGTGATTTAAAGGAAAAGATCTCGCCAATCATCGTAGATATCTCTATTGCGCTCTTACAAACAGCTTCCACGTTGGATCAAGTCATTGAAGACCAAGGAGCCAAGTTATTAGACGCAATCAAGAGATTATCCAAAGAAAACGACCGACTTTCAACAGAAAACAACAAGATGCAAGGTGTTATTGAAGGTATTGGTGACGTTTTCGAGATTGAACCTGAATCAAACGATGAATTAGTAAATCAAGTTGCACAATTCAAGCAATACATTGAAGTTCTTGCAGATAAGTTGCAGAAGACACAAGAGAAGGTCAAGAACATGAAGGTTCAACGTCAAAACGAGATCGCAGAGAGTGAACAAAAATATGATGAACTCGAACAAGAGAATACAAAACTTTTAGACCAGACGGACATTTTGAAAGCACAATTAGATCAAACTAAATCACAGCTGAACAAGACACAACAACAATACAACGAAATGACACAACACTTGTCGGCAGAAATCTCAGAACGCGACATCACTCTTGATGACAAAGTTGAAGAAGAACGTACACAGATCATTACAAACATGAAGAGCAAATTCGAAGACGAAAAGTCACAAATGAACGAAGAAATCAAGAACCTTAAATCCAAACAAGTTGAATTACAGAGTGAAGCCAACAAATTGAACCGAACAATTTCTGAACTTACAGCTGAAAACGATAAACTTAAATCGGAAATCACAAATCAACAGAAAGAATTTGATACTTATAAATCAACAACAGAAGAACGTTTTGATAAAGAGAAGAACGAAATGAAGAACCATTACGACGCAACAATCAAAGCTCTTGGACAACGATGCAGCGAACTTAGTGAAGATATTGCTAATTTTGCAGAAGAATTAACACAAAGCGAAGTTAAATATAACAAACTTCAAAAAGAAAAACAGACATTGATTGAAGATAAACGTAAACTGAACGAAGAGAAGAAACGTATTCAATCATCAGTCGAACGTGAGAAAATGCTTGCAGAAGCCCTTGCAAAGACTAAAATCATTGAAGAACAAGCAAGTTCTAATGAAAAGCTTCTTCTTCAGAAGATGAAATTCGAGGATGAAAAGAAGAAGTTGATGAACTATTTCGCAGATAAGTTTAGGAACTTCTTCTCTCCAATGAAACCAATAGATGACCATGAATATAGATTTGGTGTTGAAAAGGCCTTTGACGAATATAAGAAACTTCTGGCAGCAGACGAGAAAATTAGGAAGTTGTTGAATGCAAAACAAGGACAAACAACTCCTGATGCTGTAGCCCAAATTATTGTTAACAATGACATTAAACTTCAATAAACTATTTTATTCATTTATTTAATCTTAACTAACAATTTTTTTAATACTTTCTTTTGAATAAATTGATTCATACACCATTTAACTCTTTCTGACTTTCTGTCAAGTAGATTGAACAGTCAACATAAAATTTTCCCACAAAATTAATTTATGACATGAAGTCCTAATTATTAATTTAGATCTTCAAAACATCCAAATATTGCATTTCTTTTGTCAATAAAATTTTGTTGTCAGAAAGTGGTATGTTCTCCCATATGGATAAAGTATTTGAACATGACTCCCAAAAACTAGGTGAATATATTATAAAACTGTGTTTGTTTTCTATCTCAAAAACTTTCGGTATTTGAAAATTGAAATTTGTATACAAAAAGAACTGAGATTTAACATGTCTAATTTTGCCCTATTTGTTCACCAACATTCTTTATCAAACATAAGCTAAAAAAGTATTATTAAATAAAATATAAAGTTGTTTAAAAACGCGATTTTTTTTATAAATTAAATGTAGTATTTTTTGATTGATAATTAAATTAAGTATACGAGCTACTAGAGCTTGATGAACCTCCACGGTTACCACCTCTTGATGGAGGAACACCTGCGAATCCTCTGTTGGAAGCCAATCCTCTCTGAGAAGCCATTCCGCGTTGTGTGGATGGTCTTTGAGAAGCCAAACCTCTCTGAGATGCCATACCATGCTGAGAAAGTCTTGGAGCTTCTTCGGAGAATGATGATGAATCGGAGTCTTTCTCCTTCTTCTTTTCTTCCTCTTTCTTCTTCTTTGAGTCAGCCTTGCTTGAGTATGAGTAAGAACCAGATGATGTGTCCTTAGACATTCTGTTGCCCCATGAAAGTTTGAAGAAAACAGCGAATAACATAGAAATAACATATGCAATTAATGCGAACAAGCCGAGCATTGCTGCCGAACCAATGTAATTAGCTGATTTCTCGTAAACGCTCTCTCTCATATCCGAATACTGTTCTGCAAGTTTTGCACAAGATTGGGTTGTGATTTGTTTAGAAGCGCTATCGAATTTGTACCATGCAGTACCATTTTGGACGTTCGGCTGAATATAAGTTCTGTTTAAATTGTAAAGATCAACCAAAGTATTATGTACTTTGTTCATGTTTTGGGCGAAGAATTTTCTGATAGTACTTGAAATTGAGTTATCTGCTTGGTAAAAAGCATGGACATTTTTCACATAGTAGTAAAGAGCTTTATAATCTTCTTTTGATGAAATTGTCCTGAAGAATGCATTTGATTCGATTGTGTTTACAGCAGTCTTAGTTGCTTCGTCTGATACATTATCTTTGCACGAAGTAATTTGAGCCTTAACTTCCGCAACATCTTTTCCATTAATACTGCATTGAGCTTTTACTTTTTCATAAGTATCTTTAAGGTCGACGAATGGAGAAGATGTATAAGTAAATACAGCTGTAAGAACTTTCGTGTATTCGAAGTTATTGCCATCCTTTGGTTCGAGTTCACCAAATGTATCATCGAGAGCTGAAATCTGTTTAGTCTGTGGTGGAGATCTTGGTTGGTATGAAGCATTGTATCTAGGATTATTAACAGTTCCTACATAGAAAGGAATAGCACCGTTATTGACAGTAAGAAGTTTTTTGTCGATGATTTCTGTTATCAATTGTCCGATTTGATCTGTATAATTAGAATAATGTATGTAACTAGAAATGAAACCTGGGAAAGATTCTTCTGTTTGAGTTTCAAGGTAATTGAAGGATTCAATGATAGAATCATATGGACAAACAAAGATATTATAATATGCAAATTGGTTTTTGTCTGATGCGTTTTTGTCTGAAAATGAATTATTGAGGTGATCATCGGATGATATATAGAAGTTTGTTGTTCCGAATGATGCACCAATGCCGAAACATAAAATCATGAATCCAATGCCACAAATAAATGCTGCAATAGCAATATTCATCTTTGGAGCAAGAACGAAAACAATGATCATGACAAGACCACCAATTGCAAGGACAGCACCGATAATGGAAACAATAAGGAATGTCTTTGTACCACCATCGTATGATTTCATGTGGTTTCCGAATGAATCTGTGTCTTTGTTGTCTGTTACTTTGAAGGCGTCAACAAAAGCAGAAAATTCTTCGTCAACCCAATTTTTCATGGCTGGAACACCACGGGAATTAAGAACCAAAATTGAATCTGTAAGACTCTTAACGTAACCTTTGAGTTTCTGATGCATCGTGATGTATTCGTTTAAGGAGTTCTGTAAAAAAATTAAATCATTAGTTCTTGAGCAAACACCATCCAAGTACATCTGGTCGGTTTCCTTTCTGTCTGTCAGAGGCTGTAATAAATCACTATAATTAAGTTGTTCGTATCCGTAAATCGAGTTTACAAGATTTGGTCCGTTTTGAATGCCATTTGTATTTGCTTCGAATTGCTGTTTAAATGCGTTGTATGCTTCGTCTAAGGCTTTTAAGTTGTCAGTATATGATTTTAATGCAAGTGTTTTTTCCAACGAAATATTGGGGAGCTCAGCTCTTGCTGTATCGGCGCGATTGAGATCAGTTTCAAAATTGTTCATCCATTGATAGATGTTCCTTGTATTATCGGAACTTCCAATTGTCTCGATTCCTGACGCAAAACTTGTTTGAACGGTAGTAAGGTGCTGATAGATATTGCTCATAGGAGAACCTGATGCTGACTGATCCATTGAGACCTTATCGGCGCTTGCAACAACTACTAGGATAATGCAACTGATAACTAAAATGGTTGTAAGGAACATGAAAACAAGGGCAAGGATGCAGATGCATTTACTCTTGCCGGATCGTTTGTCATTAAAGCAATAATAGGATATAAATCCGAAGATGCTGCAAACTAAGAAAATTACTGCGGCAATAACGAAAAATGTGAATCCATCAGCAAGAAAACCTAAGTGATAGTTATCAAGCCATTGATAGTTGTGGTAATATCCTGGTTTAAAAGGCCAATCATTTGTTCCAACATATAAACCTGATTTCCAACTAAAAGTCTTCTTTGTTCCATCGAGCATATTCTGCCCAAACTTGAAAACAGATGGAATGTCATAATTTTTTACGATTGAACGGGTTAAGGATAATAATAAAAGTAGCATCAAATCAGAAATTGATGAAAAATCATAAAAAACCGATTTTGATTAGGAAAAAAATATTTTAAAATACAAAAAGCGATATATAGTATTCTTTCTTTAAAAATTTTGGATTGTGAAGTTTTAATTTTTGAGAAGCTATTCAAAATGTTATAGTTTTACATATGATAAAAATATAAACGAGTAAAATGTGCGCACAATTTTTGATATCAAATTTTGCGTTAAAGATTTCTTGAAAAATTTATGACCATTTTATATGGTTTAAAGAGAAGGCTTCGTCATTATTATGTTTGAAAAAAGGACTCTTTGAAAGAAGCGACGATTAAGTATTGATAAAAAATATAAAATGCATAATTTTTATAGCACAGGATCATTTTTATGCTCGGAATTGAATAAGACCAATGAATATATGTAATCTGCATGTTCATCCGTATAGCCTTTAAATAACGCAAAAAGTTATCGAGAGTTTTTGGAGAAAAAGTAATTGCTTCTACGATCGGAATTGATTCTGAAATCTTGTGAGCAATTTTTGGCACTTTTTAGATCTGAATCTTAATGGTATATAATGACACTATATATCTTAAAAATGTTAACTAAGGAAGTCAATTTGGAAAATTTTTTTCACTTTAGGAGAATATAATTTTCCATTTGGAAAATTTTAAAAGTGAGACGCGCAGGATTCGAACTTTTTTAAAAGTTGATTTAAATGAATTTTAGTGTGGAATATAAGGATAATATCATATTTAAAATAAGAATATACTAGTTTAGGTGGTATTAATTTTTTCGATAAATTTGAGAGTATGTACGTTTAGTGCATGAAAAGTGTCAATTCGCTCAGCGAAAGCTGAGCTAGCTTCGTTCTCGAAAGAATAAGGAAGGAGTGAAGGAGAATGATACAGAAGTTGACACATTCATATCATTTCAACAAATTTTGATCAAATTGAAATTCAATAAAATTCAATTCAATTCATATCCTTCAGTCAGTACATTGATATCCTTCTGCATCACAATGATAACTCGGGCATCAATAGTTCTACAACTAACTCAGAAAAAACAAGATTATTACTTCCTGCTTACAGCTTTTAAAAAGTTTCGATGATAAAAATCACTCTACTCTCGTTTATCGACATATGGTGATAGTAGGTAAACATATTCTTATCGATATTAATAAAAATATTTGTACGAAAATCTTATCCAATTAGAGAGTTATTCATAAAGTATATGATAATTATAATTACTTTATCTTTGTTTTATCTTTGAATAAACAATTTAATTTAAATTGCATAATATTTTTTGGTTGAAAGACAGGAAACTTAGTTGAGTTTGTATTATTTTTATCGTTTAATTCATCGTATCAGTGAGTGATCCAGATATTTAAGATATTTAGAAAAAAATTATTAATTTGATTAACAAATTTTAATCAAAATAGCAAAAATCTATTTGATAGCTGTAAACAAACAATAATTTTTATTTCAAGCAAAATCACTTATTTTCATCTAAACGTATAAAATTGTCAATTTTATGAAAATAAATTGAAAATCTCATGAAATGTAAAGGAGAGTAATATTTTTCAATTTTCTTTTTTTCTTTGTCTCAAATATTTTCTGTTGGGAATTTTCTTGTTATCAAAAAATAATTTTAATATTTGTTTATTTCATTACATACAATAAAATTTTAAAAACTCTATTTCTTCTCAAGAAAATTTTTCCTTCATATGAAGAAACATTTTGTTCTCCATTTGATACTGAGTCTAAATCTCGATTTTTGAATTTTCTTCTTTCCAAATTTCTTTTTTCCAAATTAGAAGTTTAATTCAAATTTTCAATAGTTTATATATTTTCTCAAACCGTCTCAGATTTTCTCACTTTTTAGGGATTTTCTCTCAAAATATACAAAAATAGTAATATCAATACATGTGTCTAATATACTTTAAACCCATCGTGACAAAATTCAAAAACGAAGAGTTCTTCTCTCCAAATTTTTTTCAAAATCAAAAAAATGAGATAAAAAAGTACGTTTGGAAAATTCATTTTTAGCATTTTAGGAATTTTCTCACTTTTCTTCCAAATTGACATCCTTATGTTAACTCTTAAACTTTCAATAGAAAATTGATCGAAAAATAAAAAGCATATAAATCCTCATATCATAAGAGATGCTCGAGGTATATAGAATCAAATTTCATCATTAACTTAATATGACTTATCAATGCCGGAAAAAATAGATAAACTCATTTAAATACAACAATATTTAATATTTACTGGTGTAAGTATAAATTCTGATGATGATGCGGTAAATTTAGCTCTTGTTTTTGCAGGTATGTTTTGCAAAATTCAACATGAATGAACTAATAGGTTTGCTTAATAACTTTTTAACGAAAACCTCACAAGAACATGAAGGTTCAACGTTAAAACGAGATCGCAGAGAGTGAACAAAAATATGATGAACTCGAACAAGAGAATACAAAACTTTTAGACCAGACGGACATTTTGAAAGCACAATTAGATCAAACTAAATCACAGCTGAACAAGACACAACAACAATACAACGAAATGACACAACACTTGTCAGCAGAAATCTCAGAACGCGACATCACTCTTGATGACAAAGTTGAAGAAGAACGTACACAGATCATTACAAACATGAAGAGCAAATTCGAAGACGAAAAGTCACAAATGAACGAAGAAATCAAGAACCTTAAATCCAAACAAGTTGAATTACAGAGTGAAGCCAACAAATTGAACCGAACAATTTCGGAACTTACAGCTGAAAACGATAAACTTAAATCGGAAATCACAAATCAACAGAAAGAATTTGATACTTATAAATCAACAACAGAAGAACGTTTTGATAAAGAGAAGAACGAAATGAAGAACCATTACGACGCAACAATCAAAGCTCTTGGACAACGATGCAGCGAACTTAGTGAAGATATTGCTAATTTTGCAGAAGAATTAACACAAAGCGAAGTTAAATATTTAAATATTGACTGAATGAAGAGAAAAAACAGTTGAGGGTGAAAAAAAGTTTGCTGAATCAATTGCAAAGACTAAATTCATTGAAGAATATCAGTCTTTGATTATTCAAATAATTTGTATATTTGTTATAACGAATGCTTTAATAATATGAAACAGAATTACCAAAATATTATTTTATCGTTAATTAATTACTCAGATAGAAATAGCTTTGTTAAAATCCTCATCCAATTTAAGTATAAGAGCTGTCCGTGCTTGATGAGTAGTCACGATTAGAAGCACGACCTCTTGATGGAGGAGCACCTACAAAGCCTCTATTAGTTGCAAGGCCTCTCTGTGATCCAAAACCTCGTTGTGTAGATGGTCTTGAAGAAGCCAAACCTCTTTGTGAAGCCATGCTGCGCTGTGAAAGTCTTGGTGCTTCTTCTGAGAATGAAGACGAATCGGATTCCGACTTCTTTTCTTCTTGTTTCTTCTTCTTATTATTTTCAACCGAAGATTTGCTGGAGTATGAGTAAGCAGTGGGTGATTTATCTTTAGACATTCTGTTACCCCATGAAAGTTTGAAGAAAACAGCAAATAGCATTGAAATAACATATGTAATTAATGCGAACAAACCGAGCATTGCTGCCAATCCCATATATTTAGCTGATTTATCGTAAATACCCTCTCTAATTATTGAATACTCTTCTGCAAGTTTTGCGCAAGATTGGGATGTGATTTGATTAGCAGCCCTGTCGAAATTGTACCATGCAGTACCATTTTTGAGGTTAGGCTGAATATAAATTTTATTAAGTTCATGGAGACTGCTTATTGTTGCGTGTATTTTGTTCATATGCATACCAAAGAACTCTCTAATTACACTTGCGAGTCCCTCATCAGCTTTATAAACTGCATCGATATCTTTTGCATACTGATAAATAGCCTCGTAATCTTCCTGTGAATTAATTTTCTTGAAGAATTTATTTTCCTCAATTTCAATATAGCTCTTCTTTTTATTATTATCAGTTTCTGATGCTTTGCATTGATTAATTTTTTCTTTAACAGCATTAACATCTTTTTCATTAAAATCTTGACAACTATCCCGAACAACTTTCCAACTGTCTTTTTTATCATGAAAAGGAGAATCTGTAAATGTGAAAATTCTCTCCAGAATTTCTTTGAAATCGAAAACTCTTTGCTTAATAAATGCTGAATTAAGAGCAGAAATAAGTTTAGCCTGGGCTGGAGATCTTGGTATATTTGAACTATTATATCTCTTGTCTTGGGTATCTCCAGTATAGAATGGTATTTTGGTTTGGTTATTTTTAATTAAACCATTGTCACCCATTTTGGTTATCAATTGTCCGATTTGATCTGTATAATTAGAATAATGTATGTAACTAGAAATGAAACCTGAGAAAGATCCTTCTGTTTGAGTTTCAAGGTAATTGAAGGATTCAATGATAGAATCATATGGACAAACAAAGATATTATAATATGCAAATTGGTTTTTGTCTGATGCGTTTTTGTCTGAAAATGAATTATTGAGGTGATCATCGGATGATATATAGAAGTTTGTTGTTCCGAATGATGCACCAATGCCGAAACATAAAATCATGAATCCAATGCCACAAATAAATGCTGCAATAGCAATATTCATCTTTGGAGCAAGAACGAAAACAATGATCATGACAAGACCACCAATTGCAAGGACAGCACCTACAATTGACACAATTACATACGTTTGGTTATTGCTATTATATGATTTTAAATGATTTCCGAATGAATCACCAGCTGTTGAATCTGTTACTTGAAAAGTTTCAACGAATGGATTAAACTCATCAGTAATCCATGCTTCCATTGCAGGAACTCCACGTTTGTTAAGAACTAAGATTGAATCTGTAAGACTCTTAACGTATGGTCTGAGATTTTGATGCATTTTGATGTAGTCAAAGAAGGATTCTTGGAGGAGAGTCAGTTTTTCTTTGTTATTGCAAACGTTCACCAAGAATTCTTGATCTTTGCCATTTCTATCATCAAATACATTCTTAATTGTCTTTGGTTCTATTCTTTCGTATCCATAAATATCTTTAACAAGATCTGAGCCTTTCTTGCTAAGTCCATTATTGGCATTATAGTCGTTAATGTAGTTATTACATGCTGCTGCCAATGATTTTAGCTGATTTAAATAATCTTCTTTTGCTTTATCTGCTTTATCAAAAACATAATTTCCTGCGTTAAGAAAGGTTTTTGCCTCGTCATCTGCAGTAGTAAGATCTGTAATGTAATTGTTCATCCATCGATAGATTTGTCTTGTATTATTTTGGTTTCCAATATCTTTAACGGCACTAGAAAATAACAAACTAATTGTACGAAGCTGCGAAAAGATTTTGTCCATCGGAGAGTTCGTAACTGATTGATCCATCGATACTTTGTCTGCATTATTAACAATGACTAAAATTAAGCAGGCTATAACTAAAATAGTTGTAGTAAACATGAAAATAAGAGCAAAAATACAGATTAATTTGCTCTTGCCATCGCGTTTGTCATTAAAGCAAAAATATGAGATAAACCCGAAGATGCAGCAAACTAAGAAAACAACAGCGGCAATAACGAAAAATGTAAACCCGTTTGCAAGAAAACCTAATTTGTAGTTGTCAAGCCATTGATAGTTGTGATAATATCCTGGATTAAAAGGCCATTCATTAGTGCCTGTGTAAGGACCAGCCTTCCACCAAAATGTTTTCCTTGTTCCATCAAGCATATTCTGTCCAAATCTGAATGTAGAAGGAATATTGTAGTTTTTAAGTTTTGAACTCGCTAAGAAAAAGAATAAAAGTAACATCAAATTAGAAATTGTTTTTTAAAAAATATTTAAAAAAGCTATTTCAATTTGTTAAAAAAGTAAATAAAGGATGCATATCTGGAGTGATTATGTAATAAACAGAAATTCATCAAAAGTGACAGCTCTCAATTTTTTGACATTTGTAAATTCTAAATTGAATGAGAAAAATGAAATAACACTAAGCATAATACAATATTCTAGATTTAATTATAATTAGGAAAAAGTTAGTTTTGAGAGTACTTTTCATAGGCATATAGAATGAAATCTTCTGAAAAATAATATCACATAAACTCATATTATTTTCTAATATATAACTATTTTATATAAAAATCAAATTCAATGATCTTAAAAGCGAAGGATAAACCTCAAATTTACGAATATAATGAGTGGGAATATAATGCTTATCTATCATAAAACCATATGAAATATCAATTTTTGCTTTACGCCTAATTTTTGACGACAATTAGCAAAAAATGTTAAATGTTAACACTCAGTCCATTTGAATATGAAAAATAAAATTGACTTTGATTAAATGTTTTTATTTATCATGCAATTCTTCTTGCGACCAAAGATTTGAATAAAATTTCAAAAAATAAGATAGCTTAAAAAATAATATACGGTAGTGTTTACTAATAGATGAATAGTATATAAATTCTATTAAAATGGATTTGATCCAAAAAATATATAAAATTTGATCATAAATAAAATCGTTTTAAATTACTTCTTCATTTAAATTATAACAATTATTTTTGGTTTTATATTTTTTTGGATCAAATCCATTTTAATAGAATTTATATACTATTCATCTATTAGTAAACACTATCGTATATTATTTTTAAGCTATCTTATTTTTTGAACTTTTATTCAAATCTTTGGTCGCAAGAAGAATTGCATGATAAATAAAAACATTTAATCAAAGTCAATTTTATTTTTCATATTCAAATGGACTGAGTGTTAACATTTAACATTTTTTGCTAATTGTCGTCAAAAATTAGGCGTAAAGCAAAAATTGATATTTCATATGGTTTTATGATAGATAAGCATTATATTCCCACTCATTATATTCGTAAATTTTGAGGCTTTTCCTTCGCTTTTAAGATCATTGAATTTGATTTTTATATAAAATAGTTATATATTAGAAAATAATATGAGTTTATGTGATATTATTTTTCAGAAGATTTTGTGTTCTTCTTCAAAATTTTACTTTTTTATTAAAAAGAATCTTTACAAAATATACATTTACTTTAATTAATATTTAAAAACGTGCTCTATCAAAAGTTCCAAAAATTCAATATTTTAGCTTTTCTGATGTGTCACTTTTGATGAATTTCTGTTTACAACAATTAAATTTCACCTTGAAAAAATTGGATTGTGAATTTTATGCAATTGAAAGAACTTTTTGAGACGCTGATATTAAATTAAATCTCATATCATGTCATTTATAGCATTGATTGAAACATTTCAAATAGACATGAAAAGGAAATGAATGCGATTATTGTTAGATATGAAAATTTTTTTCAGCAAACTTCTCAAATATTGTTAGATATTCAAAATAAAAAATCACAAAAGTATTGTAAAAATGCATAACGAGTGATGTCTTACATTTCAAATATAATTATATTTCTGAGCAAATTATGTCGAGTTCAGACCCCACAATTTTAATTACAGAGACCCTTTATTATGATAATCGCCAATCTAACAGAAAACTAGTACTGTAAGCATGTTGCAAGCAAGCTAATAAGAAAAATATATAAAAACAAACATATTTTATTCAAAATTAAGAAATAATGAGATGGGAAGTAGTGCATAATGTAAGATGTAAATAACAAAACAATTATATATAACTGTAGTACTTAAAATTGCATGGAATTTAAGTTTATTGAATTTCTACAGTTTTTCCTTTTCCAATTTGATAATTCTTAACTGTATGTTCTGTTCTTTTTTCTTTTTCACCAGAAATGTAATCTTTCTTGATTTTTCCGCAAATTTTACATTTATAAACAATGAATTTTGGTCCAATAGAAACGGTTGATGTGTATTCGGATTCTAAAGGTACATTACACTTTTTACAAAGAATTCTTTTTGGTTTTGTACGTATTTTCGACCTTTGAGCAGTTAAAATCGCTTCAGATCCGAAATATTGCGCCAATGGTATAAGCTGTTCTTGATTTGCTGCTGTTCTCGCTATTGAGTTCAAGAAATTTATTCTTTCAAGGACCTCTTGTCCAGCAATCTTTGGTGTACTCATTGTCACTTTTAATGGCGGAATTTTTGACATGAATTTGAAAAGAGATCAATAATTTGTTCTGAGGTCCCGGATTTAAAATCTATTCCAATAATCTGCATTAATTATTTATTTGATTTTATAAATTTTTACGAAAATTTTGAGAAAATTAAAATTTTCAAGTGAAAAACTATATTTTTTGATGTATTGATTTTTGAATATTTGCTTTTTTCGGAATTAAAATCCCATATTTATGTGTTTTTAGAACGATAACATTCAATAATACAGACAACGGAGATATTTGGATATGAATTTGATCATTAATCAAGAAATTAATAAAAAATATATTCTTATAACATGATATAATTCCTAAAAGAAGATGTTTTCCATTTTAATCAAAAAGCAAAATAAATTATTAACAGTGAAATTTTAGTTAATTTAAAAAACATTACCAATATTTAAGATATTTATGGGTTTTCGAGTCTTTCGATCTACCTCTCTTCTCAGCAGGTTTCGCTGCAGGCTTAGCCGCTGGTTTTGTTGGTTTTGGCGCGTTCATTTTTGCCTTTATTTGGTTTGCGTCAGCTTCATCAATATAATTCATTCCGACCAACGCTCTCAAGACGTCTTCAGGAGATTCATCAGGCAGAGTTTCCTCTTTTGCAGCTGCAAGTTTCGTCTTTGTTTTTCCATTGATCTTTTGAAGTAATCTGACATTATTTGCCAGAGCGAAAATCTGAGCTTCTGTTCTAGGAATTCCATCAATTTGTCTTGAAACAGATGTTGGCTGGTCCGGATCTCTTAAGTGCCTGAGATAAGCTCCAGCAGGTGTCTGTGTTTTTCCTTTTGCGCTTTTTGCAACACGTGGAGAAACAGTTGTGTCCAATGCGAGATGTACTTCACTTGGGCGCTTTGGAGATTCCAAGTTCTCTTCAGAAGGAACCCATCCGATCTCTGCAACAATCTCATCAAGAGTTTTAGACGGTGGTGACTTGATTTCGTAATTTTCATTGACACTTTTTTCTTTGATAATTTCATCAGAAAGTCTTTTTGGAATTGAATGCGGATCAGGGGCATACATCTGCTTGTGCTTCGGGGATGACTCAATGAGAGCAGCATCCAGAGCCTTCTGGTTTGTTGGAAGTGTCAATGCGCACCATGTTAAAGCAGCATCGGACATAATCGCTTGTGGAAGAATTCCGTTGTTTGTTTCGTTTTGTCGGGCGTTTTTAATGGATCTCAGGACATTTGCGGAAGGAATTGGTTGGCCGTACGCTGCAGCAAGGATTGCACCATTGGGGCTGATGATCATTGTACGGTAACTGGTCCAATCCATCGATGCTTTGTGATGGGAAATCGCAATGGTTTTGTCAAGAAGTTTCGTAGATTCTTCTGTGAGTTTTAGACGCAGAGAGTCGTATAAATATAGGAGATAATGGACTCTTTGTCTGGCAAGGCGCATCTGGGATAGTGAAAGAGGACGAATTCGCCAATCTTGCATCGCATTTGACTCTGATTCTGTCAAAATTTGGCTTAATTTCTCGGAATCGCATACTTTATTGTGCGGGAAGTCTGGAGGAGGAACAACCTTACGGGCGGAATCAGGAATCCAGCCTTCTTGAAGACGATTTCGGAAATCTTGAGTTAAATCTTCAAGAGAAGTAGAGATATTTAAGTGTTGTGCCGCTGTAGTAACATCAAATGAGTTGTAGATATCGGATATACCAGCTTGATGAAGTAATTTACAGCAATGGGCTGCATTTCCGAAAACTTTCGTAATATCTCGGGCAGAAAAGATAGGAGCAAGAGAAGTAATAGCATCAGGAAGTTCTAGAACATCAATAAGATACTCGCAATCACGCGTTGATATGCAAAGAACACATATTACATTTGGAAAATAATGATCTATGACTGACACACCAATTGCTTTATCAGGTGATGAAGAAATCGTAGATATAAGGCTTTCTATTTGTTCTTTTGTATCAATTAATGAAAATTGGACTGAATTTATTTGAGGGTATTTTAATAAATCAACCGTAGGGTTTGATGGTGGAATAACTGGATCCATTTTAGTTGTGTACGAATTTCCTTGTTGTTGAGGAAGTTTCGGATCGAAATTTGTATAAAATGAAACTAACGAAGTAGGAACGTATGGTGTTTGAGTGTTTTTAAGAAGTTCATCAATTTCTGGAATAGGATATGGACCAACGTATGATGTAACTTCGCCTACAAGTCTCTTGAATGTGTGATAAAATGATGATAAATCTGGTGCAGAAGGAGATAAAAACAAATTTTCTAACTTCTGGATACTATCAAATGCAGCATGTATCTCTTCCATAAAAGGAGATGATACAACTGGCATAGTTACTATAATTTCATCATTCATCACTTTGTAAAGCACTCAATTTTTTGACACAAAAAAAGAAAACGTCCACCCAATTTCATTCACTTCCAAATCGTAATATTAGCATATATTTAGTGAATAGAATTAAAATATCAAATAATTAATTAGCTACAACATATGTCATGAAATTCTTCCAAGTCATATGAATCATACTAAGGGTAGGAATCATTTAACTGTAATATAGAGACTTCATAGTATAGTACACGAGGATAATAAATCATACCTTATTAAAACATATTTCATTTTTGATGCGATTTACTTACAAAATGAATATTGGAATGGTCTAAATGTATTTTTAAAATAATATTCAATAAACGTGAATTTTTAACTTTATAATAACATATTTCAAACAAATTATTATAATCTACTTTTTCTTGGAATTCTTTTCCTCATCTGGTCTCGTTATTTGTCTTGTCAACAAATCTTGAGTTGCTTTCATTATATCAGAGAACTTACAGTTCTGCAAAGCTGACCAATGACCAGATGATTTCCACATATCGAAAGGATACAATGGCGAAGAAATTCCCTGCAATATTCTTGCAGCTACTCTTGGTGTCCATTGAATTGACCTGCTCTTTACTAATTTCTTTATCTTGTCTTCATCGACTCTATCGTATGGGATCTCCATGATCTCTCCGAGACTTTCTTTTTTGTATTCAGATTCATAGTATTTTCTAGCAATATCTGGTAATTGTGTGATTGTGTAAATAATGTTGAAACTATCGTGGAAATCATCTTCGTGCTTCTGCATTTCATTAGTTACTGTGTTGAGAATCTCTTGATAAGACTTATCTCCAAAATGCTGATGCAAACTTAACATTGTTACTTTTCCTGAATAAGTAACATCGATTGCACCAAGACTCTCAATTCTTTTGAAGTCATTTGCAATTTTCATTGGAGAAAGATTGGCATCATGGGCTAATTGTGACATCTTGAAAGTGTACAAACCTCTTCTATCAGACTTTGATTGTGTAATGATCTTAAACAAAGGAGAATTCATTTCTTCAATCATTGTTTTAACTTTGATTGTAACAGATTCTGCATCGAAAGGAATATAGTCGCAAATTCCGTGTTTGGCCATGGAAGTATAAAGAACAGAAAGGCCTTCAGGAGTTGCATCTATTTCTTGATTGTTAAATGTAACAATCTCTCCAGTTTTCCTGTAGCAACTTCCTCCCCAAACAACCTTTTTAACAACCTCGAAAACAACAGTTCTATCAACAGCAGAATCATGTGAATATCTCTGCATTTGTTGGGCGGTCGGGATGTTTAAGAGAATAGAAACTTGCTTGCCAATAAGACATGATGACATAAGAAGGTCAAGGGATGGAGGAAAACCAGCAAAAATGTAACTGTCGAATTTTGCGGTTGTAAAGAGAAATGCAGTTGTTGAAACATAAGTTGAACCTTCTGAAGGTTCCTGGTTAGTGAAGTGCGAGACTGAAGAGCCTGCACGTGCAATAACTTCGCCACAAATCTTCTTGGTCGGACAAATAATAATTGTTTTCAGACCTTTCAATGTTTGTAGTAATTTTGGTATTGCACCAACATAATCAGCAACTTTAACTATGTTTGGAACAGTCTGGAATTCGAAATTTCCGGAAATCTTTTCACAAGAAAATGGAAAATCTGTATTATATCCAGGCGTTTGGTGGAATAGTATTGGACCTTTGAAGCCTTGTATATGTGGGAAACATCTCGTAGATAGTTCTGCCTTAACTACGAAAATATAATCAATATGATCTAAAATTAAATTATTTGTATTAGTATTAATACATAAAAGAACTTGAGTACTGCCACTTCGCAGTTTTGATAATGCGTTTTGTTGCTCGACACGACCTTCGGGCCATTTTGCGGATGTTTCTGGTAAAAATGAACGAATCCATGTTAAAATGTTTGATGAAGGTACGATAAACAATGCTCGCTTTTCCTTATTGACTTGAAGTATTGATGAAAGTGCAACAAAAATGTGTTTGTCGAGTTCATCATTAAGAATCACGCTACGGTTTTGTAATAACGTTTTTGTAACTGTTTCAATATATGGTGGCGTATCAGCTCTTAATTGATACATTTTTTCAATAACTTCATTGGTGATTTCTTCTTGTGTCTTCGTGTTTTTTGGCAATTCAGGTAAATCTATTGTTAAAATCATTTGAGATTTGCTTCTCTTTGGTAGTTTAACAGGAAATGCGTCCTTTTTCTCTAAATTGAAAAATGATGAAGCAGAAAGCGGCCTTGGTGCAGATAAAAAGTTCGGTTGTGTAGGAAGAAGTTGTTCTTTACGAATTTCGAATTTTACTTGCTTCTGTTTAAACTGTGGTTTGTCGAATTCCTCCTCTGAATCCATTGTGCAAAATTTTGGCGCCAAAAATTGATAACGTATGATAGAAACAAAAGAGGTAATACATCAGGAGTTGTTACAAAATATTCAAAAATTTTTCTGAAAGGAAAGAATTGCATAAAAATTTTTGGCGCAAAAATGAGATTTTGCTGTGGATTTAAGATGTATGGCAGATGGTGATACAAATACAAACAATGCTCATGCCAAATTCTCTTATTTATGAGAACACAAAACTCATTGAGAAATATAATTGGAAGAGCTTGAATTTTGATAATGCCGTTATAACCAATATACTTTCTAACAAATTAAAATCCAAATGATTTGAGATAGACGCATATATTCTTTTTAAGAAATCAAAATTATCCTTAATAATAGCAATTACAAATGAATTGGGCTTAAGAAGATCAGCAATCGTAATTCAACTATGTTATAAAGATATGTGCTAAAATAATATACATTAAAATATCTATATTTACTAACAATTATTGAATTAAGAAATACTTTGGCAGAAATCATTAATATGATATGTAAAAGTCAATCAGTGCTTATTTTTGGCATTTTCTTATAATTGGAACTTTGTTTTGAGTTTAGATTTGATTGGATCTGCAGCATTTGCCATTTCTTCGATTCTATTCAATGCAGCTTGTACAGCAAACTTTGTAGTTCCTTCTATTCTCAAATACAAACGTCTTTCTCCAGCAAGTGGTTTCACTCCTGGTGGACAGAAAACTCCTTTTTGGATGATCATTGTTCCTGTTTCATCCATTACAGAATTTAAATTGTCCGCAGAAGAAACACTCGCTCTTGCTTTCTTAGTGTAATCATTGATATTAGCTTCCCCGATGTATAGATTGTCATTGACCTTAAGAACACTTTTGTCTTCAATGATTTCTTTTGCTTCTTCTTCACATTGATCTTCTTCTTCCTTTTGTTGAAGTGGATCATCATTTTGTGCTTTTCTCAATGCAAGTAAACTTTTTGCTTCTTCTTTGTCGAATTTGAATCCACTTCCTCGCCAAAAACCATTAAGGCCAGGAGCTTTAACACCTTGACACAAGTCTTCTAAGTCTTTAGGAATTTCACATCCACTTTTCTTCATCGCGTTTTTGATGCCAGCAGCTGCTGTTTTATCTTTATCAGTGACAAAAGTGAACGCGTAGCCTTTCTTTCCGGCTCTTCCTGTTCTACCTACTCTGTGTACATAGTCAGCTTCATGATCTGGTGCATCGTAGTTGATTACGCAAATAATTGAAGCTATATCAATTCCTCGAGCTCCAACAGAAGTCAAAACAAGGACAGAAAATCTTCCTTCTCTAAAGTCATGGAGAATCGAGTTCCTATCTGGTGAATCCATTGATCCGTGAAGCAATCCAACTGAATAACCACTTTTATTGAGTTTTCCGAACAAATCTTCGGCTCTATCCTGGGTATTTGTGAAAACTAATGCTTGACCTTGGGTAGTATAATCTCCCAAGATCTTTAATAAAGAATTAAATTTATTATCTTCATTTGTGACCAAAATTGACTGATTAATATTTGGTGTAACAACATTTCTAAGTCCAACGACAATTTCTATCGAGTTTTGGAGTAGTTTTCTTGCAATTCTTTCCACTGTATGCGGAAATGTTGCAGAAAACATCAATGTTTGACGATCTTTGCGCATTCTTTCTGCAATCCTTATAACTTGAGGCTCAAATCCAAGATCAAACATTCTATCTGCTTCATCTATAACTAAATAACTTACTTTTTTAATATTGAATGCGCTACTAGAAAGTAAATCAATAAATCTACCAGGTGTAGCAATAATTACATTCGATCCATTCTTAATTGCACGTAATTGGTTTTCGATATCATTTCCACCGACTAAACAAGCAGATTTCTTATCCATAAGAGAGAATATCTTTTGGCATTCAATATGTGTTTGATAGGCAAGTTCTCTGGTTGGAGATAATATAACTGCAGCTGCTTCATATTGTCCTGTTGGAGGCTGAGCGAGAACATGCAGTAAGCATGGTATAATGAAAGCAAGTGTCTTACCAGAACCTGTAACAGCGCATCCAATAATATCTCTGCCTGATAAAATACAAGGTATTGCTTGACATTGAATTGAAGTTGGTTGTTTGAAACCTCTAAGTCTTAAATGAGACATCAATGGTGCAGGTAAACCGCAATCTGTCCAATTTACTATCGGGCATAGTACATTTAATCCGTGAACAACAATATTGCCAAGTCTTTTACGTAAATCTTCAATATCTGTTTGACTTTTAGACGATATTTCGCTTGATGGAATATAAATATTCTTTCTAATTGGTAATCTTTGCTCTTCTTGTTTAATTTCAATCTTTGATTCAAGTTTTTCAACAGGAGTTTTCTCGATTTCTTCCTTTTCTAATAATAATTCATCCTCATCAACTACTCCAGTTGCTTTTGCTGTATTTGGAGCTTCTTCATTTAAATTATCAAAGAACGCATCTAATGGATCCATAAATGATATTGAAATTGAGATATAAAAATACTAGGAGAGTATTAAAACAGGATTGATGTTTGAAATTATAAAGATTTTCAAAATTTTGAAAATAATTTCAGGCATTCAAAAAATAAACGGGCATCAACATTAATAAATATTGATAACCAATAAATATTTCACATTCTATCAAAAAAAGAAAAATAAAACGGACTTATAAATTAATGTCGACTGATTCAGACAGTGACCCAATTATCGATCAGTTTATGGACAACCTGAACGATGTTGGCAATACCATTAAAGCTAAAAATGCAGAATTATCTCAGCGCGAAGCTAAATTAAAAGAAGAATTCGAGAAACACAAACAGCACCTTGCAGAACTTGCTGCAAGAGAAAAACAATTACAAGACTTTGCTGATGACTTAATGAAAACTCAAGAACAGTTTGAGCAAGATAAACTTAATGCACAAAAAGAGATTGAGAAAAAGACAAAGCGTCTCGAAGATTTACGTTCAAAAGTTGCAGTTAAGCAGCAAGAAGTTGATGAACAAGCTACAATTTTACATATAAGAGAAAACGAAATGCAAGAATTAAAAGATCGTGCATCAAAGATCGAAAAGAGACTTGCTCAGAAGCGTAAAGAAGTCGAACTTAAGGAGCAAGAAGCTCTTGAGGCTCAAGCAAGAACAGAACAGCGTCAAAAGACTGCTGCTGAATTACAATCTCAACTCAAACTCTTCAAAGCTGAATATCAATCCAAACTTGCAACATTACAAGACTTACAAAAGACAGAAGAAGAAAAGCGTCGTGAAGTTGCTCAAGAAGAAGCTCAACTTGAAGCAGCTCGTGAAACTGTCGCTAAATTAGAAGAAGAACTCAAACAAATTACAGCACAACATGAGCGCGAGCGTGCTGAATTGTCCAAGCAGCTTGCTGATCAAATATCTGCAACAGAAGCTGCTAAAAACGCTGCATCAGAATTACAATTAACAGTTGAATCTCTTAAACGTGATGAAGCTACACTTACTGATAAGCTTCGTCGTAAGGAGGCTGCTGTTGCATCAGCTCGTGAAGAATTAGCTCAGCTCGAAGCTAAAAACGAACATTACGACGAACAACTTCGCCAAGCTAAGAATGAGCTCGAGCAAGCTAAAGCAGAGTTCGAGAGAGAAACAGAGAAGATGAAGAATACTGAATTCAGAATCGGTGACGATTTGATGAAAATTGATGATCTCGAAGCAACTCTTGAACGCGAAAGAGATGAATTGCAAAATGCCAGACAAACACTTGAAAAGACAAGACAAGAGTCACTAAAGGCTACACAAAGAATTGCAGATTTGAATGATCAATTAAGACGTCGAAAAGAAGAACTTAGAGAGAAGAGGCGCATGAATCAAGAACGTGCTGTCGAACTCGAGACTAAAAAGCGCTTAATCCAAAGCAAACAACCAAAACCTTCTTTGGAGCCACTTCAAAAGAAAATTGAAAAAGCCAGAGCGGAACTTGCAGAGATAGAAAAGAGGAATGCACTTGCAAGAGAAAGAATTCGCAAGGAGGAAGAACAAAGAGCAGCACAAGCTGAAGAAGCCAAGCAAAGAATGATTGCACAAATCAGAGCGGAAGGTGAAAAGAAAGAAGCAGAACTCAGAAGCCAATTACATGCAGCAAAGAAGGAAAAGAAACAGCTTGAAGGAAGACTCCAACAACTCCAAACAGAAGCAGCACAAATGGAAGCAACACTCCAGAAAATGCGTGGAAATTTGTCTACTGCAGAAGCAGAATCAAGTCGCGTTAAACAGCTTTTAGTTGCAGACAAAGAAGCTCAGAGACAAAGTGAATTAGAAGAAGCACGTTTAGAAAAGAGAAGAGCTGAACTTGAGAAGCAATTGGCTAATTTAGAAGAAGAAGAACAGAACCTCGATAGAGAAGAAAAAGAATTAGATAAAAGATGTCAAAGTGTAAGATCTGCTTTGGATGAAGTCCAGAGAAGAAGAGTTTCAGCTTCAAATGGACCATTCAAGACAGCAGACGCATTAGATGGAATAGACACTATGGAAGGAAGCCAGGCAAACGTTGCTGACTTAGAAAGAAGAGCTGGAAAATTAATGAAGAAATGCCATTCTGCACTCGAAGAATTAAGACGCGTTAGACGTGAAAAAGTTGGAGAAGAACATAAGGCTTTATTAGAACTAATCGAACAGAAAGAAGATAAGTTAATGGCCCTTCACAAATCTATTTTCTCGAAGGATGATTTATAAATTTCGAGAACAAAACCAAAATTTATTTATTTTTGTTTCTGATATAATTTATTTTTCTAAAAATTCAATTTTATATGATTTGCTAATATTACATAGTTTAATTATGAAGAAATTATATTATTTTGATGAGATTTTAAAAAAGCTTGACACAATTTTGCATAAATAATATCAGTCTGATGGAATTACTGTTCAGATGTTATTATGTAAGATCTTCTCCTAGTTATCAATTCAATAAAATCCCTGATAGTTCATTCGTAGAATAAACAACTATGAAAAACACTACTTAGTAATTTATATGTAAGCATTACAGTTATAATAATATGGTAAAATTCTAAAATTAAATATATTAAATATATTAAATATTTTTTAATGAACAAACAAAATCTTTATATAAAAATTACACAACTGACAATTTTGCAAGACCATTGTTAACAGTTAAGTTGGATATTAAGAGTGTTTTTCCGGAATCAAGATGTAATTCGAATGTTTTATCAAGAAAATCACCAACAACTCCAACGATTGGTGGCATTCCTTGAATTTCTATTAAAACGCGGTTTCCTTGCTCAATTCCCTTTGGTCTCCAATCATCAAGTTGACGGATTGATTCTATGTCAGCTTGGGCTTCCTCATCTGTAAGAAGTGGTTGCTGTGTATCTTCTGTAATAAGAAAATCTTTTTCTTTCTTTGCTAACGAGTTATCGAGACCCAAATATGAAAAATCGTATCCTTGTTCGACGAAATATTGTGATGCTTCAGGGAATTGCGATTTAAGTAGTCCTGCTTTGAATTTTGTAAGTTCTGAAACTTTATCGTGAATTTCGACTAATTTGTGTTCGAAATTGCAATCATTTAAGTATTCCTGGCCCTCTTGGAACTTGTGTGCAGAATTTATTTCATTTTCTCTCCACTCTTCAAGCTCTTTCATTTTTTGTTGATAAACTTCTTCGAGCTGTGATAAGTATTTCAAATAAATCTGATCTATGTGGTTATCAAGATCTGCAACACTTTGTCCAATTTTTTCTAACTCGGCTTTCAGTTGCCCAATTCTTGGATTTTCTGGACTTGACATTGACACTTTTTTATCACTTTATATTTCTTTCAATTTCATATTATGCGCAATTCTGGCATTAGCAATACATTTACATCTGTTGAATTACGTTTACACAATATCTAGTATTAAATTCAATTTCTAATCTAATTATGATAGCATTGGAATGATAATTACTTTTTTATTGCATTTTTAAGTATCCAAGTACTATTTTGCCAATGCGCGTGCAAATTTTGCATTATCGCGAATGGTTGACATGTAATTAATTCATGGAAAAACCAAATGGTAGGACAGTAATAGAATTAATGCAAATCAGCTGATAAAATGTTTACTAGTTGATGCTATTAATAAATATTTTCAATTCTGTTGTGCTCCATGTTTAATGAGAATATCAACTGCATTTTTATCATGATTTAATTCTGCATAGTAAAGGGCAGTTTTTCCATCGTTATCTTTTTCATTTACTATTGCACCATTAGAAATGAGTTCTTCCATTATTTCATATCTGTTAAGATACTTATTTATTGTAGTATAATGAAGTGGTGTTTTACCTTCAAGGTCTTTGACTTGAACAGAAGCGCTGCTCTTAATAAGATAAATGGTTTTGAATTTATTCTGTTCATCTATTGCTTGGTGCAGGCGAGTTTTTCCCTTTTCATTTTTTTCATCAATATCTACCCCAATTCTAATAAAATAATTTGAAACATTCGTAAAATCATTATCTAATGAACAATCAAATGCTGTATTTCCATGATTATCCTTTATACTAATATCAGCACCATAAGAAATTAAAATTAGAACCATTTCTAACTTTCCAGCTTCCGCAGCTAAATGAAGAGGAGTTCTACCATTACTTGATAATATATTAATATTTGCACCGTGAAAAATAAGATATACTGCTATTTCACTATAACCTTCACTTGCTGCCAAATGAAGGGCAGTTAATCCTGATTTATTTTTTTCAATAACATTTGCACCAAATTTTAATAGAATAATTACATTGTAGAGATCGCATCGGTAAATAGCAATATTTAGAGGCGTTTCTCCATTAATATCTTTTGCATTAACATCTGCCTTTTGCGAAATTAAAAGAGTTATCATATCATTGCAGTTATGATAAAATGCTAAATGAAGTGGAGTACACTCATTCTCATCTTTTGCATTTATTTCTGCGCCAAATTTCAAAAGAGTAAAGGCTAGTTGCACGTTATTTTCACTAGCTGCATAATGAAGAGGAGTCTTCATTGAAGAATCCTTTGCATTTACATCTGCTCCATTTAATAGAAATGATATCATCAAAGTGTTACTTTTACCTTCTGTTATTAATATGTGAATTGGAGATAGAGATTCGTCACAAGTTTTTGAATTGATCAATTTTTTGAAAATTTCAGGCCAACAAAGTAATAATCCACAGATATCGATATTATTATAAACGGCAGCATAGTGGAGAATATTCCAATTATCATCATCAACTTTCAAGAAATCAATTTCATCATCATTAAGTATTTCAACTATTTGTGGGAAGCCAACGCACCAAGGAATAGCAGTGTTCTTATCCTTTTCGAAAAATAATAAAAAAGCTTTTAAGTTTTGCGATTCAATTATGTCAGTTATGGAATCAAAAATAGATAACAACACATCTTTCTGAATGACATCATGCCGCAAAATGTGTTCGAGGAAATTATTATTATGAGACATAATTGCATTAATCAAACATACTTTATCAAGATTTCTGAATTTTAAGCATTCGTTAATAATATCGACATTTCCACCTATTATAGAACACTGTAAGCATTCTTGGGTTATTTCCTGTTCCATGTTTAAGTGAATAAAATAAAATATATTGACGGATCCATATATTGCACAAGCTTCAATTAAAGAAAGACGTGAATTTTGATGGCTATTAATCAAAATTTCATCGATTTGGTGGCGAATAGAATAGTCTTTAAATTTATCAATTAAATCATGCATTATAATATATTCAATAGAATCTTCACCTTTGATCATAGATTTCCAAAATCTAAATTGGCATATTTCTTCCATATTAGCAAAGAAATCAAATTCTGGATAGATTGCTGGACAATATGCAATCACATCTGATTCTGCTATCGAATATTTTTTGAAAAATTGATTCAATAATTCCAAATATTTCAAACAAGAACGGAAATTGTACCTAGTTGCATAAATCATATTTCCTATAATTGTAAATAGCGATATGTTGTACTTATCGACTAAAATAGTATTAATAAGATTAAAAACTTCATCAATAGGCTGATCCGATTGCAAGTGATAGAGCTTCTCATACGCCATGATAAAATCATCATACAGTTTTAAATATTCTTCACTCATTCCAGTGGTTTTCAAGCCACGCCAAATATTATGTAAATCTTTCAATTTTATAGTTTTGATTTTGTTACTTACTAAGAGTTTTCTCAAAATTTCTCACTCTTATGATGATAGATTTTATATTTGTGAAGTTTACAAATTTTATATGAATATTAAATTATTCTTAGAACTATATCATGATGCATTTTTGCAGTTCAAATTTACAATATTTATGAAATAACGTTTCAATTTTTGTGAGATTGATATGCATGCTGCCCACTCTCAATATAGCACAACTTCAGGAACTTCGAGTGGAAGCAGCGGACGTTCTAAAGGTTTTATAGGCTTATCCAGTCAAAATCTATTGGAAGGAGCTGATGGACCTGGTACATGGGATCAATTACAAGCAAATTTTCAATATTTATCTGCAAACATGTCAAGATTTAAATCTTTTAGTATTATTTTCCATCAAATAGCAATGATACTTCGTATGATTCAGATAGCAGCCATATTTTTAATGCCAAGCTCCGATGATTTTTGGGGCTCAGAGTCTGCATCTGATATAATTATCAAAATTATTGCATTTCCTATCAATCTTGGCATTGGTCCAAAAGATTTCACTTATCATATAATCGAAACCTTCATTTACGCTGTTTTTTACATTTTCAACTTCTCAATACATATGATGGTTATATGGAGAAATCCAAAAGAAAAAGCTACAACCAACAAAACAATTTATTATCTTTGCGTTTCGAATATTTTGATATGCCCTACTGTTCTTGTACTAGCATCTTCTAATCTTGGTGTCCTCTTCAGATCGATTATATTCTATGAACGCAGAGATCCAATATTATATGCCTGTATCATTATTGGAATTTTGACAGTTTCGATTTCCGCTACAGCTCATTATTATGGCGTTTTGATGATCAGACACTCAACATTTGTTGACTTTAAGATGCTTTTCCGTCCATGGTCACCATATTTAATGAATGTGCTTGCATTTGATTACTTTTTTGTACTATTATGCCTTTTAGAAGGTCTGTTTGACATGAACAAACCAATATATATCTTGATTTTTTCAATTTTATGTTTAGTTATTTGCAATCCAATTGTTTTATGGTATTTTATGGCAAATCCTGTATTTCAGAATACCAGAGATTCAGTGTATATACTAACAGTCTTAAGTTCAGGTATGTATTCGGTAATTTTAATGGATATCAAATATTTCGCAAAAAGAATCACGCCAATCATATATTTATTTGTGATAATTGTGATATACATTGCTCATTATTTCCTATACTTTACTCTAACAAGAGCAAATGCCAACAGATTTTTAATGAAACTATATTCAGTATACAAACAAAGTACAGGAGTATTACCACCAGCACCTCCTTTAATGGTATTTGGTAACAACACTGCAAAAGTAGCTCTAACTCAAGAAGCTTACAATGTAATGCAAGCTTTTTCTTCTTTGGAGATCAGTACTTCTCGTGAGTTCCAAAATATTGTCACAGTTGGTGCATCTATGAGAATGCCTGCAGTAACAAACTTCGATTTCATTCGTTGGGGATTAAATTTTTTTATTGATAAGAATTCGTTGATGATATGCTCCCAGATATGCAATTATTATCATGAAAATGCACAAACGCAATCAATTATTCTTCAATCATTAAGATCAAATCCGAAATTATCAAATTTTGATACAATTGTTGTTAATTTATTGGATTTGGAACATACAGATGTAATTTCTGATCAACCAATATTCTATAGAACGCTAAAAGTCAAAGCAATGAATGCTCAAGCTCGTTGCCGAAGATGTATTTCTTCATTTTGGTCAGCAGTTCTAAACCAAAGCATTCCTTCTATGAACGAAGGTTTGTGCAAACTCAGAAATTCCATTAATGACGCACAAGCCCATTTCGATGAACTTTTAAGATGTTATCCAAATTCAATCGATGCAATTTCAATGTATCTCAGTTATCTCCTTGAAAACAAATTCTCCTTCCTTGAATGCTACAAGTACATCAATAAAACTAGCTCCTCAATGATAGAAAGCAAAATTGAAGGAAATAAAAACGTAAATCAAACAAGAACAGACGCAATAACTACATTAATGAAGGACACAAACAGTAGTTATGCAGAATATCTCTCAAACATCACAACTTACGCTGAACAAGAAAGAAGAGTTAAATATAAATCGCGTGGTCCTAGCCGCGCGTTAATGACTTTAGTTGTTTTAAGCTTTATTGTTATTATAGCTTGCTTTATTGGTATTATTTGGTCAACTCTCAAACGACAAATGAGTTATCCAAGTTTATTAGAAATAATTACACGAGGATCAGACGTAATTATCGATCTAGCATCACTTTCACTTGCAGCTCGACATCTTTGCTTGTATAAATCGGGTGCAATTCCTGAAACAGACGAAAATATAACAAATAATTTGGCAGAATACATACTAAATGGGTCAGAAGCACTTCCAAACAAGATATTGACATTCTATACTACAACAGCTCAAAGAAAAGTAATGATTGATACATTAAATACTCCATTTTCTGAAATTACTTTATTCAATCAAACTATACATGCATGCTTAGGTCGTACAATTGGTGTAGTTACGAATTCCATTAGGAACTTAGCTGTAAACTTCCAGGAATTCTACAAAAACGGCACAAATTCAGATTCAATTTGCCGTTCTGAAGAAATGAAGACAATTACAAGCACAATTCATACAATAAACTATCTAACAACGAGATTTATCAATAGATTCAAGCAACTCGCCGAAGAAGAGATTGGAGAATTTGATAAAACTCTGAAATTGATAGTTTACATTTTGCCTGGCACTTTTTTGGTATTTTTCCTGATTTTATTGTTAGTTATTAGAAGTTATGTTATTCATGAGTCCTCATTCCGAATGACATTATATTTAAGTCTTCCGGAAAAAATCGCGAGTAATATAATTCACAAACAGAACGAAATTGACAAAAAGCTTGTTTATTACCATTCCTCATCATCTCCATTCTTTTCTAGTGGTCTCCAACAGAAGAACAACAAGAATCTAACAAGCGCAAGTCAAGGACAAACAAGTCAATCAACGGAAAAATCAAAAGCAATGAAAGTTGAAAGTTTGTATCAATTCACAAACAGTTCAAAAGAAGCAAGTACAACAGGTATCATTGGGTTCACTGTTTCAATGATTGTTTTCTTTATTGTTGGTGCACTTTCGATGTTTGGATTGATTTTTTATGCAAAACATGTTAATTTAGGTTTCATTGGTCGTATTTTTCAACTTTGTGATACAACAAGAAGATATTCCAGTCTACAATATGTCAGTTTATTAATTGTTGAATGTTTTAATTACGAAAATGAAGAACTCAGATTATTTGATCATCAACAATTAGTTGATTGGACGAAAGACATATTAAAGAATACTTCGAGATTGGAATCAGATTTAACATATGGAAATGATGATATTCCTTATACATATAGAGAATATCCAATGATTGCTTCTCTTTTCGATGGAACTAATAATGATTTGCAAAAATTCACAAATGAAGTATTAAGAAGTCATTATTCTATACGTGATAAAGGTTACGAATATCTTGGGATAGAGAGCAAAATGCAGCTGTTTTTGAGTGCGACACGAGGAATATTAAACATTTTCTCGAAGAATCTCTCTGTTTTGAACATTTCTACTGGTGATTGGTTGTATTACAACAGATTAATTGTTGACCATATTGTTATAGAAACAGCCAATACAACGGAGATTTATATAGAAGGCGCAAATAGTGTTATTAGTCATTCTTTCTTGGCAGCTTTGCATATGTCTGTTGCAGCAATTATTCTGTTAATGATAATTTATATTGGACCAATTGTTTATTATTCCAGGAATTTGAGAAAATATTTCAATTTGACAACACAAATTTTGGCTGGAATTCCTCCTGAAATATTTAGAAATACATTCTATATAAACAATTGGCTCCAAAAGATCATTTCTAGACGTAATTTCAGCAAATACGAAGCAACATTTAAGCGAAGCGTTTCAACACAGTTGCAATCGAATGTTTCTGAATTTATTCCTGAAAAAATCTTTTTGTTTACTACACAAGGAAGCTTCATTGATATCAAGAGTTATGATTTATCAGAGATACAAGGTGATGTCGATCTTGCAGCAATATTAAATATCTTCTTTGAACTTAAGAAACAACCGAATTTGTTGGATAATGTTCAAAGAAGTTTTGCAAATTTCCTTGAAGCAAAAGATAAAATGGAAAACGTTATTTTCAAAGGAATCTCGAGAGACAATAGGCCGCTTAGAATAACTCTTCATGGTATAACAACAGCTGACTCTATTTCATTGAATTTAAGTGAAATGCCTGGTTTTTATGCTTATGTTTCAATGTCAATCCTTGATATAACTAAAGAAACAGAAGATGATAAAAGATATCAAGCAGAAGCAAATACAACGTTGAGTTTGCTTGAAACAGTTATACCGCATTCACTTGCAAGAAGAATACATTCCGGAGAACAATCAATAAACTTTTCCGCTGGAATTGGTTGTTTTGTGGTCTTACAATTATGTGAATTTCTCGATTACGGAAGAATGTTTGGAGAAAAAGAAGTGATGAATCTATTGAATAGCATGAGACAATGTTTGGGCGGTGTTTTAGGCAAGTTCTCTAATATAACAACCATGCATATAAGAAATGGAAGGTGCTATTTCATTGCAGGTCTTTTCAATGAAGATCAAAATGGTATAACAGAAGTCGAAGATTGTTTTGGTTTCTTTGAATCAATAGCTATCGCTCTGCATGAACTTATGATTAAGTTGAATTTCACAGTGAAATGGAAAGGAGCACTATCAACAGGTGGCCCTATTTTCTGTAGATTAGTTGTTGATGTTGCTCCTATTGCAATTGCAGATGGAGATCCTGTTTCCATCGCTGAAAAATTGTTGGAAATTGCAAAGCCAGGACAAATTTTGTTTGATAAAACAACTTTGGAATGTGCTGAACCTTTAAAGATGACACCAATAGAGTTAAGTGTAACTGATGTTAAGGATAGAAAAGTTTCATATTATTATATTCCAATTGATTCATATTTGGTACCTCAAGATTTACCAAATAATGTTTAATTTATATATTGATTATTTTTGTTTTGTTTTTTAAAGATATTTGTTATATATTTGATGATAATCAAAATTTATAATTTTAATTCCATAATAGAAATTCATCAACATAGCTATAATTTACTTCATTTTAAGATTCAGTATTGAAATATTAACAATTTATTTCAGAAAACTAATTTCTAACTGGCAAACCAATTGATTAGATACATTTTCTATAATTGAGTCTTTTTTTCATTTGCATTCAACAAAGATTTAACAGAAATTAGAGATTTTCTTTTTCATTTAAATGTCAGTTTTCACTAGCCATAATGTAGTGGAAGATCTTTTTCAAAGCTCTTATTCATATGTTCAAAAAAAGAATCGTGATTATTTTCCTCATCTTCTTCATATTTTCTTGCAATTGTGATACCATGGCCCAATATAGGCCCGAGAATTATAAAGGTAGTTTATAGAGTGAGCATAATTTATAAACACCTTTGTGTGAGCAATAAATTTTTTTTCCGCATAAAAAACAAAAAAATAAATGACTGAGCAAAAGGAAACTCCTATCAAAGCCGCTGCAGATGATCTTACAAAAAATATTGCAGAGTATATGCAACTCCAGGCTGAAGAGCTTTCTGATAACTTTGAGCTTGTTTTCCAGTTAAATCAAGCTGCAATTGGAAAATATAGCGAGCTTGTCGATGAAGCTTCTTCATTGAAAGAAAAGGCAACAGCACTTCAAGAACAAGAGATTGGCGTTGCATCATTCCTTAGTAACCTATCAGTTATCGAAGCAGACATCACAAACCTCGAAGATACCATTTCAAAACTTGAAGGATATTGCACATTACTTGAATCAAAGGTTGCCAATGTTCAACATTAAATTCATAACGAACTCTCGATAATTTTTGATTTTTAATTATTTTGTTAGTTTCAGATCAAAATCAAAATGGCAAACTTATTCTAGTTGTACAAGATAATCATATTAAAATCTCTCTTTCAGTTTATTTCTCTTATTTTAGGTATTTTTATTCATATTTTCTTTAATACAACTTCAATTCAAAAATAATACTTATGATACGATGCATAATGATTACATGCATTGAGGTTTAATGACAATATTGAGAAATATAATATCTTCATAATAAAATGGTAAAATGCTTGACATCAAAGCGCAAATGAACATTATTGTGACTTTCTGTTATAACAATTGATTATTTAATGTTATTTTTTGAAAATTTCAATTATTTTGTGACGATATTCAGTATTTACACATATATTATAGGCAAAATCTATTTAGCTTATCAGATATATTATATATTTAACACAATAACCTCAAATGCCTTAATAAATTGACGCTGTGATCCCATGACGATACGGCTTGCTTGGCCGGAACATGACCCTAAATAAATATACGATCAGCATTGTTTTTTCGAAATTGAGAGAGCCCAGATTTTGTGAGAAATTTTAAATGACGGACTATCTCCGATTATTTGGGTTGGCATTGCCCTCATTCTTGAAATAGCCATTGGCTATGTATGCGTCAAATTCAACATATTTCCAAAGTCATACATTGGTTTTATCAATAAATTTGATTTTAGAATAGTTTTTATTCCTCTTATGGCCCGTGCATTTGCAATCAGAAACCTTTACGAAATGAACTTCAAGCCATTATCAGCATGCATTTTAATGAGCTTGGCCAGTCAAATAACATTGGCGATTTTATGCTTTGCTATACCTTTCCAAGACAAATTAGGTACTTTCATCAGTATACAACTCCCTGTTATTTACGTTAACTACGTTATTATTGGAATTCCACTTTTTAATTCCATTTGGGGCGAAGCAAACAACGCAATCACCGCTGTTATTATCATGAGTAATGATATCGTTATTGTCCCCATTTACCAGATTCTTGGCGCCATTTAGAAGATTCGCAAGAATAATGAGTACCTTAGAGAGAACAATATGCCAGAAGAAAAATTCAGCTACAAAGTTGTTATTAAGGCCATTCTTTCCGTATTCAAATCCCCAATTATTCAAGGAATTATCATCGGAATCATTTGGTCTCTTACGAAACTTAAACTCCCTGTAATCCTTGACCGTTTGATGCTGATTGCAGGCCAGCCAATCGTTGCCTGCGCTTTGTTCTGCGTTGGTGGATTCCTTGCTCAACATTCACTAATTGCATGCAAGTGGTCGGAGTTCATCATTGGATTGGTATGGAGATTCATCGTATTCCCATTCTTCGGCGTTTTGTTTGGCTGGGTTATGAAGCTTTCAAATACCGAAATCAGACAAGTCCTTGCAATGGCTGCTGTCACTTGCGCTGTTGCAGTCTACCCAATGGCATGTGAAATTGGTGTAGGCCAGGGCGTTTCTTCGACAATGATTTTCTGGACAACAATTCTTTGTGTTCCAGTCATCATCGCTTGGTTGTATACACTTGATGTACTTAAGTTATTCCCAGAAACCAAGAACTGATTCTTTTTTATGACATTTTCTATTAATTATTTTAAATAATATAACCCTGATTGAATCATAGTCTTAAAAATAAATATATCTTAATTTCAAACCAAATCAGTTTATTTTCAGAGAAAAATTTGTTCCAATAATTTTTTATTTCGATTGTAGGGCGAATATATAAAGTGCATAAAGGAATCTTTGAATACATCTTAAAGCATGTTGGATAAGAGCTTTGTTTTTTTTAAATATATTCCAGCCTAGAGAATACAAGTAGTTTGAAAGTTTTCCGTTTGTATATTTATTGGATTCATAAAAACTGTATGATGGTTAGTGTTGAAATGACTACTGATGATACATCAATGTCATCCAAAATTTCAAATTAGTTTTGATGGTTTCAAAGTAAAGCAAATTCTTATAATATGATTTTTAAATAATTGGCTCCTATTAATTTGGTGATCTAATGAGGTTTTATATGAAATTGTTTGAAAACCTTAGAATTTCAATAGATAAATGCTCATTTTTAATTAGAATGATGTTTTTAGACGAAATACAATTTAAAGAACGACTACTGATCACAGATGTAAAATTTTTGATGATGGTTGATTTAGAACTTGAATTTTAGATAATATATTTGCATCTTTAGTCTTTCGATGCATTTGCTGTGGCTAATTATCCAAGTAAACGATCAAATCTGAGGTATTGAAGTTGCAAGTATATTTTTCAAATGAAATTTGAATGCTATCCAAAATTTGAATTATATTCAAATTGATTTAATGTCTTTTAATTCGGAAATAGTGTATAAAACATAAGCTAAATCATGTGGCCAACCAGCGTTTTCTCCGATTTTGTAAACATTTCGAATTTTGAATAAATTACGATAGTGCCATCATCGTCTATCATTTTATTGGAATATAAATTCATGTAGTTTATTTAAAAAATGAGGTAAAATAATTGAATAAATTTATCGTGTATTTTATTTGAAAAAAGTTATCCTTGCAATATTACATTATTTATACACTATGTTAATAGACTTTAAAATTGGTCACTCATCACGAATATAAGATTTGTTGTAAACTAATCAAATCAAAGTGATGGAAAACAAGGAGAACAAAGATATTGTATCCATAACTCTTGATAATCCTTCTGAGTCAGAAGTACAAGCACCACCAAAGAGACCACTTAAGTTCAAAATTCTGCGCTTTTGCGCTTTCGTTAGTATCGTTCTTCTCAATACGTTAGTAAACTTCCAGAAGACATGTCCATCTGTTGTCGCAGATCAAATGGCCATAGCATATGGTGTCGACAAAGCAGAAGTGAAGACCTTTTCATCGTCATATTTTTGGACATACGCTGTAATGCAACCATTCTCGGGATTACTGTCCGATTTGTTTGATCCTGCTATCGTATTAGCAATCCTTGCATTAGTTTCATCAGCTGGATCCAGTATTTGTGGCTTTTCTAACAACATGGGTGTTGGAAGCTTTGGAAGAATTTTAGTAGGATTGGGAACGGGGCCAACATACGTCGCTGCACTCAAAATCTTCTCAAATTGGTATCCAAAAGATCAATTACCTACAGTTCTTGGTTTGAATATGGCACTTTCCAGTATCGGCGGTTTCCTGTCAGGTACACCATTGCAAGCATTCTGCAACACTTTTGGCTGGCGCTGGGCTTTCCATACCATTGGCATTGTTGGCGGCGTTTTAAGTACATTTGTATTAATTTTCATCCGTGGTAGTCCAGAACGCCAAGGATTCGATCCAGTCAATGTAACCAACAAAGCTAAGAAAGAAGAGACATTCTGTGAGAGTTTATCTAACTTATTCAGAAATATCTGGCAAGTCCTCATTTATGGCTATTTCTGGGTCATTGTTCTATTCAATGTCGGCACGGTATCAGTTTTCTTGAATATTGCAGGTTTCTCTGGCGGTATTTACTTAACAGATGTTTTACACTTCACTCCAAACCAGAGAGCTTCAGCCATGCTTTCTTTCCATACAGGCGTTTTAATTGGCTCCATTATTTTGCCACAGATCGCTAAATGGGTGAAATCAAAGAAGATTGTTTTAATTGATAGCGCTATTTTAATAGCAGCACCATTATTCACCCTATTCTTCCTTGGTAACAAGGCTACATACATTACAATTTGGATTTACTGGACAATTATTGGTACATTCTCACGTCCTGTTTTAAGTCTCAGTTATCCAATTGCAACAAGCTATTATTGCCCTGTTGTTTCAGGATCAACTGTTGGCATTGCAAACTTCTTCCTCAACCTCATGGCCGGAGTTTTCCAGATGATTTCTGGCGCAATTATCCCACTTTACGATACTAAAGTTGGAGATAAACCAGTACACACATGGAAGGGCTACCAAATGGGAGTTTGGTTGTTCAGTGGTGTTTGCGCCGCTATAAGTATTTTAATGGGTATAATTATGAAAGATAATGATTCTAAGATGTGCACAAAGACGAAGAAAGTCGAGAGAGGAGAGCTTAACTCTACACTCCTTCTTGCTGAAGTACAGAAGACAGACGAGAAAACAAAGTAGATTGGCCAATTTGGTCAATGCAACTATAATAAATAATAAGTTTTTATAAGTAACTGATTTTAAGGAAAATAGCTTCCTTTTTTTTCAAATATTTGGTTAATTTGTGGATTTTTTTTTCAAAAAATATGGTTTCGTGGTTATTTTCGTATGAACATAAATTTTGTACATGAAGTATATTTCGAGATACTTGAGCAAAATTGAATAATGATGAATCTAAGAAATTTAGAATTAATCCAGGTAACATCAATCTAAATGATATAGCCTGTACAATTATATAACAGAAAACACATAAGGAGCTCATTATTTTTGGTGTGCTCTTTATCTTGTTAATCTGACTATGATGCATTATGATCTTCCAGAGTATATAACTTCATATCTTCAGTTTCAATATGATGTACAACATATTTCAACGGAAAATATACTCGAAATCGCACAAAACATTTCAAATTCGACATATGTATTATGTGATCCAGGTTTAGTAATGATTGCTAACGAAATAACATATGCTTCACGCATTAGACCTTCAAATATAAGCTTTTACACAGATTTACTATTAAATCTTATCGAAAATTATACATTTTCTGCTCAATTTAAGACCATACTGTTTACATCAATATTCAAAAACAAAGCATGCAGCTTATTGAATCATTTAATGAAGAATAAAGTTTATAAATTCGATAAAATTCATGAAGAAGCAATGAAACCTGGAAATGAGATATTCTTATATGCATTTATGGATGAATTTGGACTACCTCGACTCGATAAAACTCCACCTGAATTAGAAATTTTAAATGAGCAATTTGGATCAATTAAAGAGCTTCAAAATTCCTTAGACAGAATTAACGTAGAACTACAAAACCTAAAGCGCAAAGCTGAACTTGAAATAAATGATAATAAATATAATCATACCAAAAAAGATCCACAGCAAACTTTATACAAGAACTTATATAAAGAAATGGAAAGGAAAATCGAAAAATTCAACGATATTATCAAATTTAGAAATAAATTTCCAAATGCTAGTCATGATCTTGTTGAATACGGAGTGATTCCTACATCAACAGATTATCTAATAAAAATTGATGATCTTGATAAATATTGCACTAGATTTGGAAAGAAAATCGTTGAAATTTCTCCATTAGAAACAAAAATTCATTCTCATCTCCCAACTCCGTGTCTTTGGATAGAATTTGCTGCATTTCACGGAGCTAGAAAGTGTTTTGAGAGTTTTTTAAATGAATTTTTAAAAGATATTAAGAAAATTGGTTTAAAAAAGGAAACGGATATTCTTTTGAATAAAAGATATCAACTGACAAGAGAGCACAAAGATCATCTAATTTGGTATGCTGCAGCTGGGGAAAATTTTGAAATTTTCATGAAATGTACAGAATTTAATGAAATTGACGATGAATGTTTGAGACAATCGATTGTTCATCATTCAACTGATATATTTAACTATATATTTGAAAATAAACCCGAATTGAAAACATCTACTCAATTTTGCTTAGCACATCATAATATTCACGCAGCGATTCATATGATAGATATGGATGTAGATGCTAATTTTAATGAAATTACGAAGCTAGCTTTAGATCTTGGATATGTAGAATTTGTTATTTACTTATTAGATACTGGTCGTGATATAGAACTCGGTATATTGATATCTAAATGTATTGAGATGCATGCAACTGATCTATTTTCTTATATTAATGGAAAATTCCCTGATTCAATTTTCTTTTTTGATGAATCTGGACTTGCACCAATACATTTATCAATCAAATACAATAATTCTGATCTGTTTGATTATTTACTCGAAATCGGAGCAGATATTAATCAGAAAAACGGTTTTGGAGAGACGCCTTTAGTCATGGCTTGTAAAATGTTGAATTCTGACATAGAAATGGTCTCATATCTTATAAAGAAAGGAGCTGATGTTAATATTCCTGACAGATTTGCAAATACCCCTCTACATTACGCTGTTTTGAGAGATCATGTCCAAATTGCACAAATGTTGATTGAAAATGGCGCAGATGTAAACCAACCAAATACTAATTTCCAAACTCCACGCGGCCAAACTGATATGATATCAAGAGAAATGAAAGAGGTCCTTAATAGGGCCTTTGCGAAGCAAGAATCTGTCCTTGGACAGAAGTTCAATGAAAATGTAGAAAACTAATTATATTATTGTTTATAAATGTGTGTTATTTTATTCAACATTAGTATTATGTTAATTTTTTTTGATATGTGTACAAAAACAGAATGAGTATGCGTTTATTAATATATAACAAATAGAATTGATAAAAATAAATAATAAATAGTCTTAAAACTTAATGTTAACTTGACGAGGGGCCGCTTTGAGACTTCTTCTTTCGAATTCGCGCTTTCTGGTTGTAGATGTATTCATTGTATTAGCAGCTTGCTTTATATCAACAAGTGTACGTCTAGTATGAACTTGGTTTTCTGTTATTGGTTTGATTGGAATGTTGTTCTCTTTGAAACTGTTGAGAAATGCCATCACATCAACTTTAAAGATGTCAACTGGAATGGGTGTTGAGGGAGTGAAGTTTGAATCTGCATTGGAATTAGGAATTGATTTAGAAAATGCAGGAGAAAGAAGAGTGTTGAAATCATAGGCCTTATTAGACATTAGAAAATGAAAATAATAAACGTACACAAATCGCATTTATTTTGTTTATAGAATATTGATGATGTAAATATCTCATAATCATGGTCATTTTTGATAAGAACCATAGGATTTTTTGATGTAAATATCTATTCTTGTTATGAATTTCATGAAAAAGCTAAGATGATGTTATGATATCTTTGATTTTTGAACGGTCATTGATGAAAATGTTACTAATCCTTTATTAATTTTAAATTATAATTCTAAATAATTACATAAATTATTCTTATCTATATAAAAAATAAAGCACACAAGTTATTTATTTCCAAATTTATTAATGATACAAGGAATCATTATAGAATATGAAGATTAATTCTTTATGCTTCATGCGAAGATAGCAGATGAATCATTTCTTTATCGTTATTATTGTAAGCAAAATAAATAGGTTTTCTTTTCTTGCCATCTAGTGCATGAACGTTAGCACCATGGGAAAGAAGTATTTTTGCTGTTTCCTTGCACTTATAATGCGAAGCTAAATGAAGAGGAGTTAATCCATCTCGATCTTTTGCATTGATACTGGCTCCATGTGAAATCAGAAGTTCTGCTATATCTGCGAGATTGTTATACGCAGCCCAATGTAGAGGGGTCTTTTTATCATTATCTTTTGCATTAACATTTGCACCATAGAAAATAAGAAGTGTAGAGGTTTCTTTATAACCAGATATTGTAGCCAAATTAAGTGGTGTATTGTATTTTTTATCTTTTGCATTAATATCTGCGCCACTAGAAATAAGAACATCAGCAGCATCATAACAATTTCTATTTGCTGCTACATGAAGAGCTGTTCTTTCAAACTCATTCCTGGATTCGATATTGGCACCATGATTAATAAGTATTTCTACAATTTCTTTACTATCAATCCATGCTGCGGAACAAAGAGCTGTTTGTCCAAATTCATTTGATGCATTAATATCTGCCTCATGAGAAATTAGATATTCGCAAAGAGAAGGAATATTAAAAAATGGAGAATAAACTAAGCATAGATCAATATCATTTGTTTGATCTAAATAAACAAAAAATGCTTGAAGATTATTATAACTATAGCATTCATATAAATAAATTTTGATATGATATTCATTCATCAAAAAAGTAACAAAATCTATGTTGTGTGATATAATTGCATACTTCATACACTCTCTGTCAGGCTCTATTTGCTTTAAACATTCATTCATGATATCAGCATTTCCACTAAGAAATGAAAAACGAAGGCATGAAAATGTGATTTTTGAGTCAAATTTTGTAATCAAAAATTTAAAACAATTTACAGCGCCGTAATAGCAACAAAATTCAAGTAATGATTGCAATTCATTAGGATAAAAATGAGTATTGAATAATATCTTTTCATCAAATCCTTCTTTTTCTGTGAATCCAATAAATGATTTCATATCATCATTCATAATTGCCATGAAAATTGAATTTTTTTCATGAACATCAATTGAAATTGCGATAGGGTCATAGAACTGGAAGAAATATTGATTTTTTTGATCAAGAACAATACCATATTCTTTAAAAACAAAATAATCAAATACGGATGTGATATCTGGAGCTTTTTTGATACGATATTCTTCAAATAGTTTTTTGAAAATTGTCCAATATGATTTAAAGTAACGATTATTGTATTGTGCTATATTAGAAATTTTGCTTGCAATCTGTTCTGGGTTTAGAATTTTCGTTTCAATCAAATTCTTTTTAATATCATCGTAAATTTTATCAATTTCCGCGTTATCAAATGTCTTAAGCTTGTACAATGAATCAAAAACATTTTGATAATCTTTAGTTAACTCCATGAGCTCGTTATAATTACATTTCTTCATGAAATTTCTAAAAAGTGACAAAATTTATTGGAATTTTTCTCAAATTCTCGATCTAAAATTAATTTTGAGCTTTGATTCCGACCATCAGCTCACGATTTTGCTTTAATTTATACAGAAAGCTTGAATTTGAAAAGCGAAATCATGTAATGAATTTGCGATCGGAATGTTTCTGATAAGTCACTTTTCAATATCAATGATAGTGATTAATAGGGTTGTTAGATTCCCGACGATAGGTGTCTTGGAAGATTTGCCTGGTGTCATCATAGTGTCTTTAAATCAAAAATTTTATTTTGGAGTTAGTTTTATTGATTTTTCAATAAAAAACATTTCTAAAACAAGAAAATAAAACGATAAAATATTTATATTTTATATAAGGATCTTATATATTTAAAATAAATATCATTTTATTTTTTTCATTGGTGTCTGTCAAACCATAATACACTATTCAAAAATTCAATGTGTCTTGCGGTTTCAAAAGACACCTTCAAATTGAACGATAGCACAGACACTATTGAATTTTACCCATTGTATTTAGTTTTTACCCTTTTTATTTTTAAGAATTAATGACTGAAACAGCCGTTTTGCTATGACCTCAATCACTTTTATTAAGGGTTTCGTTTTGCGAAAAAAACGTACAATACGCAATTTCGCTAAAAAAACATTTAGCTAGCAATTTCGACCTTTGACTCCACTCAAGACGTCACTTTTTTAATTTTGCGGTATCATATTTTTGGAAAATCTTTATGAATATTATATAAAAAGTCTCTTTAATATCTATATTTCATATTTTTATCGATTTTTCAAGTTTTTGCGAAAAGTATTCAATTATTTTTGCTATTTTGTCGGGTAAATGTCAGATTTGCGACATTTTCTGATATGATATTCAGATTCTACGTTGATAATAATGCTTATAGAACCCTCTTGCTATTGTGTCAAAATTGCGAAACCGATAGCAAAAATATCTCGCAATATCAAAATTGAGATATTGAGTGAATTATGCATTATAGAGATTAAAAATCTGATTTGTGAAAACATCTCATCAGTTTCTAGCTAATTCAAAAATCTTTACTATCTTATTCGATTAAAATGAAAAGGGAATAGTTTCATTATGCTTTAAATGACAGCCTTATAATATAATCATAGTTTTCGCTCAATATGCAGCATTTTTTTTTCGAAATCTATGGTCAATATCCTAAATACTGATTGCTTTGCATTCATATCTCTTACATTTTCTATACCCACATCACTATTCATTGCTATTCCTATCTTTTTCATTTTTGTTTGTTTCTCATAATTTCTCAAAAAACACGATAACTTGATATTTGTAAATATCATACTTTATAACGTAAATAAGAACTTGACCTATTAAGAAAAGCAGTAATGAAAAGAAAATCTGAAATTCATAAAAATTACAAGTTTCTGATGACAATTAGCTTAATTAAACCAGGTACAAGATTATATAATTGTATTTTCTATCCAATTATCCATATAATATCTTATCCAGAAAAAATAACTTGATCAATACCAAATGATTTTTTAACTAGTAAATAAAGTATTTTCTTTACACACACATTGTATATCATAGTTTTTTTTTGGTTTCGCAAAACATCCAAAAACAAATATGCTATAAAAGTGACAATTTTAGCAAAACGAAACCCTTACTTTTATTTATTATTTTAAATATTATTTAATTTTATTATTTGAATAGGCCAACTTATATTTGAGAAGCTCAATTTGAGACCACTTAAAACATTGAAATATCATAAATATTGAAATATTAAAAAGTGTATTTCAAAATATTGAAATTATAAAAATTTATAATACTGAAATTGAGACAAATTAATAAATTCAATGCGTTTTTTTTGAAATAACTCTCAAATATTATTTTTTTGTTTATTTAATGATGAATAAATATGATTGCTTTAGTCAATCATAAAAACTAATTTAAGTTTAAAATAATGAAAGGATAATTTGATCGTTTTTTAAAATACAATTATTTTTGATGATTTGCAAGAATCTTTGAAAAGAATATAATATAGGTTCTATTTTTGTAAAATTTATCCAAATCATGTATTACATAAATTACGATTAAAACGATGAAAGAACCAAAAAGTGTGTTTTGTGTTTTGTTGTTGCGTGTTGGATGCGGGATCCTGTTATTTCCGAAATCGACAAAAAATTTGGAAATTTAATTTCCGAAATCGAAATTATATTAATGTTTTTAATATTCTTATATCAAAAGGATTAAAGTTCATTAAGAGAAAAACAATTCTTCTTCTTCAATCTATTGGCTCATTTATTTCTACACGCCAATAAGGAAGGGAAAATTATAAGACACCATGGTGTCTTCAAAACGCTAATTTTTGATATTTTTAACAACCCTAGTGATTAATCATCAATGGAAATTCATCAATAGTTCAATTCACCACTGCTTAGTTATTATCGTTCTATTGATGTTCATAACAGTTATATTTTGGATGAGCCAAATTCCGATTTCATCATTATTTGGTATTGAGGGCGTATATTTCTAGTAATTCCGAATCATCTTCGATTATTTTAATTCTAGTGTACCATATTTGCTATATTCTTAATTGAATCGTGTATATTATTATGCCTAATTTTCATTCAACGATAATTTCCCAAATAAACTCACCAAAAATATGCAGTTGGGATGAAAATGAAGAAATCAATCGTTAATAGCCAAAATGAGCTATGATTAATCAAATAATAGGAAAATGTCCGCAATACAGTTGCATAATCATAAAAGCATGATTTCATTATGCTTTTGATACATATTCATTTAATACGTTTCATTTATGAAGTTTTCATTTGTAAAATTTCTCCGAAATTTACATGAAATACTCTTTAGATCAGTATTGAAGCATACATTATGCTTGTCATACCAAATCATCACTAAATATCTGATATAGTATGTTGTTTACGTCTGATATTTTTTATTTGGAAATATTTAAATGAAAGATCTCTGATTTTTCTATAATATAATTCAATATTATGTGCATGAAGCATGATGCTTTAAGATATTTGATTTAATTCTCAAAGTTCAAATGATGAAAATAATTGAAGATATCGTTACCACCATGATCTGTTTAATTTATAATAGCAATTAATTTCACTATGTAAATTCTGATTATTGTCTAGGGAATGACAAAAAATATTTTTTAAAAAAATTATTACATAAAAATGATTATTAATATATCACAAATATCTCGGAAGATTCATATTGTAAATACAACGATGCCCTTCCAATTTTTGAATAATGTAAATCATCTGATTGAATAGGTTCTGAACTCGACAAATTGTATTACTCTTATAAAACAAAAATCGGGCTTTTTCGTTTAAAATCATAATAAGATATAGTTATAGATCATTTGTGATAAGGGTTTCGTTTTGCTAAAATTGTCACTTTTATAGCATATTTGTTTTTGGATGTTTTGCGAAACCAAAAAAAAACTATGATATACAATGTGTGTGTAAAGAAAATACTTTATTTACTAGTTAAAAAATCATTTGGTATTGATCAAGTTATTTTTTCTGGATAAGATATTATATGGATAATTGGATAGAAAATACAATTATATAATCTTGTACCTGGTTTAATTAAGCTAATTGTCATCAGAAACTTGTAATTTTTATGAATTTCAGATTTTCTTTTCATTACTGCTTTTCTTAATAGGTCAAGTTCTTATTTACGTTATAAAGTATGATATTTACAAATATCAAGTTATCATGTTTTTTGAGAAATTATGAGAAACAAACAAAAATGAAAAAGATAGGAATAGCAATGAATAGTGATGTGGGTATAGAAAATGTAAGAGATATGAATGCAAAGCAATCAGTATTTAGGATATTGACCATAGATTTCGAAAAAAAAATGCTGCATATTGAGCGAAAACTATGATTATATTATAAGGCTGCCATTTAAAGCATAATGAAACTATTCCCTTTTCATTTTAATCGAATAAGATAGTAAAGATTTTTGAATTAGCTAGAAACTGATGAGATGTTTTCACAAATCAGATTTTTAATCTCTATAATGCATAATTCACTCAATATCTCAATTTTGATATTGCGAGATATTTTTGCTATCGGTTTCGCAATTTTGACACAATAGCAAGAGGGTTCTATAAGCATTATTATCAACGTAGAATCTGAATATCATATCAGAAAATGTCGCAAATCTGACATTTACCCGACAAAATAGCAAAAATAATTGAATACTTTTCGCAAAAACTTGAAAAATCGATAAAAATATGAAATATAGATATTAAAGAGACTTTTTATATAATATTCATAAAGATTTTCCAAAAATATGATACCGCAAAATTAAAAAAGTGACGTCTTGAGTGGAGTCAAAGGTCGAAATTGCTAGCTAAATGTTTTTTTAGCGAAATTGCGTATTGTACGTTTTTTTCGCAAAATGAAACCCTTATTTGTGAATAAAACAAATTTGTCAATTTGACAGGGGGATTCGAATATTTTTGAAAAATGAATGAAACTGAAACTTCACAATCACCGAATATATCCATAGATTGTGAAGAAGAAGAATACTCAAAAGAATCGGGCTCTCTCGAAAATAACAGTGGGCCTTCATCATATAGTTTAGATAAATTAGAACAAAATTTAAATTATATTTATCCGAAAATACCAGTTGCAATGCGCTACAATGACTTTGGCATATATAAAAAAGAAGTTATTAAGTGGTATGAACAAATAACTTCAAAGCTAGAAGAAAAAGAAAATTCAATTCCGATTTCTTTTACGTTAAAAAGGCCAGCAGTTGATAAAGAAATGGTTGATTTGTCTGGTACGACAAGTAAAATGGAGCTATCAAGTTTTAATCGTCTTTGGCTCCAAAAAATCTTAATTACTTCAGAAACAATTGACCCAGCAGCTCAATTTCCAAATAAAATAAATCAGAGATATCGTCCATTGTCATTGGTTTTCACGCATTCCGGTGTTTTCTCGGATTTCATACAAGAATATCCGAAACTCTCAAATTACGACACATATGAGTCATATGAAGAAGCGTCAGTCAATTGGTATAAGAAACAGAACCTTTACAACAATGAAATTTATAATCCAGATCATTTCTCGAAATATATGAATTATGCACGTGTTAATTCGAACAATCCCTATACACCTATCCCCCAACATAAATACGCGCATTTCGATCAAAGATTTTTAACCGTTAAATTTTCAGAAAATTCAGAACGATTAAAGGACTCAATACAAGTTCTATATCGTACATATAAGCAGTACAACTTTACCAAACTAAAAATTACTTACCAGGAAGTGAAAAATTTCCAAAATTTCCAAGAAAACAGACCAATCACGAATCATTGTATTATCGAACGATTATTCAAGAACTTCCTAAATCCTGGCAGTCCTCTTTTGTTTTCTCCATTTGAAGATGATTTTAAGTTAGCTAAAGTTTTCTTTGATGGAGCTCAATACAATGATATCTACATGAGTAACTTACCTCCTAAGGTCACTATCCGTCAATTCCATTTCATTCTCGCTCAAGTAAATTCAAAAACATCAAATTTAGTACTTATGTGCATCTTAGATATATTCAAAGACCTGTTTACGAGCTCAAACATTACATTCATGCTTGGAATGTTCCAAGATACTAAAGTTTTACTCACACTTGGATATATCATCAACAAATTAATCGATTTTCCAACTCGTTCGTACTTCGTTAATGCGTATTTAGCATGGCCAATCAAAGTAGACGATCAGATCATCAATCATACGATCAAAGTTTTAAGTGAAAAATCTGTAGCGAATACTTTCCTTCATTTCTTCACTACAACAGGTCTAAAAGACAGGTCTTCACTTGCTCAGTATTACCAGAAGATGACAACGACACAAATCGAGATTTTGTTTGAAAATTTCTTAGGTCAAATTACAAATTACCTTGAAAATCATTTGAGCAAGGAAAACCTTGATGTCATTGTATCTATATTCAATATGATTTTAGATTGCCATCCAGATCAAGTCGCAGAGTTCTATAATTCCTTTAATAACGTTTTTGCCTTTTTAAACGAGATTTCACTATTAGACAGCAAAGCATTTATGAGGATAATGGCTCCTATGCTCAAGATCCAAACCAATACAATTTTGTTTGTTAACATGTATGTTCCTCACATCGAATACATTTCATTGGAGGAACTTTACAACTATTCAAATTACATGTTCTCAATTATTGCGACGGTTTTTTCAATGAGTCCTAACAAAATTATTTTTCCCAAATATGATTGGATCTGTTCAATGATCACTCACTTAGTACAGTTAACAAGTGATTCGTCATCATTTGCATTGTATTGCATTTGCAATTACTTATGCAGTCTGTTGTCATCGAAAATTGAATATGACAAAGGACTCGCGTTCAACTGTTTGACCTTTTTAACACCCGGATTGCAGAACAAAGTCATCCACGCATATTTCATCCGCGCGTTTGGAAAGATATTGATACTTCCACAATCAATTTCTTTCTTAAAGTCATATAATCTTTGGACAGTTTCTCTTTTCAAACAATTGGAAAGCAGCAACTACGAGACACAAAGATACGCGTGGAGAACATTTCATGCAATTGCTGACCAACATTTGGACTTGTTGGCGCAAATGTTCAAAAACAAAAATATTATGACAGCGTTCTCAAACGCGTTGATGAATTTGTCTTTGTCCGGTTTGACCGAGCTTTATTTCATGCTCACATATATATTCGGAAAGAACTTGAAGCCTTTGTCTCAATATGATTCGAAATCTGGAAAAGGGCCAAGCGTTTTCTTCGGAATTCAGAATATTCATCCTGATTTGATAGCTTTTTGTTACATTTTGAGTGACAGTGGCTTTAAATTGGATGAATTCAACGCAAAAATTTCGAATGCAACCGGTCCTGATTCGATCCTTTCTGGAATCATTTTCAAGTACTTCAAGAGAGTTTTTAATGACAGAAAGTATATGAGAGGACTTCTTGATAGAAATCAGGGAGAGATTTATTAATTTTTATTTATATTTATATAGTTTTGTTAGATTTTGCATATAGAAAAATTAAACATTGTTTGTTTATTTGCGAATTTACTTGTACAATACATTCCTAATCCTTACTCACCAATGAATTTATTCAATTATTCAAAAAATTTTATCAAATTTCATTTAAAATCTAGTGTCTTTGAAACTTTTCTAAATTTATTGCATTGAATGGTTCACAAAATTGACTTTACAAAACTAGCTCGATTCAAAGTTGGGCCAAGATATTTTATATTCCGTTATTTATACTGTATAAAATAACCTTTGTCTAAATCATTCACAATTGAATAGATAAAGTTTGAAAAATCACATTGAATTTTTAAAATTATTTCATTGAATTTTTAAAATTATTTCATTTAAATTTTGCAAATTACCTCAGACTTTTCAGAGGATTGAGTTGCCACTCAATCCTCTGAAATAGTCTGTGGTAATTTTTAGTCTCTACACTATTTCAATATAAGCTCCATTTTTAAACAGTTTTTAAAAATCGAGCATTGAAAAGTGTGATGAGACTGAAAAATTATAGTACATACAATAAATAATTTCATTAGATGATTCTAAATATCAATTCGAAAAACGAGTTCGAAATTTTTCATAAAATTCAATAACGAATGATTCTTTCTTTGGCTTCCTCTTCATGATTTCAAAATAAATTCAGAATTCTTGTAGCTTGTCTTCTGGCAAACCAATGTTACATATTATTTGCTACAAAAACTTTTTTATTTCTTTATTTTCAAGCTCAAACGGTAAAAAATGGGGTTGGCGTCCTAAGGCGTCCTAGTGTAAATTTCTCAAAATTGTGATATTTACATCACATTTTTGAGAGGTTTATGGGCGTCCTAAGGGAAAATTGAATAGCTAGGGCGTCCCGAATTTTCATTCTAAGATTTAAATATATTATATACTTAAGTATAATACAAGCAATATAAAAATTAAATTTTTATTATGTTAACTTATAAGAAATTTTTTTGAATTATCGTTGATTTATTGTAATCTTTCCAGGCTATACTTTTGAAATCAACTTTACCTGTCATACGCATTAATGTAGTAGATGTCCAGGTGTAGCTATTATATCCCAGCAACATTGGTATTTTATCATTGTAAGATATCAAAATGAAGCATTTTTTCAGATATAATTTTTCGTAAATTTTTCAAAAATAAGATGGTAAAAAAGCCTCGACTTGCTCGAAAAATAACATTTTTTTACTTGTAAAAATAACCCTTTTACAGCATGGGCAGCTATTCAATCACTATTTCTTTTTCTAAAAGTATATTTTTCAAAAAAAATTAAGATCAAATTCGACAATTTCTTGATGAGAGCAAAAATATTACACATACTTCTAGATGCATGGGATAAAATATGCAATTATTCAATCAATTCGCATGATTTGAAAAAAAAATCTAAATTTGATAAAAATGTAGAAATTTTTTATTTTTAACTTGAGATTCGATTTTTTTTGATCCAATTTGTGAATTTTTTTTGATCGGAATTTCAATTAATTTGTTGATCAAAAATGACCTCACAATGTTTGATCATAAGTGAAGTCATCTTCATGGGTATTTAGAAATTCCAAGAGAAATTGCTTATTTCTCGCAGATGTAATATCTGAGAAAATCGAATTTAAATATTCATAGAAACCCAAATCATTCTCCGGTTCGAATAATTCATCTGTTGCTTTTTCTGTTTTTTCTATGAATTTTAATAATTTGATTAATAAATCTTCATCAGGAAGAATTATTGCTGCATTTGTGATAAAATTCCATATTGAGGTAATATGGCAATAATTACATTTATAAAATGTAATTTTATCCAAAATTTTTTGGCAAATTCGCATAATAGCATTAATATTTGAAGCTGAGATTAAACCTGTGATTACTTCTGTAACTTTTGGAAAATCATCGCAATTTAATATCTCTTTATATTGAATTGAGAAATAAAAAAAATCAAATGGATTCATTTCTTCAATTTCAAGGAGATTGTAAAAATTGATAGAAGTGTTATTGCAACAAATTGTATTTGCAGCAAAAAATATCATTTGCTCGATTCCATTTTTGGAATAAATTTGCTGGAACAATGTTAAATTAAAACAGTTGCTTAATTTTTCTTCATTGTTTTCATAAAAAAGTAACAAGTTTGCAACTGAAATTTCAAAATTTTGATAATTGCCAGTTATTTCAGTAAATATATATATTTGCTTTTCTTCATCTAAAAATGGCAAATATTGATTTGCAATATTAACTAAAGTTTGGGATAAATTGTTCCAGTTTGATTTTACAATTTGTGAGCACATTATGTAATATGTAAATTTATCCGCTTTGTAGGAATTTAAAATTGTTTGTTGTTCTGTTTCAGTTAAATTACTGAATTTTTCAAGATTAATATTGTGATAAAAAATAGAATCCTTGAAACATTCTGATATCTTTTCAATGTTTAAAACGGATGCTAAAAAATGTAAAAGAACTTCATCAGTCACTGTGATTTTTTTGAAAAATTTATCCCAATTCAAGCATCCAATTGATCTTTCTGTCATTGTACTTATGCATTGATAAAGTTGATTTAATGAATCCGAAGAATAATCATTATGCTTGACTAGTTGAGTTAGTTGATACAGACTGTCGTCAGCCATTTTAAAAAAAATGAATAAAATTGTATAGTAAATTATATTTGTGAAATTTGTGACGCTACATTCAATCTAAGACCAATATCTCAAAGAATTCCTCATTTAAGTATTACTTTTCATTGTTTTTTAAAAAATATCTTTGCTTATTTGTTCACTTTTTTGACATTTATTATATGCTTTTTATCATATTTCCGATGATATGAATATATATTCTATATAAGAATGACGCTACATTCAATCTAAGACCAATATCTCAAAGAATTCCTCATTTAAGTATTACTTTTCATTGTTTTTTAAAAAATATCTTTGCTTATTTGTTCACTTTTTTGACATTTATTATATGCTTTTTATCATATTTCCGATGATATGAATATATATTCTATATAAGAATGACGCTACATTCAATCTAAGACCAATATCTCAAAGAATTCCTCATTTAAGTATTACTTTTCATTTTTGATTCAATTTTCGAACGGTTTTCGTAAATTTTGCATCATTTCATTTTTTAATGGGAAAATCATCTATATTTAATCAAAAAAGAGCAAACTTTACAGACGAAAATAAAATATTTATCAGGGAACAATCTGATAAATACCAAAAATCAACATCGAGAGATGAAAAAACGAATATAATCAAACAAGTTCTTCAATATTTTAATATTAAATACGCCGAAAATGAATCTAAAGCTGTCAGAAGATATTTTAGTTATATTGCAGTTAAAAATATTCCCGCAGTTACTGGAAAATATCCTGATACAATTGTTCGCAAAGATATGCTTTATTCGCATGATCATACAAATATTATTAATTCAAATAATATTGAACGTTACTACCGTTGCATCGATCATTCTTGTCAAGCACGTTATTTAGTTAAAATTGAGAACAGTTCAGTTTCCGAAGATTTACAAAAGGAACATATACCCGAATGCAGACAATTTAAAAAGTTACAAAATGAAAAAAATGATCTTCATAAATCAATGACTCTGACAGAAATATACAATAAGGCAATGGCAAAATTTTCTGAAGACAACGGCACTTTTCAGCAGATTAAAAAATTTATGACAGAACTTGCTGTTGGTACTGATGAAAACCCATTAATTAAAGATTCATTGGTCAGGGAAGTTTATAATAAGTCCAGAAAATTTTCTGTTGGAGAAAAAATTACAGACGATGAAATTGCTAATTTTTGTTTAATAAATGGCGAGCAGTTTTTCATTGGCCATGATTTTCAAGCAAATTGTGAGACGATGTTTTTTGGTTTTGAGAAGGCAATTCAATTTGCAAAAGAAGCCACAGATTTATTTTGCGATGGAACTTTTAAAATTACACCAAAACATTTTCAAAAAGGACAGATGCTAACAATTATGATTTGTGAACCTTCAACAAATCAATATCTACCACTTTTATTTATATTCATGAAAAACCGCACATTTGAATCTTATAAGAAGGCATTTGAATATATTTTTACTGTCAAGGGTATTCAATTTTCAAAGCTAATTCAAATTCATTGTGATTTTGAAAAGGGAATGATAGAGGCACTTCAACAAATTTTCCCTAAAGTCCGTATAATTGGATGCCTATTTCATTTCAAACAAGCTTTACACAGGAAACTTGTAGCACTTTATACAAAAAATTTCAATACTTTACAAAATTCTTTATTTAAGCTATATTCTATTACTCCATTCATGTCTCATGAAGAATTTGTACTTACAATGCATATAATTAATCAAAATAAAGTTGATTCGATCAAAGATTATATTGATTATTTCAACAAAGTTTGGTTGCCGCACTACAATTTAATATCTCAATATAATAATGCAACTGCAATATTCACTAATGATTGCCTCGAGAGTATGCATTCAGAATTTTCTTCGTTAAAACATCCAAACATTTATGAAGCTATTAAGAAGATATCTCAAATCCAATTAGATAAATATAACGCCATCAAAAATAACCAGAAGATCGAGCGCCATATAAAAACCGTTATCACTGATAGCTACAAAAATTATATTCTTGACTGCTTTCAAAAAGAACTTGAGAAAACAATTTTTTCTATCAAACAATACAACGTAAGTGATCTTTCTTTGGCTCAGAACGAGATTTCTCCATATGGTTCCATAGAATCGAGTTCATTGTTCGAAAATATTCCAGTTCATGATGCAGATATACTCAAATCGATCGATCTAACAGATAAAGATACAATGATCACTAAGTTTATTAATGAAAAAAGAGAAAAAATTATGGCATTATTTAATGAAACATTAAATCATCCAGATTTTAATTCATCCACTCCAATTCAAACTAATTTTGAGCAAGCCGATACAAATCAAGGTTCAGATGCTCCAATTCGCTCCGAAAATTCAAATATTGCAGACTCTACAGATTTAGAACCAGAAAATCAAAACCATCCTTCTACAAATCAAATGTCTAGTAATCTAGAACATAAGCTGGACCTTCTTGATCATATTGAAAAACAATTATCGAAAATGCGCTCGTTATTGGGAATTCTTCCTACTACAAATGCTATTGTTGGGCCGTCAAAACAAGTTTCAGTTAATAGCAAGCAAAATTCTGAAAAAAATAAGAAAAAATCTTCCATAACAACAAAATCAAACAATAAAAAACAAAATTCATCCGACAATCCTCCTAAACGTAAAGCTCCTATTTCGGAAAGGATTCTCAGCGATAATAACTTATATTTTCAAGTTCATCGAAAGAGATCGAAAAGCAAACGTTCCACATCTACAGAGAAAAAGAATTGATATATGAAGTCTAATTCCTTTTATAACTACTATATTTTTATTCTTATGACTAAAAAATAATATATTATTTAACAATTTTCATTTTTTTCTTTTAACAATTTCGTTTTATTTCCATTTATTGTTAAATGATTTTTAGCATACACCTTTCAAAAAAAAAAAAAAAAAAAAAAAAAAAAAAAAAAAGGAAGTGGGGCTTCCAGGGGCTGCGCCCCTTCTAGCCCTAAGAAAAACCTAGAGGAGAACTAAAAAAATTATATAGTAAAAAATTAAAGTTTTTATTCGATAAGAACGACATCGCTATCGTTTTCTTCTTCCTCCTCCTCTTCTTCATAGTCAGTATCTGATGGCTCTTTGTCAGCCACATGACCAGCAACAAATATTGAGACAAATTGTTTCTTTGGTTTTGTTAGCAGGAACTTTTGATGGTCGTAGAACACGAATTCTACATTTTGAAAATGTTGTGCTGAGTATTCTGTGAAATGGGAAATTGGAATTGGTTCTCCCATGCCAAAACCAGCAATGGACGCGAACAAAACATCGTCTTCGACTCTTGCAGGTTTGTCAATTGCAACAGTAGTTATTATGTGGGTTTTCCTTCACATCCTGCAAGAGATTGTACATGATAGATTGCTTTTTCTTCTCCCTCAGGAACTGAAAGTGTGAAATGGAATGAGAGTTCTCCATATTCATTTGCTTCTTCGTAATAGTTGTATGTTGTAGGATACACCAATTGAAATTTTCCTATTCTTGTTTCCCTCAGGTGTTGTCTATATTGCTTGGGAAAACATAAAATAAATTGCTCTATAGCTTGTGTTGCTATTAGATTGGTTGTAACTGGTAATTTTGAGGCGAAAAGGTCTACAAGAACACCGGGATTTTTTATGTCGTTTTCAATTGGTTTAACAGATTCTATGACTTTGTTAAACATTTCACTATAATCTGTGTTGTCTTCGACCCCCCAATTGTTAAGAAGTTTATACAACAATTTCAGTCTTTTCATGGCGTATTTTCTTTGAATGGATTCGGGTAGCGAGAGGTTACAGTCGTCGCTTTGTGTTTCGTTACTCGAATATTGTTCAAGAGAAATTAAATCTTGAAATTGTGCTCTTGTTAACATACTTGTAGAACTATGTGAAACTTGTTCTGGTGCTGGTTGTAAATCTGTTTCAGATGTTTCTGTTGTGTTTTGAGAAGAAGAAGAACTCAAATTGTTGGACAATTTGTCTTGAATTGTAGAACTATGTGAAACTTGTTCTGGTGCTGTTTGGACAACTGTATCTGTTGTTTCAGATGTGTTTTGAGAAGAAGAACTCAAATTGTTGGACAAATTGTCTTGAATTGTATGAGGAAGTTGTTTTGGTATTATAGGAGGTCGTAAGGGTTTTGAGAATGGTGAGACATAAGTTGTAGGAACTTTAACTGCAGAGGTAGTCGAAGAATTGTTTGCGACACTTTTTCTTCCTTCCATTATGAAAAATAAACTGTTTTTTTCGGACTACTCATAGAAAAGTTTAAAATAAACCGTTTTACCAACGGAGACCCCCTCTATTTTTTTATTTTATTTAATAGTTACCGTTGGAAAACCGTTCCATCTCAAATATTGAATGAACTATAAACGTTTTTTGTTTTCTATATATACTTTTTTGTCCAACGGTAAAACTTTTTACACAACGGTTTTTGAGAGTCGTCGCCGTTGACTTTTTTTGTAGAGCACTCAAAATAGTATAACTTTGTCCGGACAAGTAAGGGTCTATCGTCGCTACAGGAAAAGTTACAGGCGTTCCAAGGAAGTATACTTTGAGAAGCCTTTTCCCCTTATAGAATGAGATAGGACGGTTATTTTACAAAACGACAACACTTTGACCGAGTAGTTTTTTGTGCTGAACAAAAAGTGTCATATAAACATCTGTCAAAAACCGCTTTTTAACTTCACTTAAAATGCCACGTAAGCTACGTAAGAATATACGTAAGAGGAAGGGAGCATTGAAACATCCAATAGTAAAACTGACACCACAACAACAGTTGCAACAACAAATGATGAATGACCCCACTATGTTGCAACAAATGTCAAGCAACCCTATGCTTTTAAACCGAGTTATTGGTGCACAGAGTGGAGGTTTAAGAGCGGCACTTTTAGCGAAAATGGCAGGCTATGGTGGAGCTGCAGACGGAACAGCTTATAACCCTCAAAGTCAAATGAATTTGAGTTCACTCAAAAATCAAATAACAGATGTCAAAAAGTCAAACATAGACATACAGAAACAAATAAGTGAAAACGAAAAGAAACTAGAATATGACAGACACACAAAGAAACTCAATGAGTTAAACGTAGAGAAAAAGAAGAAAGAAGAACAACTGAAAGAACTAAGTACAGAGGAATATGCGAAAAAAGTGTCAGAAAAAGCAGCAGAAGTAGCAAAAATGGAACAAGATGTTATAAATTTGAAAAACCATACTACTCAATATAAAGTACTGAAAGATGAAGAGATAAAACAAAAAGCCTGAAGACATATATGGATAGCGATGAGTATAAAAAAGAAGTTGAAGCAAATGTAAAGGCAGAAAAACTTTTACAGTTGCAAAACCAAACCGTACAGTATGAAAACTTAGCACAAGAAAGTAAAAATAACGACGCAGCCATGCAAAAGGCAATGAAAAGCGCAGAATATATAAAAGCTAATAATGACTGGTTAGATGCCCAAGCCAACGCTAAAGCAGCCCAACTTATAGGGTCAATAAGGACAAAAATACAAGCGGATGAAGACAGTTCAAATGAAGCTTTAATGAATGCTGACTTTAAGAACGCCTTCGAAGCTCTTCATAGTAAGGTGAAACTAGTGAACGACTTCTCATCTGGAAAGAAACTGAAGTCTGAAGGTTTCGACAAAGAGTTAAGAGAAGTAGCACAAAATATGACGAAAATAACAGATGCAGCAACGAGACAGGCAGTTCAAAGTGCCTATGACTCCGTTAGAGCAACTGTTGTGGAAAGTCAAGAAAAAGAGTTACAACAGACCAAAACAGACCTAGTAAATGCTTTCTTAAGAACGAAAAGTCAGGTAGGACATTATGCTGCAGATGGAACATATGTGCCAGCTGGTGGAACTTATATACCACCAGATGAGGTACAAGAAACTCAACAGGAAGAAGTTCAGATACAACCAGACATGGAAGAAATAGTTCAGCAACAACAGCTAGAAGAGCCTGAAGGAAACGAACAAGTCCCTCCTTTGGAAACTACAGAAATAAATGACGCAAGACTGAAACAGTGGGTAAAAGCTTTCCCATTCACAAAAGATATTATTGGTAACATGGAAAGAAAACCAGAATGGCTACAAAAACATATATTTGGAAACGAGCTTATTCCATATGGTCAAGCTCTGTTTGAAGAGCTTGAACCGGAAACTCAGGAAAGAGTCATGCAAACAATAAGCGACGACTCAAATACAAACTATGACGAAATCTTTCTAGGATATAGGTTACCTGAGATGGGCGACCAGAGCCCAAAGGCAAAAAGGACATGGGAAATTAACAACATACTAGGTGAACATGAGGCAAAGATGCAACAACTTGAAGCAGAGGGCAAGTTACCAAAAGCGACACCAAAGAAGAAGAGAAGAGTAGAACAAAGTGAAAATAGTGAAGAAGTAACTTCATCTAGTGAAAGTAGTGGCAATGAAGGAAAAAGAAGAGTTAAAAACTCAGTCAGGAAGAAAGTAAAGCTTGGTACGAGTGGGTTCTATTATGATATATAAATCCAACTATTCTATATTTTTACCCATATGAAATGTACGCCGCTCAGAATATAACGCCAACAGTTTTGGATGCCATGAACGGAAATGTTTCCGAATGGTATAACGAATGCGACAATGCCATTAGAAGGTCAGAAATAGTTCCTGGAACTTACGAATATACAACTGCTGTTTCTTATGGAAACGTAGGTGAGTTTGGTGAAGGTTCTTCAACAACAGTAGATATTGCTTGCGACAGGTTTCACATTATTTCTATTGACAACTCATTCTTATACGTGGAACAAGACATTGAAATAAAACCTTCTGCCAAGTTGTCTGACAAGAAAGGTTGCAATGGAATTTTCTATGTCGGATACCAATATGCTCCAGAAGTTTTCATGGGATATAAGATATATTCTAACTCTGACTTAGTTCAAACAGTAACATGGGCAAACTATGAATGGTTCGCTTTGAGAAACTCAGTACAACCACAAGCTAGAGAACAAACAGACCAGTATGCAACTATTGAGAAAATAAGAAGACTTGACCCTAACGTTCCAGGAGTTTATGTTAACCTTTCTGGACAAACTGCAGCAGCAGTAACCAAAGTAAAACTGAAACTTAGAGTTCCTTTGTCATCTTTCCTCATCTTTAGGTTCTTAAGATACTTGCCAAACTGGGCAGGAAAAATTTCTATCGAACTTACTCCAAGCAAAAATAACTTAGTCATTGCACCAACACAAGACCCATTCAGCATTACTGTAGCTGGAACTGGTGGAGCCAAGTTCTGTGACTTTTGCAAAGACAAAGTTGACTTAGACTTTGGTTTCTCAAACCTCAACACTGAAGTAAACTATTATTTCAATGCTGCTGGAGATGCTTGGGACCCAGTTAAGTTCACATGCGAAAAATTTGAATGCAAGAGAATAGAAAGCAGACTTGCAGTCTATATGTTGGACCCAGATATTTCAAATGCTTTAGCTGCCAAATATATTGCAGTTCCACTTATGTTCCCTATACACCAAATATCTGTCAAAGACTTTGCAGGTGAAGTTGGAAACCAAAGTGCTGACCCAGGTGCAAGAACAGATATTGCTTTAACAACTGCAATGAAACATGCAGATACTATGTTTGTACTGTTCAGACGAACTATAAATGACTATTCTTGTTTCTACAACCCTGGTATTAAATATCATATAAACATAGATGGCAAATATTATCCAAGAGAAGAATATTCTACAGTTGAGGATATGAGGTCATACAACTTGACATTAGATGCTATGAACTTTAACAACAACTTCACAACAACTATTAACCCTGAAATGCAAAGTTCTATTATGCCATATGTGAAAGTATGGACTCATACAGGAGGTCAAAAAACTCAATATACAAATGGAGACCGTTCAAACTTTTGGCTTGGCATTCCATTTGCTGACTCAGAAGACTTTATGGGTGGTATTTCAACTGTTGGTACTGTACAAATACAATATACTGGTGACAGAGACGGTCCAGATGAATTGAGAGCAAAGAAGTTTACAAAACCAATAGCACTTTTCACGGAAGATGCTCTTTTGAAGATTCGTTCGATGAAACCTGCTGGGGCTCCTCAGATTGGTATAACGACAGCTTCCATCGAGCAGATTTTGGCAGCAGGTCAGTAAGTTGTTCTTGAACTGACTTCTCTCCGTCAAATATTGACAGTACGCCAGTTTTGACATAATATTGTATTATAAACTTTCCTTTAGTAATATCGGTCAGTTTTGTTGTTATATTTTTGTCTGCTTCAAGAACTTTCACCATCTCGGTTATACCAACTTTCTTTGCTTTATGAAAATATTTAGGTTCAGCAAAGACTGCTATTCTATAACATTTTCCATTGTTTGTGTAAAGAACTATTCTGTCAATGTATTTGTATTGTTTGTGAGTATAAACCTTGTTTTGCTTCAATTCGAAGAGATATCCGAATACGTCCATCTTTTTATTCTAAGTAAAATGTCATTTCCGAAAAAATAGAAGCGTAAGTGTTTCAAAAGGTTTAATGGCGGTGGCAGATGTGAAGTTAAATTCACCAACTCAAACAAACAGTCAAAGTGTTGTTGTCAATGTCAAAGACAGAGATGTTGAAGTGGGGAAACCATACGAAGACGAAGATGGTATAACAATTGTTCCTGTAAAAGAACCAACATATCCTGAAGTTAGCAGAGACTTAAGTTCTGTTGCAGATATTCGAAACGACTACCAACAACTGAAAGACAAACTTCAAACTCAGGAGAAGATTTGTCAAGCTTTAGGTATAATGTTAAACTTGGTCGAACACAACCCTGTAAAAGTGAACTCATATGTCATTGCACCTCATGAAATTTTGAAAGAACTATTGAAACTTTTGACAGAGGCAGACGATATAAACATCAAAGAAATAGAACCCGACATTAGTTGCTGTGGTGTTTCATATAATGTCATTGACAAGATATACGTTATGAAAGGAGGTGAAACGTTGAACTTAAAATATAGTTTCCCAGACGTTATAAAAATATTTGACGACCACAACATTTCATTAAAATTTATTTGCTAAGTAAAAATGTCAAAACTTCTTGAAAGATGTTTGAAGAAAAATAATATAGACTTTATTTCATGTAAAGGACTTTACACACTTTTGAACGATATGAAAGACCCTGTTTTGTTTGTTCGTGTAGACAAAGGAAAGTTCTATGTCTTTACAAAATATTTGAACTTCTTAGACAGAGAACTTCAAGAAACGCCATGTGAAAGTTTAGATGAAGTTCTTCTCCACTTTCAGAAAAACTTTTAAATATATATAAATGGCAGAAGACATAATGGTTTATACTATTACGACTAAAAACCCTGAGTCATATAATTCTATAACAACAAACTTACAAAGTCCTCAAGGACGATATTGTAAACTAACCTTAAACACAATGACGACTAAAGCCTGTTTTGCTCTTTTGACACCAGAAGACTTTATTGTTGTGAATGGTAAAAAATACTCCTTTGAAGATACTTACTCAGATATACCACCAACAGGTTTTGTTGACTTATTTAATACTTTAAGGACGGGTGTAACATGTGCTGCAACTAGAGCAGGTTTCATTATGTTTGGATGTCCGACTGAGTTTACTATAAACGATATGAGCTATAATACAAAACTTATTTTCTGGTTTTTACTACCAACAGTTTCCTATAACAGGAAAAGGTGTCATACAAGGAATGTCTATTCCATTGACATTAAGCACACCAATCTTATATATTGTTTCAAACTTAGGTTCAAAGTGTTATTCGAATGTCGACAGAAACTATTATGACCAAAAGATACTTATGCGTATAAACAATACTTTCTCTGCTGGTTTGCCTATTGTTCATTCGAATGCAGAATTTTCAACCTTAGTGAACTCAAACACTTTGGCAAGTATAACGTTGACATTAGTTGACGCAAACTTTGTTCCTGTAAAACTTTTATGTCCTATGTATTTGTCAATGACGGCAGAAAGTTTCGAATTGGAAGATGCAACTGGTGAAAGTATTGTATTACAAGAACAACTTCAACAACAAATAGCTCAAGAACAACAAATGCAACAAATGGAACAACAAAGTCAAGAATAAAAAAATAATATTTTTTTTATTTTTATAAAAATGTACAGAATAGATGTTTCAGATTTTTATGACTTCCAAGCATTCAGAAATATGTGTCCATTTAGAGACTATAACAAAGCAGTCGAGAATTTGAAACGTTTAGTCATTTATGTTGACTCTGCCCCAGAATGTTATGTCATGAAAGAATGGGATGTTGTCTTTAACAAACCAAGAGCAACAATAGTGTCTGAACAAGAATGTAGACAGAAACTTAAGAAAATAAAAGTCGTACAAGTTGGCATGAAGATGTTAGATGCTTGGGATATCTTATTGTCAAAGTTAGAAGATTTTTCAGTTCGAGGTATAAAGTTCTATACACCTTCTCCAAACTTCTATTCTATCTTCACTGGATATAAATACGAACAAGTAGAATGGAAAGAAAATATTATAGAAGCTTGGTTAGACCATGTCAAAGAAATTATATGCAATGGAAACGAAAAGGTTTATGAGTATATCTTATGTTGGTTTGCAAACATCTTACAACATCCAAGTGCTAAAAATGAAACTGCTCTCATTATAATTGGAAAACAAGGAACAGGTAAGAACACATTCTTTACAGATATTTTGTGCAAACTGTTAGAAGGTTATTCGAATCCGAATATGACAAACTTAGAAAACATCTGCGGTAAATTTAACTCCTCAATTGAGAATATGAAACTTATAGTTTGCAATGAACTTCAAAGTATAGATACAACAAAAGTTTTGAACTCAGATGCTTTGAAGAGTCTTATAACAGACAAAGTTGGAGTTGTTGAAAGAAAGTATAAAGACCAAAGAGTTTGTGAAAATGTTGCAAACTTCATTATGGTTTCAAACAATACTGTTCCGATGAAGTTAGAAAGTTCTGACAGAAGATATGTAGTTGTCAGAACGTCAGAAGCTCATATGCAAGATACAGAATATTTTGACGACTTAGCAGAAACTTTGACATCTGACTTTTACAACCACTTGTTCTCATATTTCATGACATTAGATATTTCTAAGTTCAATCCAAGACAAATTCCACATACAGAAGAGAGACAAACATTGTTAGAAGCAAACAAGAGTGTTTATGAACTGTTCATAGATGAAACTGACTTTGTGTCATTAGATGAAAGGTCATTGTACGATTCGTATAAACAATATTGTCAAGAATATGGTTATATGGCAGCTTCTAAACGAACATTCTTGGCAAATGTCAAAAGTCTTTTAGATGTTCAGAATGGTGTATATACAAAGAAAAATTTTTCTGAGTAAATTTTAAAAAAAATATTTTTTTATCCGATAGAAAAAGATGGCAAAATTCATCTCAGTAAATAAGTACATGTCAGGACTTAAAGAAGAACTAGACCCATTCACATATTTGAATGTTTACTTCTACCATTTTGAAAAGTCTTCATTCAGCAAAGTTTGGAACATCGAACCAGTTAAGTTTGCTGTTGTGACTAAAAATGGTGCGAAATTTGAAGACTTAGACATAGAAGGTTTGTTAACAGTCAAAGAAAGTTTTGACAGAAGGTTCTCAAACCTTAAAGAAGGCAAAGCATACAAACTTGTTATACCTTATGAACCAAAGAAAGCAGACGACTATGAATATTATGAGTCTAAAGTTGTAGAAGTTCAAGGTAAATTGGGTAAAAAGATTTTAGAGTCTAAGCCAGTGTTTGCCCCTAAAGAGGAAGAGAACATTGACATTGACCAGAAATGTTCTAAAAATAAAATTTTATTTTTACATGTCAAATTTCTTTTTCTCTGGAACTGTTCAGGTTCTTTCTTCTCTTCTTCTACTTTCTTTTCTTTCTTTTCTCTCTTCTTCTTTTCTGGTGGAGTTATGTCAAATTTGGCGCAACCATATTTATGTAAAAGTTCTTTGTCCTTTAATAGCTCATCTATTCTGTTTTCTATTTCATCTTCAAGAACAGCGCATGTGTCTTCTTTGCATTCTAAGAAGTTTTGTTGGACTTCATCTCTCCAAGAGGCGTCATCTCTGTCAACAAGTCTGTCATTGACAAATTTTAAGACTGCTCTGCTTAATGTTTTATGGTTCTTGTCATATTCCCAGAAACAGAACTTTAGAACAAATTCACCTTTCTTGTTTACACTATGTAAGATTTTATGGTCGACAGAAGTTTTAGAGTCAAAAAGCTTGTCTCGAATATAGATAGCGAAATCACTAGACATTTTCTAAAAGATAAAAATTTTAATTTTCTAAAAATATGTTAGAAAAAAAGTTTGCTGACATTGACAAGAAATTTGAGAATGTTTTAAACAAGAACAAGAGGAAGTTAGAAAATGCTCAAATAAAACCTATACATGACAAGTTCTTATTTGCTCAGAATGGTATAACAGGTCTAATTGCACCACCTGGGTCGGGTAAGACTTTCACTTATCTTAAAATGGCTGCACAACAACAAGAACTAGATGAGAAGAACCCATTCTATGAGTTAGTTGTTATTTGTTCGACTTCTGGTCAATTTGACCAAACCGTCAATTCGTTCAAAGATATTATAAAGAAGTCTAAGTTAGTATGTATAAAGGATACTGAGTTGTTAGATTGGATAAAGAAGTACCAAAGAAGAGTTTTGAAGTATAATGCCATAAATGAGTATATAAATTCGAAGTTCAAAGACCCAAATGAGGAAATGCAGAGAATATTAGAGAAGAAACACTTCAGAAACAAACAGAAAGAGATAGAATACATTTCGAAGAAATTGCAATCTTACGATTGGAAGACTTACCCTCATAGATGTCTTCTTATCTTAGATGACTTTGCTTCTCATCCTTTGTTAAAGAAAAGAGAACAAGACATGTGTCGAATTCTTAAGAAGCTCAGACACTTTAACATCTCAGTTGTCATTTGTGTACAGACAGCAAAGAGTTTAAGTAAGGATGTAAAGAGAATACTTACTGACATAATACTTTTCCCCGGATTGTCCGAAGACGATTTCATGGAACTTATGAAAGAGTCCATGGCAGGTAAGTTTGACAGACATGAACTATGGGAGAAGTACAAAGTCATACAAGACCCTCATACTTCTTTCAGAATTCATATCTACGCAAACAAAGTTCAAATTGTAAAAAGTCAAGCTTGAAAAATAAAGAGTGCATCTACCCTACTTGTTTGAAGTTGTCAAAATACTCTGTTATTTTTTCTTTCAGTAGCGGTAAGTCTTCTTTGAAGGTAAGTATTGTACAACCTTTCATATCATAGTGTGTTTGAGGTAACGTATCTTGAACTATTTGTTTCACATCTTCATTTGGAGTCATTGAAATCGGTAAGTTTTCGCGATAGAACCAATTTCTGTCAGATTTGTAAATCTTAGCAAGGTCGTAAAAGCTTTTGTTGTTTCTTCTGACTAAATGCAACATAACCATATCTTTATCTTCTTCATTTTCCATCTCTTCAGTATAAATCATATACTTATAGTTCTTTTCCTTTCCTTTTGGTACCGAACGTGGTATTCTTTTCTGAATGCTTTTGTCTTTTGCTTCAATGACTTCATCTTTTGCTTGAAGTTTCTTTTCCATCTCTTCACGTTCTTGTCTATGAATTTCGTCAAGAAGTTTGTAAACATGCCAAGCATAACGAGGCGAAGCCCACATTGCAACTGCATTTACAAGAAGTCTATGTACATAATATCCTCTTAAATTTATTGGCAAATTTTTACGATTTTCATGTGTTTTATGCAAGACCGAAAAAGTTCGGTCTAGAGAAATTTCACTCAAAAGTTCTTGTGTGCTTTGGTTTTTGAACCAGTCGTCTGCGTGTTTAGTGTCTGGAGCATAACATGCTGTCAAAATACTTTGCATTTGGTACATGTCATCTTTGACCGAACGAATGAGACGTAACTGTTTGTTAAACTGTATGTACTCATATTCTTCACTTATAGCTTCATGGACTATAACTGTTGTTGTGTTCTCTGTTGTTGACATATCTGTCTTTACATACAAAATAAAAAAATAAATAAAAATAAAACTAACTTTATTTTTTCTATCTTAAGGAAATTCATGATTTTCATACGGAATCTCTTCTCTCGGTTTTCCGAGGGAAGCAAGCATATGCCCTAAAAATTATTTTACTCAGAATTTTGTTGCTGAATTCAGTAAAAATAATGTTTAGGTGAAGAGGTGACATCTCACCCGTTTTCTCACCTCTTTTCTCACCTCATGAATTTTCATGATTTCTTCGTAAATGTTTTGTCAAGACTTCTTCGTACATGTTTTGTCAAGACTTCTTCGTAAATGTTTTGTCAAGACTTCTTCGTAAATGTTTTGTCAAGACTTCTTCGTAAATGTTTTGTCAAGACTTCTTCTTCGTAATGAGCGTAAAGGACCCAAAAATAAAGTTTAGGTGAAGAGGTGACATCTCACCCGTTTTCTCACCTGTTTTCTCACCTCAGTTATTTTATAAGCGTTTTACATGGTAAATGTTATTTTTTAAATTTTGTGAAAACTCAACGGTTTGACACAAGCCCTAAAAATTATTTTACTCAGAATTTTGTTGCTGAATTCAGCAAAAAATAATGTTTAGGTGAAGAGGTGACATCTCACCTCTTTTTTCACCTGTTTTCTCACCTGTTATTTTATAACCGTTTTACATGAATTGTACGATGTATATTTGAAATCTTAAACAGTTTCGTAGCTTCTATTTCTTCTTTTAGTACATCGAATGTTTTAACGATACCGAAAGTTTCTTTATACTTCTTCTTGACGTCAGATAATAGGAAATCTTCTGCTGTTGGATAGTTTTTGTTCAGAAATTCTAACATGTTCATTTTATTTTCTGCTGGCTTCTCTGCTTCTTTCTTTAAATCTGCATAGTCGTTTCTCATTCTTTCTATCTCTTTGACGGAGTAGTTATATCTCCTCATTGCTGCTTTACATTTAGAACATTGCGGGTTCATTTTTGCGTTATATTCTGAAACCTTACCTGCTAAAACAACTAAGGCGTCAATGGTTTTCTTTAACTCAAACATAGCGGGTCTTATTTGTTCGTTCCATACCGTACCCCTACTATCTTCATCTCTTATCTGCCATACACATTTTGCAGCTAATGAAACAAAGTTGTCGTAGGTCTTAAATTCTTCAGATTTATATATGTCAGAGATGTTCTTATATAACATGTCGCAATCTTTGTCCATAACTTTATGGTTGCAATGAAAACCAAGGAATTCATAATTTACCTTTCGTATGAACTTCTTTATTTCTACTGAGTCAGTTGGTTTCACTTCAATTTCGTCGAATTCAGGAATAGTGAGTTTTTGTTGTTGGATTTCAGGTAGTTTAGGCAAATGGTCAATAATGTCCTGCATTTCATAAAGATACTGTTCATTTGTTTCATTCTGTGCGGTACAGTCTAAATTACTTGTTAAAAGTTCCTGCTTTATCTTCTGGATTTCTGTTTCGAAAGTATATGAAGAAGGAATGAAGCTTTTCATCTCTACTAACATAGATGTTGGATTCATGACTAACGAGTTTGGTGCTGTTGTTTGAATTGTTGTTGTGCCGATTGTTGACATTTCTGTTCTTTTATACAAAATAAAAAAATAAATAAAAATAAAAATAACTTTATTTTTTATTTCGGGAAAATTCATGAGGTGAGAAAAGAGGTGAGAAAACGGGTGAGATGTCACCTCTTCACCTAAATTATATTTTTGGGTCATTTACACTCATTACGATGAAGAAATCATGACAAAACATTTACGTTCATGTTTGACAAAACATTTACGAAGAAGAAGTTTCGACAAAACATTTACGATGAAGAAGTTTCGACAAAACATTAATATATAAAATTCATGAAAATTCATGAGGTGAGAAAACAGGTGAGAAAACGGGTGAGATGTCACCACTTCACCTAAAATATATTTTTACTGAATTTATCAACAAAATGAACGAGGTCAGGATGTATGTTGCTGAATTCATTCATAACACCCTTTGTAAGCTCATAAAATGCTTGTTTTGAGGTCGAGCCACTTTTGGCTCCACCGTATTCTTTCAACCAAAACTCAAGAATTTCCCGCATGAATTTTGTATAAAAAGCAACCGTCTGAATTCCGGCGGTTGCTATATTCTTCACAAAACATTTACGTTTAGTTTACGATGAAATCATGACAAATTCAAGAGGGTGAGAAAAGAGGTGAAAAAACAGGTGAGATCTCACATTCTAACATAAACTTTATTTTTTGGTCCGGGAACAACTTTCTCTCAATTGGAGCTGTAGCATACTCTTTGCGTAAGCGGTTCAGACCTTCTTCGAAGTCTTGGTCTCTCTTGGACTGAGATTGGAATTGTGGGGCAGGTTTTTGCATAAACATCCAAGGGTTGGAGCTGTAGCATACTCTTTGCGTAAGCGGTTCAGACCTTCTTCGAACTCTTGGTCTCTCTTCGATTTGTATTGGAACTGGTAGTAATTTGGATTGAGATTGGAATTGCTGGAACTGAGGTGCAGGGGCTGGTGCTTTCGGTTCTTCTGGATTGAGATTGGACTCGGTTGGTGGGACGTGGGACATTCGTTGGTGGCTTAACCATCGGACCACAACGATAAAAATCTCTGCTACTAGCAGTACTGCTACTGACAGTAGCAGTACTTTTACTGACAGTAGCAGTACTTTTTCTGACAGTAGCAGTACTTTTTCTGACAGTAGCAGTACTTTTTCTGACAGTAGCAATGGTCGAGGTCGAACCTACCGACGAGGCAATTTACCTAATTGAAATTAACGAGCTTGTTAAAGACTTCCTCAGGCAGAATGTAAAAGGCAAGCTTGTTAACTGTTGGATAACTGGAAGGGCTGCCTTGAATCTCGAGACTTCGACTGGAATTCCAATTCAAATACCAGACGGGACAGCCTACGACGACATAAAGCAAGCAAAGAAAGAAGCTCTTCTCAAGTTCTTTGCCAAGCGTCCTTGGATACAACTTCCAAACAGAGAGAACCCTTTCCCAAGAATGAGCCAAATTCTCAGAGCACTGTTCCACTTCTCGGGTCAACCATTCTACATAACTACAGAAGGCGACATCCAACCAGTTCAGTAAACATCTCATTTTAACTTCACTTTTTTATGTTTTTTGTGAAAGTGTCAAAAATAAATTGTTTTCATGAGTTTTCTACGATGTTAGAAAAAATGTTATTTTCTAATATCTTCACATTCAATACTTTTTCAGCACTTTTCTGTAGTTATATATGAAAGACAATTCGAGATAAAAGTCATAGTACAATGGAATAATATGTTGCACACCATTTGTTGTGAACCAAACTTGAAAGTCAGAGAAACTGTTACTAGATGGTTCGTAGAATTTAGAAGCAAAGTCATAAAAGTCCTTACCAATACATAGAAAACTATTGTTGCTTGAACTGAAACTTGCATGACACATAACATTTTGAGGGTCAAACACGTTTCTATAAACCATCAAATCTGCTGGTGGAAGTATAAATTTAAATGGACCATCTGGTGGTAATGGTTCGTTCTGGTTTAGTAACCGAAGAAATTGTGCCCAAGAACGTTTGTCTACTTCCCAAAATAAAAACTCTGTATCTCTTGGAGGGTTAATTTCAATCTTTTGAAATGAAACGGTGGAGTTCATCTTGTCATATTCTAGTTTCAGATAGTATGTTCCATTTAGTAAAGAGTTGTATTTTTTTTGAAATTCCCAATAATATTTGTTCATTTGAGTTTGAAAGTCATTTAGAGTTTTCTCAAGACTTTCGTCTGAACGAACTGTAAAGATTCTCATTTCGTCAAATTTGTCTATTAGACCATCAGAACCTTTATACTGCCCATGAAAATATACTGCGAACATAAATGCGTTAGTTCTATTTGAAAACAAAACTCTTCTAAATCCTATTGCCTTTGCATCTGAAGGACTTTGAAGCCAACGAATTGGATAGTCAAACCTGTATGCTCGGGATGAAATTTCTTCATCTGAAATAGTCCTACCAGCATTTGTAAAGATATAGTCTAACGGTTTTGTATCTGCTACTTTTGTTCTTTGTTTTTCAACCTGAAGCATTTAATATATGTAAAAATATATTGTTTTAAAATGGTATGCCATTTCATATTTCTCATCTAACAAACAAGTTTCCCAACGGTCTTCTCCAACAAACTCAGCGTACATTTCAAATAAAATTTAAAAAATGTCACTTTTTTAAAAATAATTTTTTATTTCATGCAATGTTTTATTTCTGTGCCGTCTTCAAGTATGCCCCAGTACTTACGCTTGGAGAGGACATGAACTTCGGAAAATACCTTATCTAGCTTAAAACAGCCCATCTTTTCACCGACCATTCCCATTTCAATGAGTTTGTTATAGCCTTCTTCGTTCGTCATGAGTGCGTCAATGTTCTCATAGTAAACCTTCACTTTGGATTTGACTTCGGAGAAGAATTTGTTGTAGTTGTCAAGGACTGCTTTTGCGAACTGAGGGTAAGACCAATGTTCGACAATAGGTTTTAATGTGGTTACTAAGCCACTTTGACCTTGAGTGAATTCGTACTTCAAAACAAAAGGAGAAAACCTTTCAACAAAGTTGTCGACCTTCTCATAATGTTTACTCTTCATCTCTTGAGGTTTCTTAATGGAATATCCCCATGTCGAATTCATAAGCAATTTGAGTGTCATTGCAAGTTTGGGGTTTGAAGCTTTCCTAATATCATACAGTTGTTGTATGACTTTTCCAACTGTATAGTTCCTTCCCGGGAACTCACCATCTTCGTTTGGAATTCCAGTCGGAATATATTGGACAAACCTCATGTATGCAGCGTTAAGGTCGACATAGTATATCTTTTCGTTTGAGTCGAACTTGTCGCAACCAATTGGTCCAGTTTGTGGAAATTCAAGTGAGTCTCTTATCTTCTGAGAAACTTCTCCTGTTATCTCATAAACATCGTCGAAGCAACCTGTCTCATATAAAACCTTCTGACCTAACTCAGATGCTCTCCAATACAATTTGACGTCAATTGGATGTCTCAATGGAAGTTTGTTTATAGCATCTTGAAGTTCTTGCAACCTCATTGGAAGTTCTTCTGGTTCAGGTTGGTATCCGAACAATCCAACTCCTTGTGGAATTATGTACTTCTTTTGTACTAGAACTTTGTCTGGAACAACTTTTGGTCTTGCTAACAGTGAAAAGTTTGTTTCGTCTTTTGGTACAAAAGTTTCTGTCAGCTTGTCATCTGGAATTGGTTCCAACAAACCTTTCTCGAAAAGAATGTTTACAGCTCTGACAATGTTGCACTTGCCTTTTCCGAACAATGGGTTTGTAAGACTTTCGTTCAACATGAAGTGGTTGTGGACAATTACAATCTTCAACCATGGTAAGTCTTTGTCAACAACATAGTCGTCATGTGAAGAACCTTTAGCTGTAGGTATGTTGACTCGGATATTGACATTTGCCAACGGTGCAATTTTTGCCAATTGACCTCTGAGAATGTACCTTGTCTTCACACATGACTCAAGATACTTCATCTTCTCATCTGTAACAAGACCAGAGTTCCTGAGACATGTAAGAATACAAGGTTCATTGACAATTGTTTCAATTGAATTGTAAATTCCATACCTTGTCAAGTCAATGTCAGACTTATTTATGAAGGGGAAGTATCCAGCATGTTGTCTGACTGCTTGAGGGTTAGGTTCATGCCATTCGAACTTGACACTTGCAATTCCTTCAATTGCATTCAAAATGTCTGAGTCTGAGTCAACCATTTGTTCTCTCTTTGTAGTCTTGAAAGCGTCAAGAAGTTTTGCGGCTGTTTGTTCATTGCCATGTGCATAGTAAATGTGACCATCCAAATCTGTTATGGTCAATCTGAGATTGTGTCCTTTCTTATTTCCGTCTTGAATTGCAGCAAGTACTCCCATGAAGCCTTCTTTGTTCTTTCCTTCGTCAAAGTTTACTGTAAAGGTTCGACCAGATGTAATTTGACTTCTAACTTCACGATACTTTTCATATGCATATCTTGTTCTTTCCATGGGAGCATGACCATCCTCTGCACTACCTTTTTTCCTTCTCAAAGGATGCAATTGTTCGTCATGTTTCCAGTAGAATCTGGCAAAGCCGTCGTGTCCTTCAACTTGAGGTTCACTAACATCGAAAGGCATGTCCATAAGACGTTCTTCTTCTAACCTCTCTAGTCTGTTTGGATAATTGGCACGTGCTGTTTCCAAATCCATTTCGTAGCGAAGACCAGACAATTTGTCATAGACTTTTATGGGTCTTCCCTTCCTATATTTAAAATTCTTCGAAACTCTCCAACCATATCTTTGCAACTCTGCTTTTATTCTAGCAGACTTTCTGTCCATTCTATATGGGGGCATTTTTATAAAAATAAAAAAATATTTTTTTCTTTACTTTACATAACCGCCTGCTGCCATAAGTCTTTGACGCCAACCCATACCAGCTAATGAAGGTTGACTTGGTTTAGTTTGGAAACTAAACTTTGGTTTTGGTTTATCTTCAGTTTTTGGTTTCTCTTCTTCTATCGGTTTTTCGTCACTTTTTGGTTCCTCTGACTTTACTTCACTTGCAGGAACAGTTGTGTCGTCAACATCTTCATAAATATCATATGCCATTTGTTTTTGTTTTCCTTTCAACTTTTTGTGTTTGTTGTAAAGTTTAGAATATTTCGACTCTAAGTCAATGAGATGTTCTATAATGAACTGTTGGTCAGTGAAGTAAACTTTTCCATCTGTTGTCTCGAAAGCTCCTTCAGACTTCAATATTTTATTTGTGAGAGTCTGTTTCTTTTTTGAGATACTAGCCGTTCCATTTCTATGAAAAGTGACTTTATAGTTAGGGTTTGTATTTCCAGACCTGGCACTTTCTATTATTGAATTTTTCTCTTCATCTGTAAGTTCTTTGACAGGTTTTGACAATGGTTCTGAACTTTTTGTTTGTGGTGTCAAATCTACCGTTTCAACTTCTTCGGTCATTTTCAGGTCCGTAAAAAATTTTAGTTTGGTTTGTTTTCAACTGGTTGTTGTTGTTTTTTAAGTCGGTCTAAAACTTCCTGAGGTATAGGAAGAACTTGACAAACACGTGGTGTAACTGCTGGAAGTCGACAAATCCATCTTGAACCCATTTGTCTCAATGCTGTATTGTTCATTTCATCTCAGTAAAAAATTTTACATTCCCCACGTTTGAGGCGGTTGAGGTTGGTTATTGTTTACCCACTGTTGTGCATGGTTATATCCTCTGTTAAAAATCTTTCACCTTGGTCCATATAGTGTCCTGCTTGGTTATAGTAGTCATTTGCTTTGTTATAATAGTTTCCTGCTTGTCTTCCTACATTGTCCATCCATCCTTGAACTTTTCCTCTTGTTTCAGGATTTGGAATAAGATTTGTTGCATCTCGTGCTACCTCCCAACCTTTCTGTACAGTTTGTATAATAGGTTGTGCTTTCTCTTTAAGTATACCTAATGTACTCAAAATCTTCTTTCCAATTCCAAATGCACCTCTGGCTATTGTTCCCACTGCGGGCAAAAATCTGGATGCAACTCCTGCTAATGCGCCAAATAAACCCATTTCTTATAGGGTAAAAAATGACGAATCCAAACAAGGACCCCTATGTTTCTAAAGCGACAAAGAAAGCACTCATGGTAAAAATCTTTAGTTCAACACCAAATGCTTGGTTTATGGATATCTTGGAAAACATTCCGAGGTATAGAGAAGATGGACCACCATACTGGTTAATATTTGTTGGTCAAAACACAAGATACTGTGAAGCCATACCATTATGGTCCAAAAATATTTTAGATGTGAAAACTGCTTTGACAATATTCGTTGACAAATACCATCCAACAAAACTGACATCTGACTGTGAAAGTTCTTTCAAATCAGATGATATTAAAAACTATCTGCGTTCAAAAAATGTAAACCAATATTTCATTGTCGACCAAAAACCATTCTGCTCTTGGTGTCATTGACGGTTGTATAAAAATGTTAAGAGACTTAAACCAACCACAAGGTGGTGAAGCAAATGAAATGTCATATACGACAAATATAGACACTTCTCCATGGCAAAGATGAGACAAGTTTTAAATATTTACAATAACCGTAAACAAAAAGGTTTGGGAAACCACTCCCCCGAAGAAATGAAAAACAACCCTGACTTAGAGAAAGACTATATATTTAATAATTTAGTCAAAAGAGACAAACAAGAAAGAATGCCGGGCTTCAAACTTCAGAAAGGTGACAAAGTAAAAATAGAAATACCTAAACGCGACCCATATGAAAATACTATTGACTATGACAACAATGGGAACTCGACAGGTACTCACATTCGTGTTCGTAAAAATAGAAGAAAGTATACAAGAGAATATTATGAAGTTTTAGGCAAACATGGCAAAATGTACACACTGCAAGCAGAAGATAAAACTACTATTGTCAGACCTCGTTTCAAACTTGTCAAAGTTCAAGGTGGTATACTTTCAAAGACAGTTCCTAACAAATATAAGACAACTCCTGACGAATATGCTAAAGAAGTTGAAAATGACGACTAAGCAATTCTATACCATGCGTAAACTGTCATGTAAGGTGGCATGTATTCTTTACTTTGTCCCGTTGTTTGCGTATATCCTGTAACGCGATGTGTATGGCTTCCTCCTCCCTCAGTGTTACTCCAGTAACAATCTATAGCAAACTTAACGTTGTCTTTAACATCATATCCTTTACCTTTTGTCATTCCTGTCCAATCCCAATATCTATGCTTATGCCAACCTGCTTCAGATGTAGTTAAATCTACGTAGTGACTATGTGCAGGTAGATTTTCACCCGAAATCGTTTTACTTCCACCTGTTTCCTTTGAAGAGTTTGCACAATACAAAAACCTGTCGACTATTTGAGTCCAAGTTCCAACACCAAGTACTACTTCTGGTCTGGTAGAGTTCATTGAAACATATAATGAGCCAACCGGGTAAATAAGATTCGGCAAATTTTGTTTAAGCACATTGAGTTCCTGTCTTAGAAGCACAATGTCATATAACTTTTCTTGAAGTTCATTTACGTCAGAAATGTTATGTCTATGATATTTTTGTGCGTATGTTCCTTCTGTCCATGCGAAAATATATTCTTTTGTTGCATCTACATATCCAGCTATCCATTTCGAGTCTGCTTTGTCATCTAACTTTTCTTGAAGTTCATTTACGTCAGAAATGTTATGTGTATGAGTCTTATTTGCTTTCTTCTCTAACTCATCGTTAACATAAGTTTTATCTGCTTTAAGGTCTAAACATCCTGAAACCCATCCTGTATCAGCTTTAGTTTTTAAAATCTTCGATGTCCGTTCATGATACCATTCAACCTTTTCTATAATTTCTTTATCTTTTTCATCCACATATTCCTTATCCGCCTTCTTCACTAACACACTAGCCATAAGTCCCTTATCTACCTTCTCTTCAAGGCTAACGTTTAAGTCTGTTATTTCAGATATAGAATGTATATGAGTCTTTTTAGAATATTCGTTTTCAGCTCTTGTCACTTCACTTGACATTTTATTGTCAACATATGTTTTGTCTGCTAGTTCAGGATGAGTATGTTCTTTTGTTGCATAAGCATTGTTAGCTCTTTCTTCTTCTTTTGCTATTGCATCGTCTACATATTCTTTGTCAGCTTTGTTGTCAACATCTGCTTTCAAAAGAAGTTCATTTATAGGTTTCTCGTTTAAAGTTCCTTTTGTTGGATTTATACAGACAGTATGGTTCTTATTGTCTTGAAATAGAAACTCATCTGTCATTGGGTTTAATGTCAGTTTTAAGTTTCCTTCTTTCAATGACTCAGATATCTTAGAATAGTTTGAAAAGTTTGTTGTGTTCTTATTTAGAGCTTGCATAATGAGTTGTCGGTTGTGTTGTATTTCTCTCATGGAAGCAATATCTTTCGACATTTTTATTCTAGATAAAATATGCTTCCAATAGAAAAAGAAAATTCAAGAGTTGCTACAACTAAACCATTAGATGAACTTTTTACTAATGTCGGTCAAAAGTTTGAGACAGAGACCGTAAAGCATGAAGGCTA